ATTGAGCCTCTTTGTAGTGTTTTGGAGGAGCGAGTCAGGAAAAATTTACATCCACCAGCATCATGACATGACCTATCCACTATTCTGCAAGAAGAATTTTTCAAAATGCCTCTGGCCAATGTGGAGGACTGGAATCTGTCATTCCGAAGACAAACTGATGCTGTCTTAGCCACAAATTGAAGTCCTAAAACCGAAGTGTTTCGGTTTTATTGTCTAACCTCTGTATATATTTAATTATATATTTAATTAAGTTTAATTGATTTTCTACTTTTTTTACATGTCATTTGTGTTCTCTTGTTGATATGTGTGTATGTGCCCAGAGCTCATGTAAATTACAAAAATATTTCATGTGTGTCTGCACCCACTTGTTGAATAAAGCTCATTCTGATTCTAAAGTGACGATTCGGGAAAGTGTCCTTTTTTACACCTGTTTTGTTTGTTTGAGTTGAATCAAATCTTAAGTTAATTTCCATTTCTTAATTTCCACTAAAGAAATGGACTGAGACCTGGCTCAATAGGTGGTCTTGGATGCCCATCCAGCAGCAACCCAGCACTTGAGAGTACATTAACTTGTGAATCCCCAGTGCTGGGAAACACCCATATACTCTCTCATTCACACACAAACTCATATGGCCAATTTAGTTTATCCAGATTAATTAATAGTGTCTTTGCACCCAGATCAAACTCACGCGAACACAAGGACAGCATGCAAATTCCACACAGAAATGCAAACTGGCCCAGTTGGGACTCAAACCAGCAACCTTCTTGCTGTGAGGCGACAGTGCTTACCATTGAGCCACCGTGACAATCCCCCACCACATCCAATTGGTGCATATTGTTTACACCAGTGGCTAGAAAGACTATAAATAGATTAGATTTTTTTTTATTTTGTCAGAAATCAGTTTAAGTAACAGGTAAGTTTACAAATAACTTTGTTATGATGTCAAACACTGCTCTTTTGCATAAATGGACATTTTAGCTATGTTATGTGTTATATATGTTAAGTATATAAATCAACACATAAGTATTTCACCATTAAGTTATTAATATATAAAAGTCTAGAGCTTATGTAAGACTTAGAACAGGCTGCTAAAGTGTGTTTACTGGATGTTTCAGTCTGGACATGTTTTGTCTTCATAATGGACAGAAAGAGAGGAACCTAGCCAAGGACAGAGGAAGTTATTATTGAGTTTTTGAACTCTGGTTAAGATGAGGGATTAACTGTTGATATAGGCGGTTCTAGAGCTTGCTGTCAGGCTCTGTACACATATTTAGTAGAGGTTAAAGTGATTGTTTGTGTAGGGTTTGATTCCTAATATGCAGTGCAAACCTCTTGACCTCTGCACTGAAGAAAAAGGCAATCATTAGTTTGAGTAAATTTAATTCAACAAGGCAGAACAACTGTCCCAGACTACTTTCTGCATTGCCAGCGCCTGCAGCTCAGAGCTCTGTTGGGAAGGAGCCATAAGGAAAATCAAGGTGTTTGAACTGAGGTCTTTAACCAGTTGGACACCCTCATTAAGCGGAGTCTGATATTTTTAACAGCCACTTTGTGGACACTTTTTGTGACTTTTGCTAGACCAAATAAATATACAGCTTTGATGTTTAATAGAGCAGTGTCATTTAAATTTGTGTTGTTCTTCTTTTAGAGAAGGGGCTTCAATCCTCCTCCTGCACATGAACCCATAATAATGTAACTCTGTCTGAGCACAGGTGTGTTTAATTAGTCCTGGAGCTGAAATCTGCTGGACTGTAGCTTTCCAGGAGCAGACTTGGAGATGCCTAATCAGATGTTCATCCAATACTAAAGGTAAGTCTACATGACAATAATGAGCTAAGAACTCTTTTTGTTGTTGTTTCCAGGGTTCCCACGCTTCTGGAAAGTACTTAAAAATACTTGATTTTCAGACTTATGGATTCAAGGCATAGAAAGTACTTCAAAACAACCATAGTTCCTTGAAAGTGCATGAATTTTGAAAATATATTTGTTTATGGTTTTATTTCAACAATTGTAATTAAAAAAAAAAACATTATGAAAAAACTTAGAAATTCTTAAATTAAAAATTATACACTTGAATCTGGTACAATACCACTGATATTTTATCAATATTTCAGATCCTGCATTTGAATATTATCAGTATTGAATTATTACATATTGAGCGCAATATTATGGCGCTACATATGCTGGGGTATATGAATTACAAAGGTGCTTGATTTAAAGTTAATGATGCTTTAATAATCCTTGAAAGTCCTTGAATCTGCTTTTCATGAGTGTGGGAACCCTGTGTTTCCATCCTGTTTTGCATGCTAAAGACAATTGTCAAAATGCTACCTGTTTACACAGATCTCTTAAAATGACTAAAAATGTCAGGCCAGTAATTCATGTCATGTTGAAAGAAAAACTTTGAGATGTTTGTTGATTGGATGGAGATTATCCTATATATGCTGTTTATGGCATTTGTACTTTTAATTATGATACTTATATGTCATTTCAAAAGATTTTGTCCACTTAAACCACTTAGCTTGCTTTCAGATCTACTTCCGTCCATTCATTCATTTCCAGATGTTTACTTTTCTGATAATCCTTTTCATTCAGATCCCCAATACAGAAGAAATAAATTAGTTAACATAAAAAAATGTATTTGTAGCATACAGTGATTGACTACTTGTATAACAATTGTGCAAAACACACACATACATTCTAGGTTGCTGACTGTAACGACCAAAAATAAAGACAGTACACAGCAATGCTCTATTCTAAATTTATTTAGTATTTTACAATGTTACTGCACCTTTTCCACTGATGGCAGAAATAGTTTATGCTGCTCAAAAAACAAGACAGAATAAATCATTTCAATTTGTTTTCCAGACATTTGACTTCTCAAGAAGAAAGTAGTATAATTAACATAATTTGTTAAAAAATAGAGCTAAATAGAAGTTTGTTGCCCAAAGGGATTTTGGTACTGCATTAAAGGTCAAAGCTTGAGAAATCAAATCATGATGCCATTTGATCTGAACAACTTTCAGTTTAAAGTTCTTTTAGTCACACTCGTGTGCGTAGCAGCAGGTGATAGAATACACACTGTTCATTTTAATGCACACACATCAGTCCCAAACATCAAGCCTGTTACAATTGCACAGATATTAATACAGGCATTCAGCGCAGTCCGTTTTACATCTTAATACAGCCCTGTTGAGTTACACCTGTATTAAGTGCCATAGGTGGATCCTCAGGCCTCTCACACAAGCTTAAAACAGAAAGTCAGTGCATGCTGCCTAACAATGCTAAAAAATGAAAATAAAAACATTTAGTTTATTTTAGCTGTGCATTTTTTCATCTATGTTAAAAATAGTCCTCTTTGCTACTTACTGATATGTTGCTATATGCTATTTACACTTTATTTCTTTTTTTATTTTAGTAAGGCATGCTTCTTATTCGTTCTCCTTGTCGTCACACAAAGTGGACGTAGTTCTTCAAGTCATGCGCTATTCAGACAGCCAAATGCTCTTTTGCAGATCATCTGAGCACCAGTTCTGTGTGAAATCAACACATGACTGCTCCAAAAAAATACAAATATTCAAACAAAGAAGCAGATGGATTGTTTTTGAATGTATAGATAACTTAACATGATGTATTGCGCTTAAAACCAAGCTTGTTTTTTTAATTTGATAAAAAAAAGATTCAGTCATGCACGAGTCACCATAAAATGTTGTATTTTGGCAAAACAGTAATAAAAAATAATATATATATATGTGTAATTAGTCAGTGAGCTTAAGTATTACAAAAATATGAATGCAAATCTAGAAGCTACTACAGCAAATCTAAATAAACACTTCGTTATACACGCTTCCAAGAGATATTGATTTTGTCAAACAATTAATGTAAAAATAAAGTCATTCTGCATTTGTGTAAATGGGACTTTGAGAGAAGCTGCTACATTTCATAAAAAAAAAACATTCAAAAAAATATCAACATAGTATTTGGAGCTCCTTCCCTTTGCACACATAAATCTTGACATTCATAAAGAAATTGATGACTTCCAGAACACTTTGGTTTGATTGGAAATAAAATATAGTTCTCAAAACTAGTAAAACACTAAAGTTTAGCTTAAAATATGTTCAACTCATTTAATTAATAATAAGATGTGACCTAAAAAAACAAACAAAAAAAAAAACTAAATATTCAGTGTAAAATGCATTTATTGGCCAAAAACGTTCACTACGAGCCTCAGTAGAACACGTTGATCTCAACCAGATGTGTATGACTACATTGTTCTGTATTTGCATATTTAAAAGGTTGCTTTAAAAAAAAAAGAAAAAGCTGTTTCACAAAAAATCAAGTTCCATAGCTTTATTTTAAAAGGTAACAAATTTCACTTGCCAGCTTTCATGCAAAAACACTTCTCTTTTTCACTCTTGCAGCATTTTAAAATATCACATGCACCTGTTTTCCTGATTAGCGTGATCAAACGCAGAAAATGATTCTTCAGCTTTTTAGGTTTCAGTAAAGTTCCACAGCAGATGTTTTGGCCAATAAAGTGCAAACTAAGGCGAACCCCACCACCTTCGATGAGCTTTCATCACAACTATGAGCCATAAAATATAAACTGCATAATTCATCATCCTCAACGATCTCTCAACGCACCTCCCTAAAATTCCTGCTGCTTGCATAATCGCATTGAGTGTGAGGTTTACCTGGAGTTTCAGAAACATTCTAGAAATGAAAGACATCATGATGCTGCAATTTCTTACTTGCACCAGAAGATTGATGGGTTAAATGTAGGCTGAGGCAGGATGTGTTCTGTCTCTTTTCTGGATGAGTTCAGTAGTTCAGTAGCCATGTTCATTTTTAAAGCCACCTTTGGGTCCAATGAAAGTGAGCATACATTCAGCTGAAGATGGTAGGATTTAGAGAAAGCACTGATTGGATTGGACTAGTCAGACATCCATAAAGAAGGAATTTTCACCAGGAACACACTCACTGCTTGTTGATGTTTTTCTTTTTTTTTTTTTTTGTAGAGCAAATAGGATACCTCTACATTTCCAGAGTGTGCGATCTACCGAAAGGAAATGTTCATGATTTGAGAGTGGTGAAGGGTCATGTAGGAAATCAGATATCAATGCCCAGTGCAAACTCAGACGTAGATTCCTTCAGGGTTAAAGGTTGTGTTGAGGGGGCTCTGCAGAGCTCGGAGGTCAGCAGGAAGTTGTCTGGCCGATCCAAGCCGCTTCAGAGATCCAGACTCATTTTCTGCCTCTACAGAGATGAAACAAAATAACACTTGCATGCAGAGTACAGTTGACAGTTCGATTTATACACTGTAGATTGTCTACATTTCAAAAATGAAGAACGAAAGCGTGTCTGTACCTGTGTTGGTTTCATCCTCACCAGGGTCTGCTGGTAGAACTGTTACTTTGGTGCCAGTTTGTTGGATAAACTGCTGAAGATTTACCTGTCTCAGCTCCTTAGTTAACTGTTCCAGCTCTAGCTCTTTCTCCTGAATCAAACAATTACAAAGTAACTTCTATTATACTCACTTAACCTCCATCAACACATGAAATATGCTCTTACAGAAACATTCATTTTATTTGTTACTAAGATAGTCCTGAGATAATTTAGTGCTCTAAATGCATCTGCTCTAAAGTGTATCTGTCTTATGTAACGTTCCTGGTGAATGCAAACTGTACTGGGACATAGCATGCTCCTTCACTTCATCTGTAAGCTCTGGCAAAGATCTTTTACATAACATCTGTGAGTGACCACTACCCTCCACCCCCATCCTGCTCTCTAACATGCTGTAAAGCCGATTAGTCGCTTTGTTGAAACTTAAGGGCAAAGTGTCCAAAAAAAAAAAAAGGCCGCAGCAGTTCACAAAGTTTGAGGAAGGATTTTACTGTTTTGTACTTTGTTTCAATAGCTAATTTCATACTTAATTGAGTACTTTAGATTTACAGACAATACTTTACATACGCAGAATAGCAACGAAAAAGAAGCAAAGAATCCAAACTTCAAGCAGATAAAACATGAATAATGTTTACCAATCCTGCTTCCCGAAGGAAACTTTCAGAAACTCTGCAATGCACTGCAGGGTTTAGTTCCAACCTGCCCCGTCACACTTGCCTGTACATTTCAGGTAATCCTGGAGATCTTGATGCACTACTTCAAAGGTGTGTTTAATTAGGATTTGAGGATTATAATTATTCAGGATAGCCGTCTTCTGGAGAGAAGGGGAAAGCCTTGAGCTATGAGAAATATTTCTTTGGGTAGTTTACAATAAGGGGCTTTCACCTCAGGAACTCAGTTATATGACCTAGCTACCAGGTTTCTAGGCGTTTTAAAAAGGTTTCTTCTGTGTGAATTTCTTAATCCACTCATTGATTTAGGACTAGCCGCTTTCATAACAATTGGGTTTTTAGCTTTCTGTTATGTGCCTGAGTTTGGCGAAAACTTTCACACCAATTAAATTAACCTCAATGTCAAATGGACTTAGTCCACACCAAAAAACTAAAAGCAATCTAAGTCAAGTTATCTGTTTGAACTGTAAGTGTAAGTAAATTGTGTTCTTTCTTCAGGTACACTCACCTGTAGCCTAATGTTTGAATGCCCAAGCGAGAGCTCCACAGCTCTGCAGGTGCTTTCTAGTCTCACAGCCTGCTGCACCTGTATGTCCAGCTCAGTGCGTGCCTTGTCCAGTCGCAACCGAACCTCCATTTCATCTGCCAGTCGAGTCTCCATTAGTTCTTGTTGCAGGCGCTCTGCCTCCAGCCCTGCCTCCATGCACTGAATACGTGCTAGGTACTCTCCCAGCTGCTCCTCACACTCTTGTACACGACTGCGCAGTTCCTGCAGCTGCTCACGCAGTTGCCTTTCTTTGTCCTGCTCAATCTGCAGCTCACTCTCCCAGAATTCATGCTCCTTCATCTCTGCCTCATTTCTGCGGACCTGCTGCTCTAGTTCAACTAGTTCCTCTTCTTCTTCCTCAGTTAATTGCTGCTGCAGCTCAGTCTCACAGCGTTGCAGTTTTTGCTCTAGGATGTGCAACTTGTCCTTCTGCAGCTGCACCAGGCGAGACAACTCCTGTGTAGGTGCTGGTGTGCTGCACCGGTTTGTGTTCACCGCTCTCTGCTTTGAGTCACCTTCACGACTCTTTCCGAAGATGTCACGCAACCCTTTGGCACCACCAGTGAAAGTGAGGGACTTGCGTTTTGGTTCACGGCGTTTGAGGGAACGATCATTGGCTGTGGGGCGAAGCTTTGCCATGGGAGGCAGACTTTGGCGATATAGGGTACGCTCAGGGGCTCTTGCTGAGGTCTCTGAAGTGGGGCGCTCACTCAAAGAAGGGCCAGTACGTTGAAGCACTAACTGCACATCGCTAGCGTACTGACCCCATTTATTCAGAGAGACCACAGGATTCTCATGGGGCGCCAAATGTCTCTCTGTCTCACGCCATTTTTCAATCAATGTGTAGCGACCAGTTCGTCCTGCAACACAGCACATTTACATTATCAAAAGAGTCAGGAATTTCCTCTGTAATGACAACAGAAACTTTTAGTTTCAGATCAAATTGGAGTGTGTAATATCTCAATCAGTAGCATTCTAATTGCAAAAATTATTATTACAAAAATCATTATTGGTACAGCCAAATCAACTTGCTGCCCAAGACTGGTTACTCACTGAAGCTAAGCAGGGCTAAGCCTGGTTAGTACCTGGATGGAAGACCACATGAAAAAAACTTGGTTGTTGTGAAAAAAAGGGTGTTAGTGAGCCCTTCAGGGGGAACTCAACCTGCAGTCTGTGAGGTTCCTGATGCCTCAGTATAGTGAAGGGGAAGCTAATGAGCACTTTCGGATGAGACATTAAACCTAGGCCCTGACTCTCTGTGGTCATTAAAAATCTTATAGCACTTATTATAAAGAGCAGGAGTGTAACACCAGTGTTCTGGCCAATTCCCTTCATGAGCCCTTACTAGTCATGTCCTCCCAATCATCCACTGGATTGGTTCTTACCAATACCTTATCTCGCCACTCCCCCTATAGCTGGTGTGTGGTGAGTGCACTGGCACCATTGTACTGTGGCTGCCATGGCATCATCTAAGTGGACGCTGCACACTGGTGGTGAGGAGAGACCCCGCTCATGATTGTAAAGCGCTTTGGGTATATGGTCACGCACGATAAATGCGCTATATAAATGCACATTACTTGATTACATATTCAATATGTTTCCTAAACACTAATTTGTCATTATTAGTCTGAACAGGTAGTCCTGTTCTAAAAAAATCAGGACATTGATCAAGCTCATGTTGCAGTGTAAAGGCTAATTTATACTTGCCGCATCCTCATGTTTGCTTGGGAGCGCACGGCAAATATGATGTCACCTCAGTGTTGTTTGTTCGCTTTATATGACAGTAACCTAATTTTATGAAGTTTGCCATTCTTTTCTAACTTTCGCTAAGCTCTGCATCCAAAGATGCACAATTGCATGAATGTTGATGTGCCTCATTATTAGGAGCCCAAAACAGCTTAGCTTTACAAAAAAATCATTTACACAAATATACTAAAAGTAAATAATTTAATGTGTCCTCTAAATAGATTTAAAACTATTCATTTTATACATAATAAGTTTTTGTGCAAACTTTGTCATCTTTGTTTTGTCATGACAGCTACTTAGAGTTATTGCCTGTTGTTACAAATAAAAGTACAATGGCGAAAGCATCGAGTATAAACGGCTCCACGACTCTCGACTGTGTGCAAGCACAGAATAAATCCAGCTTAAGACTTGGACAGGACGTTCAAACAAGCATAGCATTGTTTGTTAGCTGAGGCATAGCCTTTACTCTCTGGGGAAATCAACCTATGAATGGCTTGCATATAGTTATCTTCACATATTAAGCCGGAGAAAGTATTTTAACAAAACCAAACTGTATATAGCCAAGAAGCTTTAAAAACATGCAGAAAACAGTGCTAAGAAAATTCATCTGACATTAACCAGAGACCAGGCGCCTCAGTGGAACAGAGATTGCACTTCTTCATGAATTAATAGAATAAGACACAGTCAGATTTTTTTCCAGTATGGGGTGATAGGGTCGAACTCTGTGACTAGAAGGGACAATACAGCATTTCACTGTTCTGATATCTGATGTCAAAGAGAGCTTGTTGTCAAGGAGACAACATAGTGAGAGTTATGTTGTGTAAGGAACAGAGGAAAGAAGGAACAAAGGAGAATGGGGCTTGGAAAGGAACACACAAAAAAAAAATTGGAAAAGAGAGTTCTGTTAAATTGCCCTTACACTCCAGAATCAATCTGTGTTCTGTGCACCTATGAGTGAATGCTTTTATGATATGAGCTGGCCTATTTTATTGCAAACAATTGGTTTGATGTAAAATTTAGTGTCTTACCTATTGCTTGGGCCAACGCAATCACAACCTCTTGACATGTGGTGACCTCTGTGACACCGCAGACAATGCGCTGCACTCCATCCACCCATACCTTCAGCTCCATGCCTCTCATCTGGATGATGTCATTCCTCACCTCTGCAGGCACCCGTTACAGGCTCTCTGGTCTGCATGCTGCTCTTATCACTGTGTGGAAGACCAAAGAACTGTTTGTTCAAGTTCTATATTTAAGCACAGATATTTCCTTTCTGCAATTTATAGTTATCTTCAATAACATTGACATCACTAGCACTTAGCTGTGTATAACGCTCTGCAGTTTCAATTTAGTAGAAGGCTTAAGTTTTTTGATGGGGAGGGTTTGGTTGCTGCAGTGCTAAACTTACATTAGCTTGCTTACACAAGCCCTGATCTGTTATTATCCTCAAATTTGGCTTGCAAATCAATTTTCACTTGCTGCATTGTGGTTTGGCCTGTTGTCCTCTTTTTCTTTTTAAGATTGTTGTGCTGGAGAGATCTACATTAGAAGAGTTAGTTGTAGCTTTTGGGTCGATGATGGACATCCTGGTTATTTCATTCATTACAAAGCTTCTCCAACCACATTTTTATCCATCTGACTCATGTGAATTTTGGGGGAAATTTACAACCTCAATGTACTTACTAAAATCAGAAAATGTTGAGTTTTTGAAAAGAATGATAAGTACATTTGTTAAAAAAAAAGCTGTCAGTGCACATTGATCAGTTCAACAACACTAGCTTATACCCTTAGTATTGTCACTTTGTAACGCAACATAACATGCCAGTACAAATAACCAAAGTGTGCACACTGTATATCCCTGCACACACATGATGTCACTGACACAGATAAGTGTATCATAAGTGTATCAGTCCATTTCTTACAAAAATTCCCCAACTGACAACACTTGTATATGTATCATTTGATTAAACATTACATTACCAACATAAACATAACTTCACTCAAAAATACAAATTCTGACATTAATAACTCTGTATTATTTTGTTACAATGAGATCCTTGTTCAGATTCCTAACACAAGTCAAGATGTTTTTGATTATCAGAGGACTTTCATCCTACTTAGAGAGCAATGGTCCAAACAAGTTAAAAAAAAAGTCCAAACAAGGAACCAAAAACATCTGACTTCAATAGTTCTTAATGACTATAAGAAGCTCCAAGTACACTGTTGTGTGCCAAAAAAAACCTTTGTTTGACAATTTCTTCCACATCTGATGAGAGACTGCATTTACAATGAGCAAAATATGAACACAATTTAAATGTATAAATAAATGCCAACATGTCTACTGCCCAAAATAAATGCACACCCACTGGCAAACTAAAGCCCTTTTAGCTAACAAAATTGCCCTTGCAGTTTTATATGATTACAGTTAAACCACTAAAGTCACATAAAATGTTTTGACAATTTGATTTATGTTTTATTTTTGCTTCCTTTTCTAGACTATAAAGGGCTCAGACAGCTGTTGTTGTCTATGGAGGATAAGAGAGCTCTAGGATTTCAGTGCTTAAATCATGATCTGAAGATGAACGACGTTCTCAAGGGATTGGAACGACATGAGGGTGAGTAATTAATAACTGAATGTTCATTTTTGGGTGAAAATATTAATAACATTAAAGTACGAGTTAATAGAAATTCTATATGGACCACCTCTAAAATTCTATTTGCTTTTTCTTTATAAAAAAACTTTTTGTTGTTGTTTGGCAAGTTTTGTTGTCTGCAAATCAATTGTAAGGAAAGCCCTGGTCTAGACCAATGCATGTCCTCTTCTGTGGCAGTGTAGTGATAGATGAGAGTGATTTATGTAGCTATGAAGCGCTCAAGCTGAAGAACTGGTCCAAACAGGGCTTGTAAATGCTATAGATGGTGCCCACTCCCATGAGACGCACTCATAAAGGATGAGTGAGATGAGCTGTACACGCTCGACAGGTAATAAGTCTTCAGTGTGTGTGTTGTGAAGAGAGAAAGTCCTCTGTTGTCTCACGTTCTGTCTCTGAGTATTTGGCCTGCTCAGATCTACAGAGTGCATTATCTTGATATGCCAATTCACACCCAGCTGATATCCATGATGGATATCTTTGGCTGCATAGTGGCACAATTAAATTCTGTCATGTAAATTGTCTGAGCCATGGTCAATAAAAATACCTCATATTATACAGGCTTTCAAGGACAGATGTGCTATTATTTTGTCAATAAATCTAAAGTAATGAAAGCGCTCTTCCATATAGTGATGTGCATCAAAGTGGAAAAGATAATTAACAAAGAAAAATGTAGGGCTAGGACTTTTGGCATTGGTTGTTGACTGAATGGAGACAAATCTGAACATGAGCTTGCAACGTTTGTGAAAAGTAGTGTTTCGGTGAACTAAATGATTGGAGCCTAGAAACAAACTGACAGAATTGGCTTCTTTTTCTGTTTGAGAATTATTAAACTGAAATTGCACAAAAGCTGAAGAGAATAGCAGTACTTGATTGAACCATGTGCCACACGGACAGTTCAATTAATTCTAAAAACTTTTACTTCACTGACCGTTTATGATCTTTCAAATGGGTTTTGCTGTTTTGTTCCACTTTTAGCACACTTGCCATTTAATATTTCTCCTAATAACTAGGCCCACACGGAATCTGCGCGCGCAGAATTCCGCAGATATTCAGCAGATTTAGATTTTTAGCCCATCATTAATTCTGTTTATTTACTTGAGTAAATGTGTGTAAATCTATATTTATTCAGTTTTTTATTAATTACAGCAATATTATTGACTAATATGAAAATGTTCATCTGATTTATGCACATTGCAGTTTTACAGTAGCATTTTCTGTCTTTTAGTAGATATATTATATGAGAGACTTGCTTTGTTTACCAAATAAAGTGTATCTAATTGGATTTGCAATTAAACAATAAATAAAAGTTAAAAAGGTGTTACTTTTTATTTAACATATTAAGGTTTTAGTTATGATACTCCCAAAATAATTCCGCAGATATCCGCAGATTTTTACCAAAATTCTCAGCAGAAATAGCAAAAAACTTCCGGAGATTCTGTCTGGCCCTGCTAATAACTAACTGGAGCAGTGAGATTATGCAAGAAGTGTGGCATTTTAGCAACCATAAATGTCTCAACTAAAACTATTTTAAAGCCAAATAAATGACAGCTGTCTTTCTCATCAGCACTAATCTAGAAAATAGCAGAAATATGTTTAACATGCAACAACAAATCCAGCTAGGAGGTTAATTAATTCATTATGATTTATTTAACTATACTGTTACGTTATTATTGTTGAAGAAATGTGGTATTTTCATTCTGAGTTTTAGTATAGCCTTCTATTAATTTATTAGGTGTATTAAAGTAGTAATTGATTTTAATTATGTTATTGTTACGTCATGTCAGATTTGTTCATGTGTTGTTATACTCAAGTTTTTTTTAAGTTTCTATTTTTTCATAACAAATATCAAAGAAACCATCTAGTTTGGATGTTTTGGTGATCCTTTAGTTTGACCAATATCTGCCTAATACCTGCCAAATAGTAGGATAATTGCTGTTTATTTCTATTCAAAAGCACATATTCTGCTTGATCTTATACTAAATAATAATAAGGAGCAAATTATAAGGGAAAGTCATAGTTAATGGTTTTTAATAGTGAGAATTGTACCTTGAGCCACAGTTTAAAACATGGAGTCATTGGAGATTTTTACCATAATGGAGCAAATGTTTATCATTAGCATGTTTTTAAGGCTTCTGACTGTATGAGCGTATCAAAAGAGTTTAAAGAATACAGGCACAAGGAATTGTACCATTTGAAACTTTAATAAAAATATTTTATTTAATTATTTATACAATGAAGTTGCTATATAGTGCTATTTTACATTTGATTATCCAATTTCTGTACCTGAATTCTTACCTTATAGAGCTATTTAAGTCATCTGGTCAAATTGTATTTATATCACAATATATATTGCAGAAAAAAGACATAGCAATGTCAAATTTTCCATTACATGGGCTACCAAATCAGGTGCCAGTGCCACTAAATATAGAACTTGTTGGCACAATTGCCTGTGCTCTTACATTTTAATTTGAATACCTGTATGGCCCAGTGAGCAAAAACGTATAGCAACCACAAGGAACAGTCTAGCAGATGCCATCATAGACATTATAGCTTTTGCATGGCCAAGCACTGTTCACACTGTAAATGTGTTATTTTAATTCCTGTGTTGGTGTGTGTTTTGACACTCTGACATCATGTTTTAACCAGTCTCCCGTGGGCAGAGACATTGGGCCGGGAGAGATTGTAATCATTCACTTCTGCTCAACAAATCTCTCATGAGCATGTTAATGCACAGTTCATTCCCAACCTTTTAGCAAAGCAGCATACAGTTATGCCAAAACTAAACGCCTAAAAAGCCCTACCCGCAGCAGTATTACGTGTCAGTAGCACAGAATTTGTGTTTAACTGTATATACAAGAATGATGCAGGCATCTGCTTCAGACCAGCTTTGGCACCACAACCTGGAGCTAAATTTAACAAACTCAAGGCTTTGGCAGCCCGTCACTGTAAGGTACAGCCAAGACAGCTGCTAAAGGAGACGTAATGCATCTGAACTCACATTCCAGTCGACTCGCATGTCTGACGTCCATAAACACAGATCAGCACAGCACATATGGCTGGACAGTAACCCTTATTGGGTGTAGAGGTTCCAGCAGGCTCCAGTGCTCTCACATGTTCTGTCAGGTTAATGTTGATCATCCGTTCTTGTTTTAATTACTCAGGACTGTGAATTTAATGGTCAAGTTGACATAAACGAAAACTATGATGTGAGAGTTGCCAGTTCATTCGCTTCATATTAAAAAAAAATATTGTTTCACTGAAATTCCTTATAAAATTTCTAATTTTAGTGATATTTTCCACACTAGAATGCACCTTATATCCTTGTTCAATACGTTTTCTACCAATATTATGGCCCACAACAAATCCAGATGGCTCAACAGGTCTGCTATTTCAGAGACACATTTTGAGATGAAAGTCTGTTTGGCTTTCTCCTATGTCCCTTGATTGTTGGACTTTTATCTCCAGCACTTGAAAACCTCCTCAGGTCCCTAACGGTGTGTGTGGACTGTAGTGGGGGGCTTTTCTAACAAGGGTCCAGACAAACACAAAGGTCCGCTGGAGAGACGCCCACCCCTGCAGGCCTCACAGCATGACTGGACACAAACAATCCATCTCCATGGTAATGCTTTAGCAGCTTTGTGAATCTCTCACATGGCCGGCTGTGACCGGCCTGGGAACTAACAAACACCAGCAATTAAGGAACAATCTCTTTATTTTAACTTTTGTGTGTGTCCCACTGTATAACTTTGTCCTGTCAGGGGTTCAGAGCTGAACGCTGCACCAATGAGTCATGAAGTGACACTGAATTGAAACCATTTCAAATAAAGTTGTTTGTCAGTACAGCCTGTGATGGGCACAGGGAACTCTCAGTGCAATTCATTAACTCAAAGTAAGTTTAGTCTGAGGTGAATGTGTCACAGTGAGTGGCTATGTCGCACGGGGGAAGGGAAACACTCTCCAGGAAACACTCTCCAGGTTGTGACAGTTTAACTAGGGATGTATTAATAAAACTTTTTAGTTTCGCGCAAAATATAACTGTTTTGTTTATAATGGATTGTTGACAGTGTTAAACAATGTAAGAACTAGTCTGAAAATGTTTTCTTTGGAGATTTTGAGAGACTCTGAAGTTTGCAGTTGCACTAACAATATAGACAGTTTTACTTTATGAATTCATTACCATGATGTCAGGGTGTTACAGTTGTTATCAGTACATAGTTAAATGGTTCTTAGGTGTTCAAGTTGTTTTAAAATGTTTTCTCTGGTTGCTTGGATGTTTTGGTTTGTTGAAGTGTGGTTGCTTACTGGCCAGTCAGCCGAGTCTACATCTACAGTAAGTCTACAGTATTGTTTAAAATAATAGCCCCAGGACTTTGTGGTACCAAATTTTGCAAGCCCTGGTAAATGATACTCTGGGCCCCAAATACGACTTTCCTTCAGTTTAGGCCTGTCATTATTTTTCACCCTTTTTGTCTTACATTTTTAGATATGTAATAGCACAGCTCTCAATTTGAGAAGTTATTTTTAGGGATAATTCACTCAAAAACGTAAACAATCTCATCATTTGTTATTGGTTTTGTATAAATGAACTGTGAGTAAACTATGTCAGCATTTTCACTTTTGAGTGAACAATCCCTTTAAGCATAACAGCTGGTATAAATACGGCTGAATTCAAATAACTTAAGATCACATTTTCTCTCCCTAATAACCAAACACATACAGTATTCTTTATGGGATTGTGTTGTGAGAAAGTACAACAAAAACAAGTACTGTACCAAAACACATGATTGCCATTCACATTCTTTTCTTTCGCTTGGTTTCCTAAAGAACGTGTGTTAGTTTATTCAATAGTACTTGTGCACCAAGCACTTCCACAAGTGTTTTGCACCCATGTTAATGCAGTTGGGCTAAACACTTGTGATAGGATCATCCCTTTTATTGTTTTCCTCCTGCACAACAGACAAATCCCTTCATTTCCTTGAACTGGCCAAAATGGGTTCAAAAGTGGGAGGTGAACTGTCTGTGAACTATGACTTTCGCTTTTATTATAAACCACAAGAAAAGGCCATTTTAATTATCTGAAGTTCCTGCTGTGAAATCAGATAGGATGCAGTCTTGTTAACAAGATTCTGTATAAACAGACCAAACATTTCCGTGATATAAATGTGACACTACTGAAGGTAGAGAACTTGCAATCTGCGGATGTAGATATCTTCTGCCTACAAGTAGTGGCCCATTAAAAGACTAGAATAGCTTTCTGCAGCTTGCTCAGATCCTGATCTGCATTGCAATCATGCATTTATGCATGATATTACATGTACATCTCTCAGCATGGTTCTATCTCACTACCTCAGTACAGTTATCTACCCCGCCTTCACTCGGCACTTCTGCTCTCCTCAGCTTTCCTCGCTTTCTTCTCTCTTCCTCTTCTTTCAGGTTTTGCACTGAAGTTATTTAGCGCACCCACTGATCAGCAGATCTGATCAGTGGGTGTTTGATGAGCCAGCTGTTGTCATACAAACCCGTGTGTAATGAGAGACTGAGGCATGTGTAATTAGTTGTGAGTCAGTTATATGAATGAGACAAGCGTAAACAGATCAACAGGAAGTAGAGAAAGGTGGTGTCCGAAACCTGACAAATTACATGCAAATCCAGTGTTTGAACAATATCCTGTCTACTTAGATGATTCCCATTTGGCCGATTTTTAATGGATCTTGTGCCCCCTCTGCATATAAAGGAGTGGTTCAAAGTAGGCGATATGGGCAACATAATCACCTTTCTGTATTTTTGGGCTAAATTGAAATAAACGATATGTCTTGGGTTTTTTCCATGTTTGGATGAAAATAAGTATATTTGTTATACATTTTTACATCCTGCTCAGTGTCGTCCATTGAAACAGTGTTCATATTAAAGCCAAAATATGTAATGCTGGGTATACCCCTTAAAATCGTAATTTAAGAATTTTCACCAGGTGGAGTGAATAACATGGAAAGTGTTGCACATTTGCCCCGAATGTCTACCAGTTGTGTCAAAAAAATTAGCTTGAGGTGAAAAAAATCCCAGAAGTGAACTTGAGAAAATGTTAAATGTTGGTTTCCCTTATATAACAACTCAAGTTTTTATAAATGAATCATTTTTGCCAACAGAAAATGAAAGAATATATCTGTATTCCATTAACCCTTGTGTACTGTTCAAATTGACTATCCATTCATTATGTTCATGGTCGTTTTTGTTCCACTGACTTCCATTAAAATCACATTTTTTGATTCTAAAGTCGTAACTACCCATTTGTTATATTCATGGTTGTTTTTGTCCCATTGACTTCCGTTATAACCATATTTTTTTATTCCAAAGCCTTGACACCAAATAATTATGCATTCTTGATTGTTTTTTTTCCCTGTTGGAAAGGGGTAAGATTTGTCATTGGTAAGTGCACAAAGGTCACACACACTATACTCCATATAACTACAAACCCAGAAATTAATCTTTTTTGCACTGCAACCGATGATCAACAGAACAAATCTCAAATTTTACTTCTTATTAACAGGGAAAACCACCCACAGTAAATATTACATAATAAAAAATAAGGTGTCATGGCTTTGCAATCAAAAAATGTAGTTTTAATGCAAAAAAAAGAACATAACAAAAGGATAGTAAATTTGCCCAGAGTGTGATGTTGAGGTTTTTATAAAGTTTTAATGCATTCTCCCAAAATATATGTCAAAATAAGATTTGTCACCAAAAATCATTCTATTTGCTGAAACACAGAGAAAGTTGTGGCCAAATTTAGAGTCAAAATCACCCGAGTGGATGAAAACATTCCCAACAACACACAAAGGTTAAAGTAAAAATCAACCCTGCTGTAAGTGGCATTGCCCTAATCTTAAGAGTTCACCTGTTTGACTTTCTTCTGTTAAACACAAAAGACAATATTTTTAAGAATGTTGGAAAGCAGCAACTTCTGTATTTTTTTGTGCTTACTACGAATGCCATTGGCTGCTGATTTACAACAAGTGTAAAACTACAAGTGTAGAACCATTTGATTTTTTGAAATTTCCCTTATAGGTAAACTATCCCTTTACTGTAGCTTCTACTCATTATCTTTATACAAGTTCTGAAAATCAGTTTATATAGTCAATCCAACTTCACAAAAGTACATACTTTGAAGATATTGTAAACATCATTGATTACAATCATAACTTAAAATATTTTTTTATTTTATAAAATACTTTTATTAGCTACTTCTGCTTCTTTTGGCTGTACAAAATGAGTCCATTAATGCTGTCTATTCTGCTAACTATCACTATTTATACTACCAAACAGTTAAAACAATATGATATACTGTACTGTTAGTGTACTGTCAGTATTTCAGTAATTTAGGTTAAGTAAATAGCTTATGTTCAGGCTTTAAAAGGTAGAATAAGGATGAATACATTAGAACTGAATTTTCTTTTTTTTTGTAAACTGGCCATCAAACAGATAATCAATATATATTTAAAAAGTCTGAAAGCATTTTCATTTCATTTCTCACATTATTACATTATTACTACATATTTAATACAGTGCATACATACAGTAATTGCTGGTGTGATAAATGATTAAGATTTCATCTTATGGTAGTTATCACAATAAAATGTGATAAGTGATGACAAACTACAAACCAATAAAACAGTTTAACACATCTGTCTAAAAAGATGCTCAACTACAACAAGCTCCTGTTTCCATTATAACGTCTATAATGACTTATTAATGGAAGTTAATGTAAAGCCTCTGCTGTTTATGAGACACACTGCTGTGTGTTTTTAATTTTAGGAGGGGCTGCAGGCCTGCTGCTGTTCTAACGGAAAACACTGACCATCATACTATCATTTAACCCGATAAAACGCTTATCAGTGGAAACAAACTGATGATAAAAGCCCTGACATTGCTCTCATGTCATGCGTCTGTTCTCCTGCGCGTTCATGTAGCGCGTCCCGTCACAACTATTTAAAGGTGCCCCATGAAAAAACAAGCAATACATGTCGCCCTTCTCTCGCAATTCCCCGACGGTCCAAAACACGGTGCGGAGACGTTTAACGCCAACGTTATCTAAAATCATTTCCGTACCTGCGTGTGTCTGCAGTCCCGGACCGCCACAATCCTCAGTCCGGGTCCACTTCTCTGCGTTAGAGCAGAACCAAGATTTTAAGAGATGCTGCGGTTTTCCCCTTTAACGCCTTGTAAACAATCTCTTCGTGTGATGTCCGTGAATTCGGTCTGGTTGAGGTCCGTTATGTTGCTCCGCTCGCTGAAGTTCAGTGTGGCCCGTTACATCAGCGGCAGCTCTGCTCTCACGCGAGTAAATACAGGGAGCGCGCGAGAGAACGGGACAGCGCAAGGCATCATGGAGCGAGAGAGCGAGCGCTTTAAAGCTGCACAGCCCGACCGAACAAGTGGACTCACACACACAACCACACACACTGCGTCGATCTGCTGGCGTTTCGTATTTTTATTAAGTCTTTAAGCTGTTGATTTAATGTTTGTTTATTTATTAGTGCATTTATTAAACTGGTGTTTTCTTTTTACATAATGTTTTAACAATTTAATACATTATTGTTTTCCGAGACATAAAAATAGTAAGCCTTTATTATATATAATAATAATATTGATAATAATAGTTGAGTGTATTTCTTTTATCTCATTTATATATATTTTTATAATTCAGTATATATGGAGTCAATCTTGGTCCATTTATACTTGCAAAATAAAATAAAGTTTTGCAAACAAAAATAAAGTTTTGAGCAAAAATAAATAAATAAACAAGTCTAAAAATCACAAAGCGAAATTAAATTTATGTGAAATAAAATTAATTTTCTAATAAAAAGAACTGAAAATAAAAATTAAGCAGTGCAAAAAATGACAAAAATATTTGCAATTAATATATTATATATATATATATATATATATATATATATATATTATAGCGTTGCATTTACAAAACCCGTCCAGTCAATTCCAATGCTCATTTTGATTTCCTTTTTAGGTAACCATGTGGTCGGGTCCATTGACTGGATGGGTTTTGTAAAGGCAATGCTATAAAAATGTTTTGCAAATATGAATATATTTTTATTGCAATTATATATATATATATATATATATATATATATATATATATATATATATATATATATATATATACCCCTGTCAAATTCTGACCTAATGTTACTTTTATTTAGTCAGCAAGTTGTTGTTGTTGTTGTTGTTTTGCCCAGAAATGACACAGGCTTCTTTCAAAGATAATAAGATATCATCATGGTTTTTTAAGATGTAAAAGAGATATCATCGTGGAAACGATATTTCTCAGCTTTTATATTTGAACCAAAAAAGTGACATGGTGTGACAAAATCAAGTGACAAAATCATTCATATCCTCTGCAAACTATCACAGTATACTGTATATTGTTTAAGAAATCAATAGTTGAGGAAACATTTGAAACTAGTTTTGAATTTGTTCATATAAAAAACGTTATGTATGTATGTTTATATATATATATATATATATATATATATATATATATATATATATATATATATATATATATATATATATATATATATATATATTAGTTTGAGTCTGTAAAGTATCTTTCTTATGCTCTTGTTTTAGTTATTTTAGTTAAGCTAATTGAAAGTGACAAATGTTTTCTTAGTATTAATAAAATGTTTACTTGTAGTGTTTATCCAATTTATTATTATTATTATTTCAAGTGACCTAAATAATCTAGTTTTATGGTTTTTGTTTATTTATTTTTGCTAATTATCATAGCCCTGGATAATGTAATACACATGCATGCATTGGTAATGTTAAATTTCAGAAAGAGAGACAAACATTTTGACCTCCCTGAGTACAAACGTGTCCACAGAGAGATTGTCATAAAGCTCAAAACAGTGGATTAGTGTGAGCACTAAATGCCTGGCTGAGGTGATTTTATCTGCTGTATGGCATGTGAAATCTGTCTAGCCTATGATGGGATTATCCACCTAGAAATCTGTTATCTATTACACTGTGTTATGTGGGATAACAAGGCATGCAATCTGGTTCACATATGAGACCTGCTGACCTGTTGCCCTCTTTTTACACAAACTTAGAAACTCCTTTTCAACTCATTTTAACTGCAAATATTCAAGGACTCACAACAATACAGAGGTGAGCAATTCAACCATATTTCAATTAGTTTGTCACTGCAACTATAAAAATGATTTATTTGGTCTACCATTAATGTTATTCTTAATCTTCTGTAATCTTTAAAATAATTTCAAGGATCTTCATTAGTAAGGAAAATGTAAGCATTTAGGATTGCAGTTTCACCTTCTGTCCCACTAGGGGCATAAGTGGCCTTAATTGTCACCAAGACACCTATGGTCCTTGTACACAGTGTCCCAACATTCTTTTATGAGATTTTACTACTCAAAACAGAGTAACTACTGACATTTAATATAAGTCTCTTTCTGCTTAAGCATGTTTCTCTTAATTTGTCTACAAACAATTGAGTAGCCAAAGAGTAGTTTTTTTAGCAATTCAGCTCTGATGTTTGCTCTTTCTCTTGCAAGCCATGTTGTCATTAAATCCATACACTATTTTTTTCCTTACAACTAATACCTGCTTAGATTAAGGCGGTCACATTTAAACCACATAAAGTGTAAAGGGCCACATATTAAAATTCACACAGTAAGACTTTTAAGATAGTATTAGCACTTGTATTGATTCACTCGTATGATTACACAAAACACACTTCGGTACAGTATGTTTACAAAATTAGAGTGTTTTAATTACAAATAAATAAACTAAGTTTAGTGTACTAGATTACAAAACATTGTCTTTCTATTGCCTGTTTAATCTCCCTTATATATTTTTGACTAATTAATATGGAATGTGCTGTTAGCACACTGTGCAGAAATGCAAATTTAAAAATTATTAGTATCTGCTAAGTTGTAATCTTAAACTTTAGTTTCTTAAAGTAGGCGTACTAGTCAAAAAATTTCTCTACAATTAAATTTGATAAATTACCTGCCATTATACTATCACTTAATTATATGTTATATTTATATATATACACACACACACACACACACATATACATACAGTATACATAAATATATATACATACAGTATACATAAATATATATATATATATATATATATATATATATATATATATATATATATATATATATATATATATATATATATATATGTATACTGTATGTATATGTGTGTGTGTGTGTGTATATATATATATATATATAAATATAAATAAGTACTAGTAACTGAACAATAAGCTTGGTTACGTGAAGAATAACCACTAGTAGCCAATGAATAAGTACTAGTAAAGTCCCAGTAAAATCAATATTAAAGATTGTTTATATTAATGTTAATCTATAAGCTAGTATGCTGTAAATCTTTGACAAAATTCCTGTTTAGAACATATAAACATTCAAATCTTTAGGTTTGTCACTTTCCAATTGAATCAAAGATTTTTTAAATCACTTTATACTTCAGTTTCTTATCAAATCTTCTGACCAATGAAATGCTTTCTAGTACTTGATACAACCCGCCCTCTACAAGATGCTATTGCTACATGCTGACATTAATAGTTTATTCATGTGAAAGTGTTCAGATTGAGGGTTTGCCCTAGCACTTGCACATATAAGTAAATAATAGCCAAGCTTTGTTGATCTCAACTCCATATTTAATTTAAAGTTTGCTGTGCACAGCCCCTATGTATATACAGGGAATGAGGAGATTCAAATTTAAATCTGTTACACACAGTGACCATTTTTACTTGCTCATTTTTTTTTTTTTTTTTTTTTTAGATTTACGCGGCTATCACGGTTTATAGATTAAATGTTAAATTGCCTTGCTGCAACTGCTTCTTCTAATCAGATAGTGTAAGATTTTTGACCGTAGATGCATTCATGTAATTTTGATTTGTAAAACGATGTAATTGACGACCAATGCCGTACTAAATTCAATATGATGACTAAACTAAGCTCTGTCACTTTGATTGGCACAATGTTTTCTGCTGTGCACATGTTTTATCCTAGGATGCTTTTGAATCTTCTCTAAGTTTGCAGTGTTTTTAGTCAATGCCCTCCACACTTCAAAACATTTTATTTTTAGACGGACGGATAGAAAGATACTGTCTTGGTGGCAGTGCCCAATTTGGACTCTAGAGGGTAGTGCACACCTTATCTTTCATTTTGTGTATGAACTACATTTGCCATGTTCTATTTGTTCTCTTGTATGTGCTATTTATTTCAGCTAGGGGTCCTCATTTAAGTTCCTTGTGTGTTCTGTCTTGTACCGGCTTGTTTTTTTCATGTTCTGGTTTTCTGTTTGTTGCCTTGTGTTTATTTTATTGTATGCTTTGAGTGCATTTATGTTAATTATATTTTGTTTTTCACCCTTGTGGAGTTCTTTCGTGTTACCTTTTATATTGTTCATAAATGACAATTTTGGTTCTTTGTGTGACAGATACACATAGCTTTTTTGTTATAGTATGTAACTCATTTGACAAAATTTATCCTTTTCATTTGAACAATTTTGAACAAATATGTAAATGGAGATCTACTGTTCTATTGCAAAATTAGACATAATATGCAGTATGAAGTAATTCTATATTGAATGAAGTAAATTTCTATACAAACACAATTCTTAATTTTTTGGCAGGGCAGCATGATTGTTTTATGTTCAAGCCACTTACATTTTATAAAAACTGCTAAGCTTACTTTTATTACTATTAATATTTAAAAATTATTTGGCATTAAACAATAATATATATATATATATATATATATATATATATATATATATATATATATATATATATATATATATATATATATATATATATATGGAAATAAATCACCTAAGCATTGTATTTCATTAATTTATTATTGAAATTAGTCAGCTATGATTAGCTAAATATTTACTTGATACCAGCAGACTAGATCACAATTATCATGTCTTTTAATGATTTAACAAGGTTCAGTATTTACTCTTTCCACTGAGTCATTGCTGGGGCAATGAGTAACCATCTGCATACAGTTGTGATTTGAAAATTATAAAAGTTTCAGTTACTTGTATTGTATTTGCTTTAATACTGTACATTAATTCAGCAGTTCTGTATAAATAAATCAAGAAGCAGGGATGCATTTTTTAAATCCTATTTTTCAACTAAGGAAAGTTACATTTGTTAGACAACTGCACATGTTTAATAAACAATTACTTTAGTAAAATATTAGTTAATGTTGTGGAATTTTTATGTCTAATTATATTTATGAAATATGGTTTCATTTAATGAATTTATATTGCCTATTCTTTGATGCTTATAAGGATTTATAGTATTGAATAATAAGTATTTCAATTCAATGTTGAGTAATTAAATTAACAAATAGTATAGAAAAGTAATTTAAAAACAGTTGGAATAATCAATAATTAATTACTTGTTTGAAGTAACCCAACAATGCTTAAGTTCAACTACAACACCATGCCATTTCTGTTGTTGCACATGATGCACGAATTTCATTTTTCATTTTTGAAATGTAGATTATGAAATTTTGCATTCGCACATAACTTTCCAGCCATTTTCAAGTTATTGTCATAGACAACATACTATAATTGCAACTTATTTTCCATGTTGCCCATTGTAAAACTACTTATCACACATTTATCACAATCACTCAGCTTTCTGACGAAATCTGTTTTGCATTATGGCTAAATTGTTACAGCACTCACGTTGTTTTCAAAGATCCATTTGTTTTTATTCATCTTTGCAAATTTAATTGGGTCATAAAGTAACCACTAGGTCTGCAATAAGAGCAAATAGCATAACCTTTTAAGAAAGTCTTAGCAAAAAGTTGAGTAAATATTTTTAAAATAAAAGTGTTCATATATAAATTTAATAATATGATTTCACATATTCAAATGACCCAGACAACTTAAGGCGTTTTAGTCATATTAAAGGCATATAAAATATACTCTAATTAAATATTTGTGTTTAGACAAGGTATTTTAATTTTTCTATGTAATTTCCTGCACAAGGTAAACTGTGAACACTTGCACTGTTACTAAGCTGGGTTGTCATCGAATGTTTGATTGCCTTTTCAGTATGTTTGCATATATGTTTGCTCTGTTTTTTGATTAGTTATTTTTGTCGGTGTAATAAGTGAACTATTAATCATTGTATATTCAAACAGCAAGGCTTCTTCCTGTCTAGTTCATGTCATGACAGTGATCTTCTGCTCTTTAAAGATTTAACTTTTAGCTGTCTTCACAGGTGAGTAACTTAATTTAAAGATCTAATATTTTGATAATGTTTTTTAATGATATTTTAATGATATGATTATTTCATGATTTTTTCCAATGTTTTGGATTTTTTTATCCTGTTCATTTATCTCACAAATAATATTTGTAATTTTACTACTAAGTGGAATTCGAGTTTGGCAAGTACAGTATAGGTTCTTTCTGTTTCTGAAAGTCTGTGAATTAGTTTTTCACTTCAGTCACTTATACTCTTTGTCTTTACATTATCAATAATTGACATTATTTTGTGTGATTTACAGGCCTCTAAATCTGGATCACCTGAGCATTGCAGACCTTTTAACCTCCTTGAATTTCAAGGTTTGAATAAAAACATGTTTGGTTGAAGTTTAAGTTTATAAAGGTTTACTTTATATTTAATAATGTAAAATTTACAGGGAAATTGAATTAAATGTTTAAATAGAGGAAATAAGATACAGTTTTTACCCCAGCTAACGTTTATCAAGGTAAATTTAATGTTGACATTTTATTTTCTGTATAAAGATACCTACATATACAAGTATTTTTTGTTGTCTCTACATTCTGATGTACTGCTGAAAAGATTGTAAACTAGCTGTTTAAAATAACAATGTTGCAAACACGTGATAGTCTCCCATTAAGCAGGTTTCTTTACAAAATAATAATGAAGGCAGGCACATTTTGTTGTTTTATTGTTTTTTTTTTTTGTTTGTTTTTTACCCAAAAGAGGGAATAGCTAATGTGTGTATATTATTAATTATTATTTATTTAAAATTTGTTTATGCAGATCTTTGCAAAGCTAGAAAGGACACTTTATAATCCTTTAGCCCAAAAAAGTACAACAAATTATGAAGGCAAATAAGAAGTTTGATTAGTTTGATTAAGTTTTTCAGACTAACATTAAAATCTATCCATATTTTAAGCACTCATATTTGTGCACTCAAACTGTTTTCTTGCTTGAAAAAAGGTTTTGTTTTCTCAGTTGATTTACAATAAGGTTTTCATTTCAATTTTAATACGAATTGTTTGCTTCCTATGATAATGAGAACTTGAGAAGTATACTTGTTTAAAAAATAATTTGTTTTAAAAGTAAAAAAAAAAATGTTTTTGTTGATAGACTTGTCCTCCATTTTGGTCTGGTCTTCTTTTAATGTTAAAATGGCTTTAGCTGAGAAAATCTGCATTTTTGCCATTCTTCTACAAGGTGAGTGTATTTCTTTCCTTAGTTTCACCATATAAGGCGTTAATAAGATTTTTGTAAAATAAAGTGAATAGTAAAAAGTCTTTTGAATATGTTTTACAGGATTGGTGAGATTTATGGCTATAAATATATGGTTTTCTTTCTTTTTTTTCTTTCTTTCTTTTTGGGCATAGTATCTGTATTTATGCATATTAAGAACAGTTTTCTAGAGGCTATTTGTAGATTTACATGCAAATCTGTTTGAAATAATGTCTTAGAAAAAAAAAATGAAATGTTAGGCACTAAAGAGTGCTTGTTTATGTCTGGAAAAGTACTTGTGCATTTCTTTAAAATGTATTTGTGTTATTAGGTGTTTGCTGTAAAGATTTCAACATCAGTTTGCCAGAGAAGATTCAAGCTCTCAGTGGATCCTGTGTGATTATAAAGTGCAGATTTGAGATTAATGAAACATATGATAAAGACCTCACTGAGAGTAATGCTACAGGATTTTGGCTCAAAAATAGCCATGAAGTTTTTAACTCCAGAGATCCAAAACCTAATAATTTTGAAGGGAAGATGTCTGGAAAACTACATGAGAAGAACTGCACCACCATTTTTTATAATGTTAGTTCACAACACAATGGGACATATCTTTTTAGTATTGAGAGTGGCAAACTAAAATACAAATATATATTCAAAACTTCCTCCATAAATGTTGCTGGTGAGTGATTTAAACTTTATTTTATTTATTTATTTATTTTTAATTATTTTAGAGATTTAAAAATGATTTGCCATGTCATCATTATTATTTAACTTTGTTTCTGTGTGTGTTTCAGAGACTCCAGTGAATCCTCAAGTTGTGCTGTATAAGGATAAACAGGAGCTGCAGGATCAGCAGGAGGTGTTGGAGGGCAGATCTGTGAGTCTGCGCTGCTCTGCTAAAACTCTCTGCTCTTCTCCTCCAGCAACTCTCACATGGAGCTCCACTGCCAGAATCCCTCACAGTGAGAGCAGCAAACAACAGGATCTCATCGTCTCTGATCTGATTTTCACTGCTGCTCCGCGGCACAACAGAGTCACTTTCACCTGCTCTATAAGCTACCAGCTGCAGGACAACAACAGAACAGCTCACAGCAGTATCACATTACATGTGCAGTGTAGGACTTTTACTACCATCTGTTCTCTTCTCCTCCATAAGACACTCATAAATCTATAGATTTAATATCATTCTCTTTCTTTTTCAGATGCTCCACAAATATTCAGCTACTCCAGCTGTACCAGTACTAATGTTACTGTGTGTTTCTGTGAGGTTGATGGGAATCCCCTTCCTGAAGTGGAGTGGCATCTGTCTGGACATCTCGTCTTAAACTCTTCAAACACGTTCATCAGTGAAGAGCGATTAAGCAACACAAGCTTGAGGAGCTTCATTTCTCTACAGCAGTTTCTCTCACACACAAACACTCTGCTGTGTCTCAGTAAAAACTCACATGGTTCTGCAAGTCAGCAGCTTCACATGAATTTTGTTTCCACAGAGGCTTCATGTAAATTTCTTTCAGTTATTTATATAGTATAGAGTCAATCTAGGGCCATATATAATTGCAAAATAAAAGAAAATATTGCAAACAAAAAGTAGTATTGAGCAAAAATAAATTAAAAAGTAAAAATAAATAAATAAATACAAAAATAAATAAATACATAAATAAACAAATAATTTAATAAATAAATGCAAAAATTATTAAATTAATATTACATATATATATATATATATATATATATATATATATATATATATATATATTTTTTTTTTTTTTTTTTTTTTTTCAAAAAAAAAAGATTTTTGAGAACAAAAAAGTGATTTTGCTAACAAAAATAAAGAACTGCAAAGGGAAAATTAAGTTTTGAAAAATAAAAATGAAATTTGCAAACAAAAAATGAACTACAAATAAAAATCGGGCTGTGCAAAATAAATAAATAAATAAAATATTTGCAATTAACAAAAAAAACTATACATATTTGCAAAACATTTCTTATAATATTGCCTTTACAAAACCAGTCCAGTCAATGGAATGGACCTTCCTCCATTTAAGCGACGTCATCACCTGGAGACACAGTATCATCGAGGTAGTCTTACAGCCCAGTAGGTATGGGCCTGCCGTAAACGGCCAAGTTGCCTTGACTCCACCCCCTTGTCAAATCAAGACCACAAAGTGAAACGCACAGAAACGTGAAGTACAAAGTGAAAACAGCATCACAAACTCATAGTTGATTAAAAACCAAATCAAAATGAGCATTGCAATTGACTGGGCGGGTTTTGTAAAGGCAATGCTATAAAATGTTTTGCAAATGTTTTTTTTTTATTGCAAATATGTATATATATATATATATATATATATATATATATATATATATATATATATATATATATATATATATATATATTTTTTTTTTTTTTTTTTTTTTTTTAATTATTATTATTATTTTTTTTTGCACTGATTGATTTTTTTGCAGTTTTTTTTTGTTAGCAAAATAAAATTTTATTTCACAAAAATTAATATTCATTTTGCAATTTTTAGAGATTTGTGTGTTTTATTGATTTAACAGGGTTCAGCACTTATTCCTTCCTCATCGGAGTTGTTGTTGGGGCAGTTTTGGTGATCTTATGTGTCTCAGCATTTCTTTACAAGTGAGTAACTCTTTGATTATCAGGTGTAGTGACGTAAGAGTACCTGGTGGTTGCCTTGATTTCAAAACAACAATAAAAACACATTAAAAACACTGATTTGATGTCAGTTGACTACTTCAGTGTCAATCTGGACTGGTTATCCTGTGATCGTCATTTTGACTTCAACGTAGTTTACATGCATTGTATTGATACGAAGTTTAATTTGGAATTAAAGCTTTCAGATGAATAAACTTACTCTTATATTACAATACTTTTTATGTTGCTATTTTGTTGGTCAAAAAGATAGTGTGAGGATGTTTTTTTAGTTTTAGTTTTAATTTATTTGTTTACAGGGTCAATGCACATTAATAAACATTACTGTAAAATGTGCCAGAATTAGCCAAGAATGGCTATTTTTTATCCGTAGACCCTTTACAAATAGACATCAACATTTTAAAATCCTACTAAATGTCAATTTGATGTTGTTTTGACAAGGTGTCCGCTGGGTAATAGTAAAAGTCCAGTGAATGAGGTACAAGCATGTTTTTAATCTTGGATTATATTTGTAGACGAATCTACAAGACTAAAATGGGCACTAAATCTGCATTTACTCAGACTGAAGAGGTACGTGATATCAAATACTCATTATTTCTCAAACATGTCAGCCTTAAAAAAACAATAGAGCACTTACAGATACTCTTACACATACAGAAACTCTCTCCACTAATAATGATGTTCATCTATTAGGCTGTTTCACAGGACAATGACGGAGAGCCGATTTATGTCAATGAAGTCATGATGTCATCAGCCCGAGCTGCCCAACTAGGATCTTCTTATAAACCATCTTAAAATGTCTACAGTGAACAAAATATGTTTTTGGACACTTAATATATTTTTTGTGTTTTCTATATGGTTTCTTTGCTACAGTAGCAGTCAAGATAATAGTACCATTGAAGTTTACACTGGTGACCTTTCAGAGTAACTGCATAAACTATAGACACATTGCTTTAATATTACACACAAAGTTTTACAATAGGGGCCAGATTTAATAACAGTTGGCATTAGCACATACCTTATTTGTCATTAAAATTCTATTGTCTGCATTTTCTGAAGGTTGGAGGATGGGGGTGGGGTGGGGTGGTTAATGGTTTTTAAATAGAAGAGTAATTAAGTAAATAATGCAATACACCTTGTTATGGCTTGTGGTCGTCGGTTTAATGGTATTTAAAGAAAATTATAGTTCATTCAAAACTGAAAATTCTCTCGTAATTTAATCAACCTTCCATTGTCTTAAATCTGTTAGAGTTTCTGTTTTCTGTTTACCACAAAAGAAGACATTGTAAAAAAAAAAAAAAAAAAATAAGCAGGGAACCTGTAACCATCAACTTCTATAGTATTTGTTTTTCCTGCTATTAATGTCAAAGGTTACATGTTTCAAGTATTTTTCAAAATATCTTATTTTGTCTTCAGCAAAAAAGGACCATTTGAGAGAGTAAATGGTGAGTAAATGTTCAGTTTTGGATGTACTATCCCTTTAAATTGCGTTATTGTTATAGCCCAAAAATGGCTTTAATCATTTTTCCATTTGATACAATGTGATAAATGCTGTACAAGGAACAATGCAAAGAAAAATAGAGGTTGAAAGGACAAACATTTCTCCATCATATGGGATGACAGAAGACATTATTTAAACATTAATTCCCCCTAAAAAACATGTTTTTGTGCTGTTCTTGGTATACTGTATTGGTCAAAAGACTGTAGCATGCTGGAGTCATGCAGTAGTCATAATGAGCTGGAACCATGGAATCATCATGGGGTAATTTTGTAATTGCTGTAAGGGTAATTAGATTCTTTTTAAGTTTATTTATTTATTTTATTTATTTTTACAGGGACAATGTACAACATGACATATGCCAGAGTTAGCTATAAAGCTAATTTATATCTGTAGTCACTTGGCAGTTTGTCTCATGTTCCATTCATTGAAATGGAGAATGCAGGGTTTATGATATATTCTGCAGCCAGCCACTGATGGGCATCCTTGTCCAATCATTTGCTACATCTTTGTCTTTTAAAATCTGCATTTTCAGTGTTTTCACTCGCAAACATTCCACAGCACTTTTTGTTGAATTAACAAATTAGTTTTTATCTGGCCCCTAGATTTTAGATCTTTTTCTATATGCTCTTATGCCGTTTATATTAATGTGCTCTCTCTCTTTAAAATTAACATCACTTACTATTTCTTATAAACTTTAATAAACGTAAATAATTTAAGTTATCTCTTTATGTTATCTAATAAAATCACTGTAATGTATATTTAATTTACTTAGTCTTTTATAGAGCATGGTAGTGCGATGTTTTTTTTCTAAACATTATTTGATCTTTTTTATATTGTATATAAAAATGTTATTTGATTTATTTTGTAATCTTTTGGTTTTTTTAATGTACACATAAATCCTTTTACAATTATTCTAATATTGGGCATCTGTTGTGTTTTAAGATCTTGCAACAATCATCTTTTAATTTTTTTACAATAGATCATTGAAATAAAAAGTTTATTCTAACTGATGTTGACATGTTGAAGCATAAAAGACATTAATGCAGACTTACCAACATCATGTAGCCAGTCTCATATTCAGATTTTTCTTTTAGAGCATTTATATGTGCAGAGTAGAAACCAAATAAAAGATATTTCTCCATAAATAATACAAAAATACAAAAAATGTTTTACAGTCCTGCATTAGCCTATATTCTGCACTATTATTTCCGCTGTATAATAAAAAATAAGTAAATAAATAAAAGATTCAGAAAAATGTATATTGTGAAACTTTTTATTACCCCACCAATCAGCATCTATATGATTGGAGTATGATTGTCATTGAATTGAACTGAATATGTTGAATTTGTGCTAAATGTTGATTGCAGCCATGTTAAATTTATCATCATCATCTTGCTACAGTTTAGTTCCATTAGGTCTTTCTAGCCCATTGTAAAATAGCTTATCACACAAGCAACACAAACGTGCCACTAAGTTAATATTTGATTTGCTTTATGGTTATATCACTTGCTCTCAAAGATACATTCAGTATTTTTCACTTTGGACATTTTAGTTGATTGCATAGTTAAACTCCCACCATATTCAGCATATAGAGCAAAGAGCATACATGCACACATTAATCATGATCAACAGAAAATTCTATATAAAAGCTCTTAAAATGTTCAATAGGGATTTCATTTCAGTAACAAAGTTATAAGGAAGTAAAATTGGTCAAGGTCACACTGTAAACTTGATCAAAGTACAGTATCATACATAAATATGTAAACGCATGTTGGCTACAGAAGTAGTTTATAAGACCTAGTTCTATATCAGCATCATAAGACTGTGGCATTTAGTTACACAAATTTTGTCATGATGGAAATATGTTTGCATAGATTGCTCTGTGGTAATTATTGTGTACCATAAAAGGGGTAGGTGCAATAAGTGACACTGATAGTGTGGTGTCTGTCTTCTTTACACAGCCCTGCTGCTTCCTGTCTACTTCATGACATTACGGTGAACTTCTGCTATTTGCCAAAATTCAGAGGATTTATCAAACATTTCTCAACCGTCTTCAATAGTGAGTAGTATTATTTCTGTACTACTAATACAGATGTATTCTGTGCTTACGTTATTGTTTTATTATTTCCAGATGTGTCGATTCTATAGTTACTGATTATTTCATTTCTGTTCATTTATCTCTCCATGAAATATGTTTGTAATTGTATTACTTTAAGGTATTTATAAGTAGAATTTGTATTTAGCATTTATTTTTTTCTTTTCTTTGAGAGTCTGTAAATCACTCATTTTATTCAACAGTTATTAAAAACTAATTTTTTTGCTGCACATTTTATGTAGTTTCTAGGAAATCCTATGGTGTGATACAGTTGCTTACCTTCTGATTGCATTCCCTGTTACGGACAGGGATGTCATACAGGTGGTATAGGCAAATATGTTAATGTTAATTTTATATTATTATCTTGCTGTGTGAATGTATATATAAAATAGTAAAAATGTATCAGTGTTTAATTAGGTCTTGTGAGGGGCCTTGATTGTGTGACTAGGGGGCCCAACATTTGAAGCTTCATCTCTGCTATTGATTGTAAAGGGTTGTTCATAGAGCTTTAGATCTGTTTGTATTTTCTTTAAGAAATAAGAACACCTTTGGCCTAAAATTAACAAGTTACCAGGCAAATGGCTTAAAAAAGTGTGGGGTAACATTTTATTTATGTTAAGGGTGTTTTCCTTAATAAAATGAGGGTGGATAGTTTTTAAACCAGTAAACATTTATCAAAGTGAGTTCCATATCTAAAGTTATTTTCTATATTAAGTTGCATACACCAAAACTCTGAATAGTAAAAATAAGACCTGACCCAGTAAAAAATATTATATAAAGATATCAAGTTCTTTTTAATTAAATTACAAAAAACAAGGCAGAATAATGAATTTGTTGATATTTCAATTGAAAATTTTTGTCATTACTTTAATCATGTTTGCACTGCCTTTACATAGCTCTGGAGATCAGAAGATATTCTGTACAACAAAAATCTTAATGTTAAAGGACAGAAATCCCATTGAAAGGTGTAGTATGAAAATAATCTGTTGGAAACCAGCTTACAAAACTACTGCTTTTGGAAGCACTATTTTATTTATTTTTTTTACTTTAACCTTATCTAATATACATCCTGTGACAAACTTTCTCTGTCACAACTAGTCACTGTCTGATATATGAAGCAATATCTTTTTCCTGTGTAAGAAAATGAGATAAAATAGTGTTGTTTTCTCTTTCAAGGATGTGCATTAAGATTGACCTGCACAAACTTTCTCTTCTGTAAAGGGAGTTGTAATATTTAAGATATATATTGACCATTTGCTTCTATCCAGAACAACATTTATATATGTAATTAATGTTTGCATCATTTTTGTGATAAACCTGTTTGTTTGACCTCCGTTTAGGTCTCACCTTCTTTTAATGGGAAAATGGGTTTAGCAGAGAAAATCAGCATTTTTGTCTTTCTCTTACAAGGTGAGTGTTTTTTTCTGTTACTTTCATGAGTATTGTATAGCATTAGTGTAATATTTGGCAAGGCACTTTATTAGATGAGAAATCTTTGACATAATGTCTTTAATACTTTAACTTGCCTTTTTGCCTTTTTGCAGTGTTTAATGCAAATCTGATTACTGTTAGACATTAATTAAAATATTTTATACAAATTATATACATGTTTATTAATATTCTCTTTTCACTTATACTTTTGTAATATGATGTTTATAATTATGTTTTGAAATGAAATATAAATTAGGTCCATTTTATATTGAAATGCTAGTTGGCGTTTAGTGTTGTTGTTTCTGCTTGTGCCTGCTCATTTCTGTAAAAGCTTTGTGTTGTGTGTTATTAGGTGTTTACTGTAGAGATTATGACATCTTCTTGCCAGAGAAGATTGAAGCTCTCAGTGGATCATGTGTGATTATAGAGTGCAGATTTGAGATTGTTCCAGAAATGGATAAATACCTCACTGAAGAAAATGCTGTAGGATTTTGGTTCAATGGAAAAAAAGAAGTATTTCATTCTAAACATCACAAAGCTGATCATTTCGAAGGTACAATGTCTGAAAAACTACATGAGAAGAACTGCACCACTGTCTTTTATAATGTTGGTTCAGATCACAATAATAAATTTTACTTCAGAATTGAGAGTACTGTAAATGGTATTGGGCTGAAATACAGCTACAATAAAAAACTCTCCACCATAAATGTCGTTGGTGAGTGTTTTGAACCTTTAATTTATCTATTATTTAAAATATTTGAAATGCGTTTGCCATGTCATCATTATCATTTGACTTTATCACTGTGTGTCTTTCAGAGTCTCCTGTGAATCCACGAATTGTGCTGTATGAGGATGAGCAGGAGCTGCAGGATCAGCAGGAGGTGTTGGAGGGCAGATCTGTTAGTCTGCGCTGCTCTGCTGAGACTCTCTGCTCTATTCCTCCAGCAACTCTCACATGGAGCTCCGCTGGCAAAATCCTCCTCAGTGAGAGCAGCAAACTACAGGAGCTTGTCGTCTCTGCTCTGAACTTCACTGCTGCTCCGCGGCACCACAGAGTCACTTTCACCTGCTCTATAAGCTACCAGCTGCAAGACAACAACAAAACAGCTCGAAGCAGCATCCCATTACATGTGCAGTGTAAGTAATTCATATCAATTTGTTCTTGTTGTTCATATCATTATGAAATATATTTTATGTTGTGCATTTGTTTTCCCTCAGATTCCCCTAAAAACACCTCAGTTTCTGTCTTTCCCTCTAACTCTGTGTTGGTGGGCCATTCAGTGACTCTGACCTGCAGCAGTGAAGCAAATCCTGCAGTGCTGATCTACAGCTGGTCTAGAGAGACTAAAGGACAGTTGGAGATGCTGCAGACTGGAGAAACTCTTACCTTTAATGAGACGGCATTATCACACAGTGGCTTGTATATCTGTACAGCTCAAAACAAACATGGCACCCAGACAAAAGCAGTGATGCTCGACATCCAGTGTGAGTAATAGCACAAAATCTCAATCAAAAATCTCTTTTGTATCTGTGGAATACAAAAGTTTATTAGTACATTGTTCACCGAGAGTGAATGGGGCTGTCAAACTCCGAAAATAGGACTAAAATCTTAAACCTGTTGATCGGTTAATAGTATGTTTCCTTAGTAAATGAGCTATAAAAAACTATAATAGATCTAATCTTAAAATGTAATGTTATATTTAGGGTTCTCGGAAGGGATTTCAAGAAATTGTATAGTATACAGCAGTGTTTCCCAACTCTGTTCCTGGAGGCACACCAACAATACATATTTTGGATGTCTCCCTTATCTGACCCATTCATTTGAGGTTATGGATTCTCTTCTAATGTTCTGCTGAGTTGATTTAGGTGTGTTTGTTTAGGAAGAGGTTGAAAATGTGTACTGGAACAGGGTTTGGAAACACTGGTTTACAGTGTAAAACTGACAAACTCAGAATTCCATCACACATTTGATGGTTTTAACTGAAATAGCTTATCAGTTTCTCATCAGTTATTTTTTTCTTATTAGTAAAGTATACAGGGGTTTTATATTACTTCAGATGTTTTTAAATTAATCTTTACTGCCTTAATTTAGTGTTTTGTGTTATACAAAAAATATAGCCATAATATAGTCAGTTAAACCAATAGACCCAAGCATTCGTTTTGCATTTACAACTGTAAAATTATTCGAAAGGCTATTTAAACAAGCTATGTAGAAATTAGAAAAATCCACTGAAAATACTGTGGTAAAACAAATTATATATATATATAGACATAGCATAGGACAATTAAGACATAGCATAGGACAATTAAATTTATTGTAGAGATTCTTGTCTGGCATAAGACCTACTTTATATTGTGTCTCAATCAGGCAGTGAATATCATTAATTTTGAACACAAAAAACAGAATTTAAATGCAGTGAGTTTATAATGGCATGATAGTTCAGTGTAAGCACCTGTGTGGAGTTATTCAAAATGAAAACCTCTCTGCAAAAGGTCTATTTCTGATGAGAGACAAGTGTGATGTGGAAAAAGTGAAATAAAAAGTGAAACTTTTATTATGTCACAGTCTTCTGCTTCTGGTCGGGATAAAGTGGAGAAGAAGCATTACTGTTTTATCATACTCTATACATTTTAGGGTATTAAAACACAGCATACAACTGATGTGTGAGACGTCATTAACATGGAGACACAGGACAAGATCTGTGTCACTAGTTTAAATTGCTTGTTTCTTTGGAATTGAATTTTTTTTTCAAACATTTGGGATAATTTAAGTACATAAGTGAGCATAATATATACAGTAGCTGTTGTAGTTGTGTTTGGATTTTAATACAAAATAGTACACATTGTACATATTACATACTGTATTGCCAGTTATTAAAATGTTCACTTTTTTATTTACAAAGTTAAAACTGTTTGACTGCTGCTTGGACAACACTTAATTTCTTGTCTTTTAGATGAAGGGACAGTTTCAAATTATGTTTTTATTTATTTATTTATTTATTTATTTATTTATTTATTTACCTTTGTTACGTTCTGATTTTGGGTCAAAATATTTTATTGAACACTGAACATCATTCCTTCCAAAAAAAAAAGTGCAGTAATCTTTACCCTAAGCCTAACCCTTACATTAAGTCATTTCTAAAAATTAGAGGGAAAAGATAAGTTAATAATGAATTATTTTAAATTAAGTACGGTTTTACTGTAAGACTCAATCTGAAATAAACTCTAAAATCTGATTAGTGTAGATTTTGTAAAATTAAGTTTTGTGTGGCTAAAGCATAATCTACTCATCTATTCTATACTCTTTAATACACCAATATAAATGTTTTTAAGACAAGTTTCCAGATGTTTTATACTGACCATACTTAAATCTTTCTGCCTTTCAGATGTTCCTCAAATCTCCAGCTCCTCCAGCTGTACCAGTACTGGTGTTACTGAGTGTTTCTGTGAGGTTGATGGGAATCCCTATCCTGAGGTGGAGTGGCATTTGTCTGGACATCTCGTCTCGAACTCTCCAAACACGTTCATCAGTGAAAAGCGATTGAGCAACACAAGCTTGAGGAGCGTCATCTCTCTACAGTCTCTTACTCACAACTCTCTGCTGTGTGTCAGTAAAAATGCTCATGGCAATGCAAGTCAGCTGTTTTATTTGGTTTTCATTACTGAAAATGAATGTAAGTCCCAGCTTTACAATAATCTGTTTTAGTTGTACATAATTTAGTTAAGAAACATAATAACATATTGGCTTGAAACACAGGGAGATTATATGAACTGTCACTTTTATAGGGTTTAACATTTACTCCCTTATGATTGGAGTTCTTGCTGGAACTTTATTTGTGGTGATCTTATGGGCCTCAATACTGCTCTGCAAGTAAGTACACATTCTCATCTGCTATAACAGTAAAGCTATTGTACAACCTTTTGTTTTTCAGTATCTTTTAGTCAGCATAGAATAATGCCAATTGCCATAACTCGACAGCACTTTAACATGTTCTCTACATTGTAAACTAGACACACCATATTGACAACTTTTTAAAGTAGTATTTTACAAGATACATATTTATACTAATTAACTAAGACTGTTTGAGTCTGTGAGTCTGTTTATTTTATGTTGTACAACAGAACATTATTTATTTTATTATAAAGGGAAAAATAGAAATGTAGAAAAACAACATAAATATATTTGTTTTTATTTTATTTATTTTGTAATTCATAGTGCTTTAAGTGATTATAGTTTCCCCCTCATTGTTAAGTTCTCAAATTTGTTGAATACATAGTCTTTTTTTTTTTCATTTTCATCATCCACTAATCATTTGCATTAAGTTATAATTACCGTTTGTAATATTGGGATTCTTCTTGATGCTGGTTGGGTTCATGGTTTATAACAATTTTTTCCAATACTTTTTCAAATCTAATGCAGCACATGAGAAAAATACTTTTAAACCATCACTGCTTGAAAATATTGATGCATATCCTTTAATTTTTTTTATTAAAAGCTAAAACATATAATATACTTTTATTTAAGTATTAAAAAGCAATAAAATTCAAATGTAATGAAATAAAAGTCAGCAATAAAATAAAAAATGAAATATGTGAGGTTATACGTTTGTAATTATGGTTGGTTTTGCAGACGAAACAGGACTCAAAGGACTGATAAAACTATACTTATTCGGACTGATGTGGTATGTTATATCAAACTCTATTTATTCTCAAATATGTCAAACTTGTAAACAAACTTTTTTAAATAAAGTAATAATCGATATAATTACAATTGTGACATTTCTTATGCATAAAAGCTCTCTACTGATTATTCTTTTTCATCCACTAGGCTGATTCAGTGAACAACGGGGAAGAGTCTTTTTATGCCAATAAAGTGATGATGTCATCAGCCGAAGCCCCAACACAAAATCATCGAGATCACCTACAGTATTCCACTATTAACTTCATAAACAACAGACCAGAGTCAAACCTTGTCAGAGGAATCTCTTCGCTTACCACAGAGTATGCTGCGATCCAATATTGTAGCCAAAATGTAGCAGTAAGTGAAGCAACGAGTGGGGAAGTGCCATCGGTGCTGCCAAATGAAGATCCCGTTTATCAGGTTCCTAACAAAGCAGCAGACAGAACTAAAAGAAAATAGACTTGAGAGTGCAAAAATGAGGTTGAATGTAAAAAAGCACACAATACAATATTTCTAAAAACACCTTAATTCATTCAAACAGGCCTTTTAGAGTTTACTTAAATGTATCAGTTTTCATCAGCAAACTATAGATGACTGTTTCTTGGTTACCATTGATATTAAATGGTGTCAAGGTGACATTTAAAGTAATTTCCCTTTAAGTTCACCCTAGTATTCTATAGAGTATTATTTCCTTTAGGAATTTAAATTCTGCTAACCTTTTTTATGAATATCACTTTGTTTATTAGTTTGCTATCTGATTCCAATTCCATTCAATTTCACATAGAAATGTGTGCTTAGCGATGCTCTTCAAATACGCAATGTTCAGATATACAGTTGAAGTCAGAATTATTAGCCCTCCTGCAATCTTTTATTCATTTTCAAATATTTCCCACTTCACAGTATTTCCTAGAAGATTTATTTTTTCTTCTAGGGTAAGTATTTATTTGTTTAGCTCCAAAAAAAAAAACAACCTTTAAATTGTTTTAAAGCAAATTTCATGGTCAATATTATAATTTATTGCATTATATTATACCAGCTTATATAACAAAGGCTTAACTAGGTTAATTAGATAAAAAGGCAAGTTAGGTTAATTAGACAAGTTATAGCATGTGTGTATAATAAAACCACTATCATAACTAGTTAATATAATAAACCTAGAATATTGCTAAATAACCCAAAAAAAAAAAGATAGTAATAATTGTGATAACAAAAGTAATCAGTCATTATGAATTAGTTATTAAAACTATTATGTTTAGAAGTCATAAAAAATCTCTACCATAAATAGCTGGGAAAGAAAATATTTCACTAGAGGGTTAATAATAACTAATTAATATGTATACTGTATGTTGTTGTGCACTTAAGTCCTAAGTTGGTCATATATCTATTTTGTCTCGATTAGCATTATATTAGCATTATATTATATTACATATTAGCGGTATATTTTATTGATTCCTGCAACTTTTGTAATATTCAAAATTTAAAAAAAAACAAAAAACATATTTTGTAAAAGGTTGATAGTTTATGAACTAATCTCATCAACATAGAAACATTGCTGTAGGTTTCAGCTTTTAGATTTTATAAAGTGGCTTTCCAGTTATTATATGTTTATGGTTTTTCTCACATAACTGCCAAGCCTTATTTAGGTAAAACTGTCTATTTGCATTTTTATGACCACTACACTATAATTACAGCTATGGCATTGGCATTTTAATCACATGAGTGTTACTTTTAGTTTATTATTGAATTTTTAGCTATTCTGCTGTATATAGATCATAGGTTCTATTTCCAAGTCATGTTGTTGTTCATATATAAATGGTAGATCTGTTTATATATGTATTAATTGTACGTCCATCCTCAAGCTCTTTCAATTGCCTAATTTCTAAAAACAGTGCTATAAACTCATCCTGCAGTTCCATTACATATTTCAATTACTGCTGTAAAACCTCCTATCTCATGTCTCATACTGCACATAACACAGTAAAACTCCCCCTTTGTGTTGACTTCTATTTTGCATTGTGGTTATACTATGACAACATTCACTTTGTTCTCAAAGACTTTGTGTTTGCAAATGTACATGGATTTTAATGTATTTAAAATCTAATCTAATTTTGGTAAATATTTAAACAGTGCAGCTAAACTACTCTGAAGGAAGTCACAAAGTATGTAGTTATTGCTTAACGTGCACTCTGTGTTATAGCTATGCCAATTTCAGATGTCTGAAAAAATAATAAAATGCTGAAACTTTTTTCAGCAAAGTAAGTTGCAAAGGTTTGATTTCTCCTGTGTGAAATGTTGGGGGCTCCTTTGCTTTTTGACTACGTTTTTTTTTTTTTCAATTCCATGTACATTAATTTTCTTGTTTTCTGATAAAACTCTCACTTTAGTGTTAATTGTTCATGATAATTATACAAAATTTTGACAGACTGAGCTTAAAATAAACAGGGCCTTAAAGTAACTTGCTCATGAATTCCAGCATGACAATTGTTTCTGTTACATCGGAGTGTGAGGTAAGATGTAGACCCAAGTATAAATTTTTTTAAAACACACAAAATAGTCACAAATTATTAATAATTAATAATTCAAATTTAAACATACTTCAAATTGATTGTAAAAATATTTTACAGTTCTTCCTTTTACCAAAATCCAATAAATAGTGCTTTATTCTTTGAATAATGTAATATTATGACACCATATAGTTTGCTTAAGAATGTTTTTAAAATTGTTCGTTCATTGCTACAGATTGTTTTAAGAATTTTAACTTTAAATGTATAAAAAGGTATTAATGTGAAATGCTCTCAACATAAGATCAACAAACTCCTTTTAGAAAGTAATATTTCATCCTGATATAACAAAATTAAATTCTGTTCATGAACATTTATTATTGTAATGTTTCAGCATAAAATACAACTCACACACACAAACACATTTATTACACAATATTTTTATACTCACTTTTTAACAGTTAATTTTTTCAGTCAAAAATATCTAATATTAGATCTTGTGAAATTACTTTACCCTGGTGACGTATGCTGGACTTCTATTAGTTTAGCTCTTGTACGTTAATTTACAATTACTCAGTTGTCTGTAAAAATAGTTATGGAAATATTTAAATTCCAGGTAGTTTTAGTCAATAATTGCATAATTGTAGGGGATTTTCTTTTATTTTATCTCATCACTGAGCTCATTTAAAGTCTTTGGGACCTATCGTACACCCGGCACAATGTGGTGCAAGGCGCGACGCAATTGCTGTTTGCTAGTCTCAGCTTGGCGCAAGAGTCGTTTTGACGTTTTGCGCCACGCTGTTTAAATAGCTAATGCATTTGCGCTCATATGTGCGCCCATAGGTGTTCCAGTCTAAAAAAAAGAAGGCGTTTTGAGGCGCATTGCTGGCACGTTGTTATTTTGAGTAACTTTAATAGTCTGTTCTATAGACCAGGACAAAGCCGGTCTAAAGTCCAGCACAGAGCACGTTAGTTGTGCACCTCATTTACACACTGCTTAATACACACAAGATGTAGAGCAATATGCAAATAACTTTACAAATTAAAAATTATTTTCACAAAACACACCTATAACTTATTAAGAAAATAAGCTCAACCCCTTTAGACCATGCCCCATGGCGCAACGCGGATTTTTCCATCCTTATATTAGCAAAAATGGATTCTGACACGCCCTTAATGCGTCTGCACACTGCGCTTTGCACTTTGTGCATGGATCATCAAAATAGAGCCCTATAGCTTCTTTTTATAAATTACAGCTTAATTTACAGTTTAATTTACAGTTTTAAAACAGGGTGCTGTAGTATTAAAACATTTTTAAACCTGTAACTTCCCGTTTTACTCTGGCAATCTTTTTTGTAATTTAAAGTATTTCATTTGTCCTATTAATGATAATAAGTGTACATGTATTAACTTGCAGAAATGTCTCAATTAATATATATATATATATATCTCAAGTTAGAAAGAAATACAGTGGTGCTAGACATTTCTGTATATGATGCAACACTGTTTTTTTAACCATGTTTATAATTAGCCAAATACTAAATTTGTCATCATTTACTCATCAATTCCAACTTGTGTTTCCAGTAAGTTATTCAATTTTTTCCATTTTCCTGAATTATTCAGTAATACATAATGTGTTTACAGCTTAATTACAGTCTAATTTAAATGGAAACTGTTTGTGGTTTTGTGATAAAAATTAATGTTTGTGCTTTTTTAGGAACTAGACTAATGTGATAAAAAGGAAGCTGTAATGGGTATGATCACAGTGGGTGTGTTGTGTTCTATTCATACGTTTCAGAAGCAGATGTAAACCTGGGAACTATTTTAGAAGATTGTACTCTGAAAAAGGTGAGGACAGTTTTTATACATTTTTGAAGGCAAGATTTTGGATGTTTTCCCAGAGGCATACATGTATTTTTTATTCTTTTTTCAATTTCACAGAAGGATGGACATCTGGATTGTAAAGAAAATTATTCTTCTCAGCTTTCTGTTGAAAGGTTTATATGTTCTTTTCCTTGACAAATTAAATTCGTTTTTTATTGTGACTGTAATGACAATGGGGAACTATTACATATTTAAAATCTAGTTTGGTATAATATACTGTCTTCAAAGATGGCTTGTAGTGTTGGTGAATGTTTTGACTGAAATACTATATTATCATGTGTGTTGTAGGTGTTTGCTGTAGAGATTTCAACGTCAGTTTGCCAGAGAAGATTCAAGCTCTCAATGGATCCTGTGTGATTGTAAAGTGCAGATTTGACATTAAAGAGTCATATGATAAAGACCTCACTGAGAGAGCTGCTGGAGTCTGGTATAAAGACAAACATGATACAAGCAGCAGTGTAGTGTTTAACTCCAGTGCATCAATGCAGAACTCTTTTATTAAAGGGAATATAACTGGAAAATTAAAAGACAAGGACTGCACCACTGTTTTTTATGATATCAGATCAATTCACAGTGGTCAGTATTTCTTCAGGATTGAGGGTGAAGGTGGACTGAAATGGACCTTTACAAAAAGCAATACTTCAGTAGTTGTGATCGGTGAGTGACTTCATGACTGGTTAACATAATCTCTAAATTATGATTCTATATTAAAACCAAATTTGTTTATTACTTGAAATGTACAGAATGAAAAATCAATAAGTAGACATTTTTTATTATTAAAATTTTTATCTATATTATTTTTGTTCACATACTAAAGACCAATTACCATGTCTGTAAACATTCAGGATGCGCGCGCAGGGAGGTGGCAGAAAGCAACCGGGAGCGCCAGCATTTACAGCTAGGGAATGACATCAGATGCGGTGCAGAGTTTGTTGTTGTCTTAGAAATAAAATTTATTCTTACATATTATATATATTATTTACATAATGCTTATAGCATGTTATAACAGCTTGTCACCCAGTGACAACCACAGTGATTCAGCAAAATTAACGTAAAAGTGAACGGCGTTCATCTGACAGGTCCATTTGCGATAGCACCCTCCCAATGGATATTGGACAAGACGAAATGACCGAGCATCCAGCCCGAAATATACAATCTCATTGAGGCTCCGAGTGATTTTACAAGTGAGAAGTTAAAGGCCTACAAGTCTTTGGATACCAACAGTGTTGTTCTTTTTTGTCATGTGCAAGAAATAGTGCTTTATGATGATTCAAGAGCTAAACATCGAGATTCCGCCTAGCCAAAGACAAGGAAACAAGACGGAGCTAACGTTATATAAGGCCTGTGTAATTAATCACCAACACGCAAAACAACTGCATTCTGACAATGAACTTCACCTGTACGGCAGGGTACGTGAACCTACACATAGAGCTAAAGTTGGTTTTATATTCGCACATTCAGACTTTCTCCTTAATAATATAATTTCATAAAAATGTTATTTGCAAACTCTAAATAGCAAAATCATATTAGCAGCAGCCAATGACTATCAATATACAACATTGTTTACAGTCAAATAAACAGTATTAATGTTGTTTTCAAGTCACACTTGCGGGTTATTTCAGACCGAATATTGCCGTGGTAAACAATATAGGGAGTGTTTCACAAGTTGTCACTGAATGAATGTGTGAATATAAAACCAAGTTTACCTTAATAAAAGTAACTTTCACGATTCATTCTTAGCATTCGGTGTCCGCAGTTTAATTAACCATATGTAACTGTTTTTGCTGAAATCATTTCTGCAATCAAAAACGAATGATGTGTATGATTTAGCAAAGCGTGAACTTACCTGATATGACATGAGAACTGCAGAGTCCAGCATTTCTAATTAGCTCCTTACTTCATTCAGCTCCCATTTAGTCAAAGACGTCTGCAGTCGGTAAGCAGTGTGTAATGTATGGTAAAAGTTCAGATTTCTGTTTTTGGACTCAAATTCGGCATCCTACCGCACAACACGACATCTTTCCCATTGTAGCCTGTCTTTTTGCAATCAGGGACCCATGTGACGTCATGCGTGACGTAGGTTGGTAATTAGTCTATTAAATTCTCAAACTTTTTATGGTTTCATTTTGTTCTGTTTGACCGTAGCAGGTCATTTAATCACATGTTATACCTATAAAAGAGCATTTCTTTGCTGAAAAAATGTTGAGACTGTAAAGTAAATTCTATTAAAGACCAATCTATGTATGTTTCAGAAACTTTGGAGAATCCTCGAGTTCTGCTGTATGAGGATAAGCAAGAGCTGCACAATCAGCAGGAGGTGTTGGAGGGCAGATCTGTAAGTCTGCGCTGCTCTGCTGAGACTCTCTGCTCTTCTTCTCCAGCAACTCTCACATGGAGCTCCACTGCCAGAATCCCCCACAGTGAGAGCAGCAAACTACAGGATCTCATCGTCTCTGATCTGAACTTCACTGCTGCTCCGCGGCACAACAGAGTCACTTTCATCTGCTCTATAAGCTACCAGCTGCAGGACAACAACAAAACAGCTCACAGCAGCATCACATTACATGTGCAGTGTAGGACTTTTACTGCTATCTGTTCTCTTCTCCTCTATAAGACACTCATAAATCTATAAGTTCAATATCATTTTGTCTTTCTTTTTCAGATGCTCCTCGAATCTCCAATTCCTCCAGCTGTAACAGTACTAATGTAACTGTGTGTTTCTGTGAGGTTGATGGGAATCCCTCTCCTGTAGTGGAGTGGCATCTATCTGGACGTCCCGTCTCGAACTCTTCAAACACGTTCATCAGTGAAGAGCGATTGAGCAACACAAGCTTGAGGAGCTTCATCTCTCTACATCAGTCTCTCACGCACACAAACACTCTACTGTGTTTCAGTAAAAACACTCGTGGCAATGCAACTCAAATTCTTCAACTGACTCCCTTTTCTCAGGATAGAGGTAAATCTAAATACAACTTAAACTGCTGATATATTGTATCCACAATTATTTGAACAAATACTTTTTTGCTTGCTAGGTGTACACAGTTTCTCTGTCCTGATTGGAGTTGCTGTTGGGGTTTCCTTGATAATGATGTGCATTATTATATATTGTGTACGGTATGTACATACAATTAAGGTCTTTTGGGGGTTTTGTGACTTTTCTTTGTGTATCTTTGTCATAATAAACATCTCAATAATGAGGTTTTCAAAGTTCTTAAAGGAATAGTTCACCCAAAAAATTAAAAAATTCTGCTGATTTGCTTATGCTTGACTTGTTCAATGGCTATTTGAGATTCTTTCTTCAGCATTCTTTACAATTTCTTATTTTGTGTTTAACAGTAGAAAGAAACTCATAAAAGTTAAAACCACATGAAGGAAAATAAATTATGAAGTAAAATCTTAAAGGGGTAGTTCACCCAAAACAGAATGTTCTGTAATTATGCACTACACCCTTCATTTGTCACAAACCAATTTTGAGTTCTTCTTTTCTGTTCAAACAAATGAGGTTATTTTGAACAATGGAGCGAACCTATAACCATTAACTTCCATAATATTTGTTTCTCATGCTATGGAAGTCAATGGTTACAGGCTTCTAACATATTTCAAAATATATTGTTTTGTGTGCAACTGAAAAGGGAAACTCATAAAGTGCAGTATGGAGCAGGGTGAATATATTTTTATTTTTGGATGAACTAACCCTTTAAATTTTCAACCTTTAGAGGTCCTGTAGCATATGCTTAAATAACACAAGCTCTGTACAGACTACTGCTCAGTTGATAGGGGGTTATTATTGTCATAGTCACAGTCCTTGATTTGCTTTTTTCAATCCTATTTAGAAAAGAAAGATGCAGATGCTTACAGACAAAACAAGAAGATACTACTGGAGTCATTACGACTGATGGGGTGAGTGCCAACAACTCACAATGTTCATTCATTCATTATGGCAACCTCATATACACAATTACTGACAAATATTACATAATTTTAGAGGTACAGTTCACTTAAAATCTTTCAAGCACATGCTTTTCTTTATTCTATATCCATTGTCAGGAAAAGCTATTTTTAAATGCAGTGCATTACAATATTGTGTTACTTCCTAAAAAACATAATTTGCTTTTCTTAGCTTCCGTTTATGTAAAGTAATGTATTAAATTACTTTTTTTTTTTTTTCTCTCATTTGGATCAAGCTTCTTAACAAAAAATTGTTTTGTCTAATTTAATAACCCTTTCACATCACAACTGAAATTTACAAGCAAGTGTAAATTTACATCTGTACAGTAGAGGGCACAGCTCAAACAAGCTTCAGAATAGCGAAAGGTTTGATATTCTAGCTCCTGTTTAATTCACACTTCATTATACCTCACTCATTGTCTAGGCTGTTCAACTGGAGAACAAAACTGAATATGCCAATTATATTATTCTACCTCCTGAACTCACCACAATACATCCTCAAGAATCTCTCCATTATGCCTCAGTTGAGTTCAAAAACATCAAACAAGAGTCAAAGGAAATGAAGGAAAAATCATCACTGACCACTGACTATGCTGTTATCAATTACTCTGGTGGAGTGACAGAGACGGAAAGCTCTGTGGGAGGTAATCAGCCAAGCATTGCCCCCTCGACTGTGATGACTTATCAGAAAGATTCAAACATACCAGACTGATGCAAATATTAGAGAATGGATAACATGTGAAAACACCTTGTACTGGTCAGGTGATCTTTTTTTTGCTTAATATTTGCAATTAAAATCAACCTGCACACTCATGGACATAATCAGAGATTGTACTTATTTATAAGGGTTTTTTTTTATTACAAAATACATTTTAAAGATATTAAATTTAAAAAAGGCTTATTTTGACTTTTTTTCAGTTGGGAGACAGTCAAGCATCAATATTGCATCTGTTATAAAGTTACAGAAAGATTTTAATATGCCAGACTCATGCACATTTAGGAACAGTTCACATGAAAACATCACCCAGACAATTATTTTTCCTTCATTCTTTCCCTCTGACGGTGTACTGTACATTTAGCAGTTTGTAGTCCTTTTTTGACTTGATTGAAGTCATTAGGATGGTACAAATACAACAAAACTGAATTGTTGCATCATCTTTTAACCAGCAGAGGGTAGCATTTTTGGCATGTTATCCACACAGACGCAGCTGTAGTGTAACATTGTAGAATTGTATTTGATTTTTTATATAGTATTTCTTTTTATAAATTGAGTATATAAATTTTGTTGGCTTACATCATACTTTTCAGGATTTTTTTTTTTTTCAAATTCCCACGGTCAACAATTCCCACATTTAAATGTATTGTATGCATCTATTGTATTGTACTTTACACTTACAGTGTAAACATTTGTAGAAGTCTATTGAAAAAGTAAAGTGAATATAATTGATTATGGCACCTTGTAATCCTCTGAGTAGTTTGCTAAATGAATCTTGTATTTCTGTCGCTCTAGTATTTACTCAGGTCCTAATATATGTAAAGGGCCAATAATGCAAAATGCTGCAGACATTGATTTTTTACACAGATTGATTGCACTATTGCTTCATGCTGAGTCAAAATGGTACGAACCATTTTGGCAGCATAGATAGTTTATGTCATTTGCATTTGAACTGAGCATGCCTCTGAAGTTAATTAGATTTTAAGTTTTGTGACCAGTTTGTCAAATACAAATAAGTCGCTGGCTCCTTTGACTTATTATTATTATTATTATTATTTGATGAACTGAAATTTGGAAAGTTGCAATACTTTGATGAGCATTTTCAGTGAACTGAAAACAAATTTTTAGTTATACTATTGGCATTTATCTGAAAAAAGAGAGAAAAAAAGCAAAAACACCTTAACAACTTTGAAGACTATATAGTTTGTAAACCAAATAGAGGAAGTTGTACACTATCTGCTAGTATAATGTTCACACACAAGTGTAGTGCAGGCTTAAATGATCATCAGCTAAGGCACAAAACATGGTGTCCTGCATTTAGGAAACTTTAGATTGCCAGCTTCATTAAAGATTTTTCTTTTGGTAAGTGTTAAAATTATCTCCTTATTTATGCTTCTTTAAAATTATGTTCAAGTTTCTGACCTGTAAGATGACTGTAATGGATTCATCAATATAGCAGATATTATCTATATGTGTTTGCTTATAGTGTAATTACAAGAACAATCAGTCAATATACATTCATTTGTGAGGACAAACTGATTTTAATGAGTTCATTTTTGTTATTTGTGCAGGTTTACTGAGTGTCTATTGATAAAGAGATGAACACTGCAGAGAAAATAACTCTCTTCTGTTATCTTCTAAAAGGGTGTGATTTCCGTTTCCTCCTTCTCGTTTAGTTCTAACATCAAAGCCACATTATAACAGGAATTCAAATTCCTAAATGTTTATTTTGTTTTTGGGGTTTACATGACCAAAACAAATTGCTGACAAACTGTTTACAACGTTCTTAAACAATAATAAAATGTTCCATTAGTGAATGTTAATAGAAATACCAACATGAACAAGCAATGAACAATACATTTATTACAGATTTCCATTAATATTTGTCAATGGTACTTGATGAAAATATAGTCATCCATTGTTAGTCAAGGTTATTGCGTTAATTAATGTTAAAAGCATGACTTTATATTACTAAATGTTGATATTAACATGAAGTCAATTTAATAAATGCTGAATAAGTATTTTGAATAATTATTAGCAAACATAATGGGTTGGTGTGGCTGAAAGCTTATATTTTATAAATATTTTTTTCAAGTGTGTTGTAGGTGTTTGCTGTTGAGATTTCAGCATCAGTTTGCTAGAGAAGATTCAAACTCTGTAATGACATCTGTAATAACATTTTCATTTTCATTTTTTTTGTATTTAATCACATTCATTACTGATTTTGCAGAGTTAGACATATACTTGGGCCAACATATTTTGTTGATCTTTGAACGTTGTCCCTGTATGATGTAATTCCTAAGTGCTAAGTGAACAAGAATGATGTATATGCATCTAACCCTGATTGTACTGTAAGTCTAAACCTGAAATAAATTGTAAATTTGTCCCTCAAATCTTATTGGTTGTTTGGAATGTTGTTAGACTTGGTAAAATCAGGTTTTATCTGTCTAAAGCATAATCTATTTATCTATTCCATTCTCTTCAGCTTGGTTCTCTCTGCCTTTCAGATCCTCCTCAAATCTCCAAGTCCTCTAGCTGTTCCAGTATTGATGTAAGTGAGGTTGATGGGAATCTCTCTCCTGAAGTATAGTGGCATCTGTCTGGACGTCCTGTCTCGAACACTTCAAACATGTTCATCAGTGAAGAGCGATTGAGCAACACAAGCTTGTGGAGCTTCATCTCTCTAGATCTCTCTTACACACAAACACTCTGCTGTGTGTCAGTAAAAACACTGGTGGCAATGCAACTCAACTATTTCATCTTCGTCACTCAACAAAAATGTAAGTCTCATTTTTCAGTTTTCTTTATTTACCTGTTTAGAAAAATATATATTTTAGTTGATGTATGTTCTGAGATTCATTCAATAGAAGACAAAGAAGCATCTGACAGTAACCTGTAAATGTCAGAAATCATGCAACTTATTCTGTAGCCACTAAATTATAATTTATTTATTCATTTTCTTTTTGGCTTAGTCCCTTTATTAAGCAGGGGTCACCACAGCGGAATGAACCGCCAACTTATCCAGCATATGTTCTACGCAGCGAATGCCCTTTAATCTGCAACCCATCACTGGGAAACGCCCATACACTCTCATTCACTCACATAAACAATACATACACACATATAGCCAAATTAGCTTACCCAATTCATTGATATAGCGCATGTCTTGTGGGGGAAACCAGAGCACCCAGAGGAAACCCACGCCACTGAATTACATAGAGTTTATTTTCTTTTTCTTTTAAAGTCATTTTGACAACCATTGTTGTAATATTTAACCATTTCCATGTGTGTTCAGTAAAAAATTTCCTCTTTTTCTCTTTCTCTGTGCACACAAGCTGACATTATTATCAGATAAGGCATGCTCTGCCACATTCTGTCTTCACACCTTTAAGCACATCTCATTGTCGTGGAAAGTTAAAGTTATTTTCAGATATCGGTGTCACTATTTTTCCAGTAGCTGCATCTACTTCTGCAAAATGCTAATTAGTATTCAGGGATGTCACAGAGAAGAAGCGTGGTTAATACTGTATATTACCTTAAGCAATCCAAATGTTTAATGAAAAGAAAAGAGACCAAAGTAATAAAAAATTCATTTATTTTTCACAACACCACCCACTGTCTGTTTACTAACATTTGTCAAAACGGTAATGTTTGTTTTTTTATCAGAGAAAAGGATCCTGTACAAGTTAAAAATGACATAAGGCTGTACTGCAAATAAATAAATAAATAAATAAATCTAAATACAAGAAATAAATGAATGATTTTAAAAAGATAGACACTAGATACAAGTCAAGTGTCAATGATATATTTATACTTGGTAAGATTTCTTGAAATGAGAGAACTTACCTAGCCTTTAGCAAAGAACAAATGGTCTTAAAATGAGTATTATAATAGAATGATTTTCCTATTTTGTGTAAAAAAGTTCTTAACTAGAGTTTCTAATTTTTTTAAAGAATTTTAATTACCGTTTATACTTTGTCTTAAACTGAGCCAGGGTATTTAAACTGAAACAAAATTATTATTTGAATTAAATCAAGATCACACATATTATCCACTGTATTCTAATTAATTGTGTTTTAATTAACACAATTATTACTTGTTGCTTCTCAAAATGTATTGAAGAGTATTGCAACAAAACATAAAGTGTATTTTGTCACTAAAGAACAAGTATAAGTGTGATTGAGCATTTTTCTACTGGGAGCACTTAAAATAGGTTACTGCAGCTAAAATAAGAATAAGTCTGGATATTGAACCTTTTAATAGACAAACATAAAACAAGTTATAACAAATAAATATAAAAGGCTGGTCTTCAATTATGTTTCTGTTTGTAATTAAGCAAAATTTGCACCTAACTTTAAGCTTTACTAACGAAGTAGGAAAAGAGATAACTAATCTTAAAACAATCACACGAATCTTACACAATATAATGTTGAATAGTATTCTTAAATCAAGATCAGTGTAAGATTTTTGACTTGACATAAGATTTTTATTTTCTGTCAGGTAGAAATCTACTCTTTATTCTGATTGGAGCTGCTGCTGGAGCTTTGGTGATTGTGATGTTGTGTGCCGTTACATATATATGTGTCCGGTAAGTGCATTAATGTCAATACGAATATTACGCACAATTGCTTATGCATACGATCTTGATTCTAAAATCTGTAAATGGCCAATTTAGTTTATGCAAATCGTATAACAGATGGACTGTGTGGACTGTGGACTAAACCCACACGAACATGGAGGGAACATGCAAAATTAACACAGAAATGCCTCTTGGCCCAGAACAGATTCAAACTTGTGACCTTCTTTTTGTGAGGCCACAGTGATAAACCACTCTGCCTATGCTGTGAATTTAAGTCACTTATTTGATTCTTTTTGTGTGTGTGTGTTGAAGTTTAGGTTTCTATTAAAGACTGTCAAACCTTCTCTGTCATATTCTTTAAATGGCATTTTATTTCCACTTTAATTCTGAACATCTGTCTTAGTGCTATTAATATTATATTTGGTACGTAATCATCCATTGTTGTGTAAGTGATGTATAGTTTCTAAGGATTGTTATTGTATGTCTAGAAGTATGCACTAGATAAAGCAAAAATAAGGAACTGTTGAATAAGAAAAACACAAGGGACAAGGGATTGGAATGGGTAAAATGTGTTTAGGAAAGAATATCGGAATAATAATTTGCATACGTTAATTAGTTATGCATACACTGTATAGACCATCATGATCACAGTTCTAGGTGTCAGAAGTCTCACAAGATACAACCACAGACATTTCATACAGAGATATCGTAAGTTTAAACAATACCAACCTAATATACTGTTGCCACCAAGCTGAAGGTGAGTGTTTTTTTTTTCTATATGTGGTCTAGATCTAGTAAAGGCTGATATTGAATGATGATAAGAGACTGAGAGTATTTTTGTTCTCAGGCTCAGACAGAGACCGACACGTATGGTTCTCTTCAGCCATCTGTTGCTCAAAACTCTGAATATGAAACTCTGAACATTAAGAAAAGAGGAGACAAAATAAAAACATGGGGGAAAAAAATGTACAAACAATGTTCATTTTGATTTCTTCACTCAATTGTTCTTTCTGGATTAAAAAAAATCCAGGAGCAAAGAATTACTTCACATAGTTTATTTCACATGATTTAATATCTGACATGTAAAGCAAAAACATGAAATGTGCTTTTTGTACACATTTGATTAGGCTCAATTTAGTTGTTTTAATAAACACTTATTTTCATATTCAGACTCGTTTACTGCTGAGTTGTGTGTTAAGTGTTGTAAATATGATTAATTGAACCTTAAAGCAAGTATTAAAGTGTTAAAGAGTATTAAAGTGATTTGAGTACATTTGTACTGTCTGATCTTATAGTTTTTCCTTCCTTTATCCATGGAAAGCTGTATGCAGAGGCACATATTTATTGCTCTGAACAGAAACATACATTACCACCGATCCAGACTGTATGCTGTTTTGTAGTGTTTAATAGCAGTGAATCTGACAGGAATGTGAACATTTAGACTTTTTACCCACCAACACTTACAAAAACTGCTGAACAGTTAAACAAAGACGTTTTCCAGCAAAGACATAAAATTGTCTGTTTTTTTAGACCATTCAAGAAATTAAGGAAATCATCTATAAGCTACAAAACAGCTCAAAGATTAATGAATATTTAAGTGACCAGATAACCTCTCTTGCTTTTTAAGGTAAAACAGGTTGCAAGGCGTTGTTGGCACAGGAAGTTCAGTCAGTACTTTGTGTGGGTTACTCTGTCCCTGTCACACTCCTGTAGCCTCACATCAGCAGCAGGGCAGTTCTTATCATTCGCATATTTGACACTTTAACAATCTTTTTTCCCTTTCTTTTTTATCTGTAGTATTTTTAGTTTTAAGAAACACCTTGGTAGCTGCACTGGTTTGACTGTTTTCTTATTTCTGGTAAGTCAGTTCATAAAAATGCTGACAATAGTAGTTTTGTATTTTAAAGAAATCTGTTTGTGATTTGTGAGGTTAATTTGTGTTAATTTGTGAGGCTTAATATATAATGTTCATGAGTTTCAAATTTTCTCCACAGGACTGAGTGTCAGTTAATAAAGAGATGAACACTGCTGAGAAAATCATTTCTGTTTGTTTTCTCCTGCAAGGTTTGCCTTTCTTTTCCTTCTTATCTAAGTGTGTTTATTGTATATCAGCTAGTTTATGTGCACATTTAGGGTCTCCGTGGGCCTTAAAAATTACTAATTCTTTTTTTCACACTTTAAGGCTCAAATCAAAGCATAAAGTCATGAAGGTAAATGTTAAATGAAGTACAAAAAAAAGCATCTCCAATACAATTGTTAAAAGTCAAGAAAGATGAACTTAAATGCTATATATTGAAAGACTTACAGATTGTTTCATTTAAAAAAAAAGAGAGAAAATAAAGTGATTAAGTGATCTGAAGCTCTGTCAGTCCTGTTTGAAATTACTTTTATATTTGAATTAATTTATCTTAGATCTTTGGCAGATAATTATTCTTGGTAATATTCAACCTGCTTCATTTTGACAAAGTATTTATTTATTATTTGCATTGTGATTAGTAAGTACAAAGCTATGCATTTTGTTTTTGTTTAGGTAAAATAAAATAAAATAAAACAAAATGTCATACTGTATATCTACCTTCAGAAATTCTGTGAAATAACTAGTAAATTAACTAGTTTAAATGGTAAAATGTTTAGTCTGTACAAATTTATAGACTTTTAACTATTTTCTCGTAAAGTGATTTATACATAAAATGTGTTAAAGTCGTACTAGGGAAGATTATACTGTTGCTGATTTTCTGCTCATATGTTAAAATGTCTATCAGGTTACAAAATTGCGTTATAAACTTGGTAAAAAAAACATCATGTTTCTTTCTGCTTCTATTTGAAATCTTTTTATCATGTGTGTTGTAGGTGTGTGCTGTAGAGATTTCAGCATCAGTTTGCCAGAGAAGATTCAAGCTCTCAGTGGATCCTGTGTGATTATAAAGTGCAGATTTGACATAAAAGAGTCATATGATAAAGACCTCACTGAGAGAGCTGCTGGAGTCTGGTATAAAGACAGACATGATAAGAGCAGCAGTATAGTGTTTAACTCCAGTGCATCAACCCAGAACTTTTTTATTAAAGGGAATATAACTGGACAATTAATAGACAAGGACTGTACCACTGTCTTTTATGATGTCACATCAAATCACAGTGGTCAGTATTTCTTCAGGATTGAGAGTGAAGGTGAACTGAGATGGACCTACAAAGAAAACAGTGTTTCCGTAGATGTGATTGGTGAGTGACTTCATGACCTAATATTAGTGTAAATTGTCTCATCAAAATTGTATAGAATGAAAACTAGTGCCTATATAAGTAGTAGTTTCTCTGGTAAATATAGCATTTTATTGCTAAAAAAAATTAAATGTTGTTTTGTTTTATGCTTGACACTGTAGACCTTTAAACATAGAATGTTTTATTTCTATTAAAGACCAATCTATGTGTGTTTCAGAAACTTTGGAGAATCCTCGAGTTGTGCTGTATGTGGATGGGCAGGAGCTGCAGGATCAGCAGAAGGTGTTTGAGGGCAGATCTGTGAGTCTGCGCTGCTCTGCTAAGACTCTCTGCTCTTCTCCTCCAGCAACTCTCACATGGAGCTCCACTGCCAGAATTCCCCACAGTGAGAGCATTAATCTAAAGGAGCTCATCATCTCTGATCTGAACTTCACTGCTGCCCAGCGGCACCACAGAGTCACTTTCACCTGCTCTATAAGCTACCAGCTGCAGGACAACAACAAAACAGCTAACAGCAGCATCACATTACATGTGCAGTGTAGGACTTTTACTGCCATCTGTTCTCTTCTCCTCCATAAGACACTCATAAATCTATAAGTTCAATATCCTTCTCTCTCTCTTTTCAGATGCTCCTCAGATCTCAAACTCCAGCTGTTCCAGTACTGATGTTACTGTGTGTTTCTGTGAGGTTGATGGGAATCCCTCTCCTGAAGTGGAGTGGCATCTATCTGGATGTCCTGTCTCGAACTCTTCAAACACGTTAATCAGTGAAGAGCGATTGAGCAACACAAGCTTGAGGAGCTTCATCTCTCTACATCAGTCTCTCACACACACAAACACTCTGCTGTGTGTCAGTAAAAACACCCGTGGCGCATCAACTCTACAGTTTCATCTGGTCTTTGTCCCTCAAAAAGAAAGTAAGTCAGTTTTCAGTTTTCTTCATTTGTCTGTTAAGATAAAATAGATTAGTTTGATAAATATGGTTATTATATATTTATAGTTTCTTTCTTTAGTTACACACACAAAAATAGTAATGTTGGTAATCAGAGTTGACAGTCACCACTGTCAGTGGCTGCTATCTCTGTCTGTTTTCCACCATTTGTCAAAATGGTTTATGTTTTATTTGTATTATTTAACAGAAGAAGTAAACCTTTTCAAACATTTTGCACTGCAAAATAATAACTGCATTTGAACAAGAGAAATAAATGAATGATTTAAAATGATACAAACTTAAATGAAATCAAATGATCTGCCAGTGCAGTGAGATTGTTATACTTGGTAGGCTTTCTTGAAATAAGAAAATGTATAGGCTTTAATAAAAACAATGTCTTAAAATAGGTATTATAGTAAAAACTTAATAGCTTTTTAAACTAAACGATTTCCTCATTTTATGTGAAAAGGTCTTAAATCTTAAAAAAAAAGAGTTAAACAGGAGAATTCCTCTTAGTTTAAGGATTGTCATTATATATTCTGGCTTAAAGTTAGCTAAACCATTTAAACTTAAAACAAGAACAAGGTTTTGCCCTGTGTTGCCCGACGTGGAGGCGAAGGACCACATAAAAAGCCAGTGGAGTGTGGTCGCCTCTGCAAAGTGCATTAAAATTCTTTTAAAGCACAGCAAGCAATTCATTATCCTGCTTATTTCATGGTCATTTGCTAAGGTAGGCCCATATACAAATTCAAACTTTTTTTGCTGTTTGCAGCACAGTATTTGTCTAAATTGCCAGTTTTGACATGTTAGATTATTTAGTCTCTACACTGAATCAGCGGGAGTCCTTCGACTTTACATCATTCATTAAAAATACTTTATTGCACAGCAAACCATTGATTATTCGTTGCAGCACACATACAAGCCCATTGTCCACAATTATTTTATTAAAATTAGGACATAACAGTAGTTACAATGCAAATCTAATACTTGCTGCTTCTTAAAATAAACTGAAGATTACTGCAGCAAAACATAACAGGATGTATTTTGTCACTAAAGAACAAGTATAAGTGTGATTGAGCATTTTTAATGAGCAAACTTTAAACAAGTTACTTCAGCTAAAATAAGAATAAGTCTGAAAGAACTAAAATAAAAATACAAGACTGCTCTTAAATTATGTTTCTAATTGTAATTAGCTGTAAAATACATACCTTTAAGCTTTACTGTTAATAGTTTTTGGCTTGAAGATTGTATCTCTTGACTAGATTTAATAGAGTTTTTTTACTGTGTAAATGATGATAGAATATTAATATTTTGGTAAACTATATTTGTCTTTATGACTGTCCAGCACTCGAGTAATTAAACCAGTCAATTATCAGCAGTTTTGCTAACACTCTTTTTTTGTTCTTGTCTTGAATTCAGTCTATATTCTGATTGGAGCTGCTGCTGGGGCTTTGGTGATTGTGCTGTTGTGGGCCGTCACATATGCATATACATGTGTCCGGTAAGTGCATTAATATCAATAAGATTATTATACACAATGTCTTTGTTTATGTGAACAATCACGCATCATTAGTGTATTCATAACTTAATGTAGAATGAATGAGCAAGAATGAAAGGTAAACTGCAGCTGTTTCATATTCCTCTTACAATCATTAAAGGGAAAACCTGCTGCATCTTTTTACATTACTGTGATTTGTGAATATCTTGTAAGTCTCAGAAAACCTTGAGCATGAAGAGCAGTTGCCAGTTGTTTTTGTAATATCCATCACATACAAAGACATCAATTGGTTGTGTATTTTTGAGTGACTTTTTTGCTTCCTTGGTTTTACTCAAATAAAATATGAAATATTTTAACATGTACTGTATGTATTTCGTCAGTAGAAAAAACAATGAAAAAATTCAACCAACTAACCAAGAAGAAGGTGCTAATGAAAGTGTTGAAAATACAGATGAAGTGAGTTACAACACACACATAAAAACACACAAACGCTTTAATCATAAACACAACATATTTAAAAAAATCGTGAAGTTGCAAAAAAAACTAAATGCATTATTTACCAACCAGACTAGTTATTATACAATATATGATTGCTGAACAGTTTTAATAGACACAATTAATCCCTTCTGCTCTTCCATAGGAGAATCAAGACGACTCTGCAAATAACGTCATAATATCATCTGCTGGAGCCACTACAGCAAATCAAAAATCCATCATTTATTCCTCCATTGACTTCTCAAATTCTGAATCACGCTCACAGCAGGTGGTTAGCGTCTCCTGTCTTCTTGCTGACTATGCAGTGGTCCAGCATGGTTCTGGCGGAGCAGCAGAAGCAGAGTTCAGTGAGAGAGTCTTCAAGATCGACAGAAGCACAGGTGAAAGTGAGAGCAGATGAGCTTACTAAAAAAACACAGTCAAAGCAATTAGAGGAAGAGCTGTTTGGAGAAGACTTTATGCAAAGGTCCATAAACACCATAGTCCTTAGAGAACATCAGCATGACTGTTTGATCAAGACAAAGTGCAGTTCAGAGTGTTGGCTTAGAATATTCAAAATTTGTAAAGCCTTTTTTCTTGTCTCATCAATCTCTGTATGTCACAATGAATTTGTTTTTAGTAGATTTTTATACGTATATAATCTATAGATTTTATGCAATATTTGCTGTTTTTATTGAAAAGAATGAAACTTTTATTGATTCAATGAAACTTAACAAAAGTGTTCATTTAAGTTGTCTTTGAAAAGCATGTAAACTGATTTATATGTAAAGTTCTCAAAAATGTTTAATAAATGAAAAGGATGTAGCGTTTACATGTATGAAAGAGATATTCTGTAATGTAAAGTCAACATGTCATGCAAATAAAGTTATTAATTTAATCTTTAGTGAAACTGACTAAAATATTGAGTTAAACTTTAATAGCTTAAAGATTTAGTTGAAACCTGATTAACTTATTAAAATAAGTAAAAGTGTCATAAAAACAATTGTTGCCACAACTTTTTGTTTGATAAATTTTTTACGATGCATAGTGCCAGTGACTTGTGTAGCTTTTGCAAAAGTTTTAGTTCATTAAGATCAAATTCTCTTGCAGTTTTCTCGCTGTTGTTGTTTTAGTTTTGTTATTTTAGGTATTATTTAGTTTTTTAAATATAATAATCAAGATTGCTCACACTTTTAGGTCTGTAAGCTGGTTTGTCCATTAATGTGTATACCAACTGCTCTCTGCGGTCTTTGCACATTAAGCTGAGAATAAAGCTTAAAAAAAAGTAAAAGTTTAAAGTCTTAATGTTAAAATTTCATGAAATTTATGACTGTCAGCAGTACCTATTCAGTCAGTGTAAAATTTTAAGTAACTTCATGCAGCACACTTTTACTCAATCTCATGTAGCAGAAATATCATGTAGCAGAAAAACCTGAACTTGTGATTCAGAAAAACAAAACATGACTGATTTTCAATCTTGACCAGTAAATCAGGAAGTTTATTAGCCACCTTTTTTTTACACTTTTCACTTCTGGTAAGTCTTACACTCTTTTTCTTTTCCTGTAGACATTTCTTTAGATGTACTGTTAGTTTGTTTATGGTAAACTTGCATTTCTTTAGATGTACTGTTAGTTTGTTTATGGTAAACTTGCACTTGATTAAAGTCTGTTAAATGCTGTAGCAATTTATGGATGTAAATACATGTAGGTAACAATTCATTCTAGTAACTGGCTTATTACCTGCCTATTATTGAGAAATTGAGTTTTTATTATTAGTTATGAAGTATGATCTAATTCTGCATCCCTTATTCTACTTAAAACCTAAACCCAACTTCTACCTTACTAATTATTAATTTACTAATTAGTAGTTTATTAAGCTAGTAGTGTTAGTAATGGTTTGTTAATACTGTGAAATGTGACCTAAACTAAAGTGTTGTTTTTTCTCACAGGACTGAGCTGATGTTAATGAAGAAATTTATAGTGAATAGAAAACATCCTCTGTTTTCTCTTACAAGGTGAGGTTTCCTTTCTTTTCTTCCCTTTAAATTTTACCAATAAAACAGGCATGTTTATATGACAGTCTATTACTGATGATGAGTAATTCCCACATCCCAATTACATGCAAATACTGCAAAATAACCAAGTTGTCACATTATTCAATAACCATAATTCCATAAACGTTTTTGGAAGCTCTCCATAAAGCACTTGCACTCACATTTCTCTTTTTTTCAAGCAATAATAAAAAACCAAAAAAAAAAAAAAAAAAAAAAAAAAAAAAAAATATATATATATATATATATATATATATATATATATATATATATATATATATATATATATATATACATACTATTCAGAATAAGCTATGTTGAAAAGAACTATATTGTCAACATGGCCTTTAGTGCTAAAAAGGCATGTTGTTCTTAGTGCTGTTTTCTTTGTAAATTAGGGAGGAAGTGAAGTACACATTTATAACCACTATAACCTACAGTACACTATCTTAGCAAAAAAAAATAATTCACAGAATAGAGAAGTCAGTCCTGAGAAAAAAAAACTCTTTTATCTTTTGTTTGCAGGTTTGTCATTTTGTATCTAATTAATGTTTCAAGTGTAGTTTAGCGTCAGTTCTGGCAGGTCATGTTAGTCAAGCTCAACTGATTCACTTTAAGAAAACAATACCAGTCACAGCCTTCCCATAAACCCACAGTTTCACCCTCTAGTTCACAGTCAGCATTTATATTAATCTCTCTGTAATAAAGAACAATGATGTATTTCAGATATCATTAATGTAGATTTGATTCTGTTGATGTGAGGTTATACTGCAACTTTCTTTCCCTTATTTCCCATAATTAATCCCTTAAAAGTGTTCTTGCCCAGAACAGAGGCATATGTTACCATCAGTACAGACTGTGTGCTTTTTGTCAGTCTTTGATAGCCGTAGTGCTGACAGAAACACAATTACAATTTCTTTTCTAACCAAATTACAGAACAACATTGATTAATTCAATAGGTGAATAAAGGAGATAAGAATGAGATAAGAAATTAAACTTCTTTTTTTCATACATTTTCTGAATGTAATGTAATGTAAGTTATTGGACAAATATTTTTGCATTTTGAGACTGATGTCGACACAGGAAGTTCAGTCAGTATTAAGAGTTTGTGACTTCTTCACATCACACTCCTGCTTAGCCTCACATCAGCAGCAGGGCAATTCTTATTGCATTAATACATGACAATTTTTCTTTTTGTTTCTAAAAAAGATCTTGGAAACTAACACTGACTGTTTTATCATTTCTGGTAAGTGAAAATATTCAGTATGTTGGACATTTTTAATGAACTTATGAATATCGCGTGTTTTACATTAAACTCTATATGATTCTCATGTAATTTATACATTGGTAAAACTTTACAGTAAGTGTGTATTATTGAACATTAATTAATAATAAACACCATCTATTAAGCATTACTTAATCTTTGTTAATGTTAACTAATGCTTCTCCTTATATAAGCAGTAATGCAAAATCAGTCAGAGACATAGATTTTCACTTGCAACTTGCAGCTTAATATATTGAACAGTTTAACTTGTTAATGTTTACTTACACATACACTAATGTACAGTGTATGGTAATGAATTAAATAATGTGACTGATTGAATAAACAACACATTTATTCAGGAATACTAAATATTTGATCGTTTAAACAAACAAATGCATTGATGTGGCAGTAATGTGTTACTTAACATGATCAAACAATGAACGGGGTTCATAAACAATATTCAACACGCATATTATTATTGTTAGTGGACTCTTTACTAACATGAAACAAATTTGTATCAAGAGAATTAGAAACCATATTGTATATTGTACACTAGTACAACATTTTCTAATCCTAATGTGTAAGTAAGCTTTCTTAACTCTGCTAACATGATTTGTCACTAGTAGCGCTCGTTATTAATTCTTAATTTTTTATAAATATTTTTATTATGTAGGGATAGTTTACAGCTTGACCCAAAGAATGACCAGTCTGGTAGATGAAGAAGAGCCAGAGTCAGAGATTTAAATAAATAAATCAAGTTTACTGAAGATAGTTTGCAGTTACATCAACAGAAGCCAGCTTCAACACTCGCAATGAGTTCCTAGGCCACTCTGCTTACAATCACCAATCAATAACAATTATACTCTCACATAACGTCATTAACTGCGTCACACATATAGGTGTTCTAACCTGATTGGTTAAAACACAGATAGACTAGGAAATTTTTACGTGGGGTTTGTGCGTATATTCTGAACAATATCTTAAGCATAAACGTCAGACATCCCTTAGACTGATCAGAGCTGGCTCCAGACCTGTGAAACGGATCAACAATCAAATAGAACAGACACACTTAAAGTATAATCTGTTTCTTATCCAAGGCTGAGTGTACTCTCAGCCTTCTTTATCGAAACAGATTAAAAACTGGTATAATCTACATTTAGGCAATTATATTCTTACTATACAAAGTCTATCTTGAATACCAGTAGAATCACTTTAAAAGAATTAACCGTAAAAATAGCAAAATCGCTTTAGACATTTTAGACAGTATTAACTTGTCGAAATAACAATAGAAACAGTTACTTCCTGTCCTCAGCTCTCAGTTCCACTCAAAGTCTCCGTGACCTCTGACCTAGTTTGGTGGCTTCTGAAAATAGTTATTAAAAGACAGGCAAATGCACTGAACATTCTTATATTAAGCAATGTGTTAACATATTCATTAATTGAAATCAATTCACAGTTAAATACTGAGAAACAGGATTATGAAAAGGATAAACTTTGGTCCATGATGAGATGGACTGGAAAGCAGAAATCCGAATCCTTTAATTATATATCTTTTTTTAACATGGTAAAGATTAGCAAATTTATCACTGTTGTATAACTTTATAAAGATTCTAAAAGTTTAAATGATGTGTATTTTTGTAATCGCTGTATAGATGTTAGTAACACATGAGTTGATATTAGGATGGGTTTAAGTCATGTAATGAATAACATGCAACTCTGAAATTTCCAAATTAACACACAAAACAGCGTTCCTTTAGAATTCCTGTGTCCCGACTTTTATGAGGAACCAAGATTCTATCCTAAGCTTTACCTGTTAGTATGCATTGGTATATAGTAAATTAAAACGAGAAAAGATTGCGTAGTGATGAACCTGACTCGTTGTTCATTATGTTCATGCTAACTAATGCAATAACTAGCACATTACTATAATTGCGAGTTTACATTAACAAAGACTTAGTTTAAATAAATGCATTGTTTGTTGTTGTTGTTTGATCATTTTATTTAATCCTTTATTAACAAAGATGAATTGTCAGTCACCATTAGATGAAGTCCATGAACATTAGTTCATGTTGCTAATGCATTATCTCACACATTATTATATGTTTAGTTAAGATTAAGGTTAAGTAATTCAGATGAAGTAAAACAGATGTGTTGTTAATTGTTAAATCATGTTGACTAAAGCATTAACTAATGTTAACTAATACAACCTTAAGTGTTACCTATATATGTGAAAACAAAAGTGTGTGTTTCTCTACAGGATTGAGTGACTGTTAATAAAAAGATGGACACTACTCAGAAAATCATTATCTTCTGTTTTCTCTTGCAAGGTATGTTTTTCTTCCTGATTCTGCTAGTAAAATGTAACCTGTTCAGTCTGATCAAGTGTATTAATTAATGAAGAATGTGACAAAATCATTGGCTGTTAAAATTATTGAAGGAGCAAGAAAAAGAGGACAGAGGAGGGAAGAGTGTGCCAGAGAGAGAGAGAGAGAGAGAGAGAGAGAGAGAGGGAGAGAGAGAGAGAGAGAGAGAGAGAGAGAGAGAGAGAGAGGATTTGTTCATATACTAAAGTCATTTTAGAATTGAACACCAATTGTCCAATTGTCCCTTTAAACTTTAAATGAAAATTCATAAGAAACACACAGAGTTGAATAACCAACATTTTAAAGAACATTGTCATTTTGTGTTTCCTTCATATTGCTTATTATTTCGGATAATTTTTTATCAACTTAAACGTTTCTAGTGTAAATTAAGAATATGGTGACTGTTGAAGGGTTAATCTGACTATAAACTGCTAAGTGTCAGTCTTTTTTATTTGTTACTACTCAAATAAGGATCCACACAACATTTTTGTAACACTGTGCTTAAGGTAGATAACACTGATCAATTTGCATCATGAAATGTGTTATATTTAAGGCTTTTCATCATGTGTGTTGTAGGTGTTTGCTGTAGAGATTTCAACATCAGTTTGCCAGAGAAGATTCAAGCTCTCAGTGGATCCTGTGTGGTTATAAAGTGCAGATTTGAGATTAATGAAACATATGATAAAGACCTCACTGAGAGAGCTGCTGGAGTCTGGTATAAAGACACACATGATAAGAGCAGCAGCCCAGTGTTTAACTCTAGTGCATCAACCCAGAACTCTTTTATTAAAGGGAATATAACTGGACAATTAAATTACAAGGACTGTACCACTGTCTTTTATGATGTCACATCAAATCATAGTGGTCAGTATTTCTTCCGGATTGAGGGTGAAGGTGGACTGAAATGGACCTTTACAAAAAGCAATACTTCAGTAGTTGTGATCGGTGAGTGACTTCATGATTAGTTATTATTAGTGTAAATTATTATCTAAAGTGTATAGAATGAAATCCTGAGACTTTATTATTAGTAATTTCTCAGATAAATATTACATTTTACTGCTGAAGTAACTGTTGTTGTTTTTTTGTGTTTGACACTGTAGACCTTTGATCATGCCGTATTTCATGTCAATTGAAGACCATTCTGTATGTGTTTCAGAGTCTCCAGTGAATCCTCAAGTTGTGCTATATGTGAATGAGCAGGAACTGCAGGATCAGCAGGAGGTGTTGGAGGGCAGATCTGTGAGTCTGCGCTGCTCTGCTGACGATCTCTGCTCTTCTCCTCCAGCAACTCTCACATGGAGCTCCACTGCCAGAATCCCCCACAGTGAGAGCAGCAAACTACAGGAGCTCATCATCTCTGATCTGAACTTCACTGCTGCTCAGCGGCACCACAGAGTCACTTTCACCTGCTCTATAAGCTACCAGCTGCAGGACAACAACAAAACAGCTCACAGCAGCATCACATTACATGTGCAGTGTAGGACTTTTACTGCCATCTGTTCTGTTCTGCTCTTCTGCTCCATATGACACTCATAAATCTAGAGGTTTAATATCATTCTTTTTCTTGTTCAGATGCTCCTCAGATCTTAAACTCCAGCTGTAACATTGGGAATGTAAATGTGTGTTTCTGTGAGGTTGATGGGAATCCCTCTCCTGTAGTGGAGTGGCATCTGTCTGGACGTCTCGTCTCAAACTCCTCGAACATGTTCATCAGTGAAGAGCGATTGAGTAACACAAGCTTGAGGAGCTTCATCTCTCTAGATCAGTCTCTCACACAGACAAGCACTCTGCTGTGTGTCAGTAAAAACACTCATGGTAATGAAAGTCTTCAGCTTCTTCCATCTTCAACACGTGAGTTTCTTTTCCATAATTTATCCAATTAAAAAAACAATCTCTCAATATTCTATAAACAGATATCAGCACATGTAATCTTTGATTTCAGTGGGAACACTACTGTTAAAAAATTTTTAGATTGTTCTTCTGTTCTGAAAGTCATTGTTATTTTGTTATTTGAAGTCTATGACCTTCTAAAATAGGTGTGTAAAACTCTGTCCTGGTGGGCCAGTGTCCTGCAGAGTTAAGCTTCAACTTGCCTGTATGGATACAGAAGTCACCAACATTGTTCCTGGAGAGTTACCTTCCAATAGATTTAATTTACAACCCTGAACAAACACACATCCCTGTAATTTTCAAGTGCTGCCTAATTAATTGGTTCAGTTGTGTTTGATCAGGGTTGAGGTGAACTCTGCAGGAAGGTAGCTTTCCAGGAACAGGGTTGGTGACCCCTGGTCTAGTATGAACAGTTAGACCCAAATTAGCTTGCTCAGGTGTGTTTAATTAGAGTTGAAGCTAAACTCTTCAGGACAGTCACCCTCCAGCAGAATTTGGGCACCCTTCCTCTAACACTATTTTTATTCTTTAGGTTTGAGTTTTTCCTTCATGCTGATTGGAGTTGCTGTTGTGCTTTTGGTGACTTTGATATCGGTCATTATATATCTACGGTAGGTCCAACACATATGACAAGGCATTAAGAATGAAACATATAAGAGCAATGTTACTCCACAGAGAAGATCTCCATGTTTAAAACAACATATATACCTAATTTCAAATCGAACACACCATTTTTAAACTCTGACAGTGTTGTTGAAGTTGACCTGTGAACTTGAGGGGAACTTAATTTCCACTTGACACCTTTGATAACCACATTGACATCAGTTTTACACATAAAACTGTTAAAAAAGAGAAGTTATGTCTGAGAAAACACTGAGCATGAATACCTGCTGCTATTTGTTTTTCATAATCATGCATCAATTTCATTGACACCTCATGTATTCATGTCTTTTTACATGAGACTTAATTATGTTGGTTTTGCTAAATGTTAATCTCATTTTAAAAATTAATCTAAATGTAAACCTGTTTTTTTTCCCTAGAAAAGAGCGTGGGAAACTTCAACAAACCAAACAAGAAGAAAGTGCTAAAGGAAGTGGTCAAAATGCAGATAAAGTAAGTAACAGTACACAAAACACACAAATCGTTAATTTATAAACACAACATATTTATAAAATGCTAAAGTTGCAAATAAACTTAAATACATTTTTCACCACTGTACAAACGCTGAACAGTTTTCAAAAGCCACATTAGTTTTCCAGCACTAATTCAGCTCTATCAATCTTTCATGTTACACAGGAGAATGAAGGAGACTCTCTTTATGCCACTGTGTCATCTGTTGAAGACGCCACAGCAAATCCAGACATCCATCGCCAAAAATCCATCATTTATTCCTCCATTGACTTCAAAAACTATAAAGCAGAGTCAGAAGAGGTGGAGAGCGTCTCTTGTCTTCATGCTGACTATGCAGTGGTCCAGCGTGATTCTGGAGGAGCAGCAGAAGCAGAGAGTTTAGTGAGAGAGTTTTCAAGATCAACAGAAGCACAGGTGATTGAGAGAGCAGATAAACTTACTAAACAAACACCGTTAAAGCAATCAGAGGAAGAGCTCTTTGGAGTAGACTCTCAGCTTTATGAAAAGATTACATATCATAGTCCTTAGAGTTAAAATCATTCAAAACAATCAAGCAATTAAACAATGGGATAGGGATTATGTAGTTTTTGCACATTAACTTAAGATATTTTTACTTATTATTTACAATGTTTTATACAATTTGTCAAAGTCTAAAATAAGTAGCGGATTTGCCATTAAAACTGGAATGTGTAGAATGTATTTTTTACAATACATGGGTCCATTCCTATCCTTCCAATGCTTTAGATTGCGCACATAATGTTTGATGTTTGCTGTGCAGGAATTGAGTTTGATGTTCATAATCTAACACATTTGTTAAATAATTAGTTGTTAAATAATTAAAACATTTAAATTGTTAAATAATTATACAAAGGTTCTTTATAAATTGATGATATTGACTACTGTATAACTACTGTAGTTAATATACCATAGTAAAGTGTTTATTTTTTAAAAGTATTTGAATATATTTGTATTGTTCAGTAATATTGAAATCCACCTAAACATTTACATCCACCTCACCATTTACTCATACTCAAGTGGTTCTAAAATTGATTTCTTCTGTTGAAGACAAAATAAGATATTCTGAAGATTGTTGATAAATGCTGCCATTTGGCATCAATAGTAGAAACAAAATTAACTATGTAAATCAACCCTCAACATCCATTGGTATATCTTTCTCCAACAAAATATATTGTGTTCAGCGAAAGGAAGAACTTGGAACAAGTGAAATATAAGTGAATTCTTTTTTGAGAGTTTTATTTTTTGCTGAACAGAGCTTTAAATATCTTTAAAATAGACGCTTCAGTCTCCACACTGAGGCCAAATTTCTAAAGGATCTACGCATTATGGTAGCCTGTATATAGAAACATTTGTGGGGTTTTTGTGCTTTGTAATTTGGTAATTTATAAATATGTATAAATTTAGCATTAAGCAAGTTTTACATTTAAATTATGTTTAAACATTTAACTGTTTTATTATTACTTAGAGTGTTAGTTATTTTCCTTCCCAGTGTAGTGTCTGTTTAACTATTTCCTTTAGCAGTATCAAGAGATATTTATGTTCATCATGTAATTTTAAACAGATTTAGAATTATTTTTAGTAATTTCAAGCATGACGCTGAGCATTAAAAATTATCTTTATTTAAAAATGACAAAAACGAATAATATTATCAAATTCTTAAATTAAATGTGAAATACCCAAGTATAACATGTAGAAATGACTTTTTTGAACAACATACTTCAAGAAAATTGAAAACTTGTTTTCTTTGCAATTTTGAAAATTATTTTTGTACAGTGTACACAATGACTATTCAATAAACTGCTCTTTTTATTTGCATAATATTTTTTTCGTCAGATTTAAAAAATTTCAGTAGTGTCTAACATAAAATTTTTGTCTTGTCCCTGATTAATCAGGTGTCACCACAGCAGAATGAACTGCCAATTACTCTGGCATATGTTTTATGCAGTGTTAGCCCTTCCAGCCACAACTCTGGGAAACAGCCATACACTTTTTCATTTGTCCAATTTAGTCTGTTCAGTTTACCTATATCATGTGTCTTTGGACTGTGGGAAAAGGCAGAACTGTGCAAACACCAAGAGAACATGCAAACTCCAAACAGAAATGCCACCTGGGACTCAAATCTACATCATTTTTGCTGTGAGGCGCTGTGTAGAAATGAATTGTGTAGTTATGTGCCCAAAACATGTAAGTAAATCTCACAGTGATTATTCCAGTGATTATTATCATTGCATAGCAATGTCAGAGAGACATAAGAGACAACCAGTGTTGCTGGATCATCATGAAGCTCTCCAGCCATGTCCTAGCAACTCAAAACTGTCCCAAACAATAATATGTGTTGTTTATTAGTTTTAGGACAACTGTGATGATAGGTTTTTTACTTGGATAATCCATCATATAAACTTGAAACCTGAGCCTCTGGGCATTTATGAAACATTTTTGCAAGTAGGACACCTAGCAGTATCTGCGTAAATCTGCTTCAAAGGCTGGGTCAATGGAACCGATCTTAGATTCACTGTGCAATGTTTGACACCCCATTTGGCCATCGGGTGGGTATGAGTTAGCTAACTTCCAAACCATCTCTGTTTTGGAGATAGAGGTAAGTAACTTTTTAAACACGGGCGCTCCTCAGGGCCCGGTTTTTTAAAAGGTTTAATCCGGATAAAATTGATCCGGATTTAGTAATCCTGTTTTTGCAATCTGTGATCACGTAATCCAGCTTACTTTTTGAGACAGTTTTTCAAAGCGACATTGGATTGGATCAATCTGATCCGGATAGGAACTTTTCAGGATCACTAAATCTGGATTACCAGTGCTCAATCACAATGTAGATGGATAGATAGGCCTTTGTAAAGAGCAACAAAAAGAATAGCCAGTGTGGGGTAAATATAACTTTATTTTTATTTGAAATGAAAACTAAGAAAATTTGATAAATAATAAAATAATTATAACAATAAATAATAAAAGCAAGAAAAAACCCACCCCATCCTCTTCCAGCAGTCCGCTCATCTGAGATCTACAACACTGTACATTGAGGATATTTATAATAAGTTTCAAATATAGATGTATTGAATAAAAAAAAGACAATGTTGAAACCTCCACAATAATGTCAGACTTCCTCATCTAATGTGGAGAGAGCAGCTTGTCTGAGCGCATTCTTTAGAAGGCAGATCTCAAGTGTGGTCTTGGTTTGCTGCAGTTTGGTCAGAGTCAGTTGTTCCTCTGCCAGATGAAGCTGTGCTTCTGCCCAGTCTCTTTTTGGAATTGTTGAAAGTAATTTCAAAAATCAGGAATTGCCATCCTTTGCATTTTTTTTTTGTTGTTGTTGTTGTTCTGTAATCATTGCATGCATCACTAATAAATATTTTAAACACAAAAATATTTTCCATTGTGATGAATATCTATATATACATACATATATATATATATATATGTGTGTGTGTGTGTATATATATATATATATATATATATATATATATATATATATATATATATATATAGGTGTATATGCGAGTAATTTATAGGTGTATATACATGTGTTTTATGTATGTGTTGATAAGCTAAGTTTGATTTAAATCCTATACGGCACCTCATACGAGTCTGTGACCATGGCGATGCTACACTGGAGAGCTCGCCACATTACACATACACTAATGTATACACATATACTCATGTATGTTAATTGATCAGATAACATGGCTTAACAATGATCAATACGTTTATTTTGCAATAATAAATCTTTAATGTAAACAATAAATGTTAGTAATGTTTTAGTTAATGCATTAGTTGACATAAGTAAATAATGAACAACAACTCATTCTTCATTCTTCAAGTATTCATTCAAGTTTAAGGGACTTGACAGGAAGTTCATATGGCCTGCATTATTAAATATCGTTTATAAACAGATGTAACATAACAAATCATACTAATTAACAGTATATAATGTAACTCTTTATGACTTAAGAGACTGATAGTGTCAAGTTATGTTTTCCAATGAGAAATAAAACAATTGTACTCAAGCCACTAACCACTAGGGGGCCTCAGCTGATAGATTTAAAGGCATAGTTCACAGAAGAATTGATCATTGAAAACTCCATTTATTATTAGAGTTTTTATTTTCTGGATTTTAGGTAGCATTTGCAAACAAACACATTTAATACTTTTATATGTTTGCTCACTGTTGCCTCACAGCAAGAAGGTCGTTGGTTCAAGCCTCAGCTGGGTCAGTTGGCATTTCATTGTGGAGTTTGCATGTTCTCCCCGTGTTGGTGTGGGTTTCCTCCGGGTTCTTCGATTTCCCTCACAGTCCAAAGACCTGCAGTACAGGTGAATTGGGTAAGCTAAATTGTACATAGTGTATGTGTGTGAATGAGAGATTATGAGTGTTTCCCGGTGATGGGTTGCAGCTGGAAGTGCATCCGCTGCATAAAACATATGTGGATATGTTGGTGGTTCATTCCACTGTGACAATCCCAGATTAATAAAGGGGCTAAGCCGAAAAGAAAAAGAATGAATGAATGAATGTTTTAGTAACTTTATTTACAGCACACCTAATCTCAGCCTCAACTTAAATCTGAAAAAAGGAAAATTGAAGTGCTTTTCAACCAAGCAGAAATGTGTTTGTGTGTCTGACAGCTTCAGTGATTTTCTTCTTGTGTTTCGTAGATTTTGCTGTAGAGATTTCAGCATTAGCTTACCAGAGAAAATAAAACGACTATTCTGGTTCTTCACACTTTGAAATTTGGACCTGGAATATACAAAATTAGTAAGTGCTGAACTGTCTCACTCTATCAAACTGAGACACAGTCCACTTCAAGATTAACATTATTTTACCCTTTTTTCGTAATATTTTTCATTCAGGTGGTCAGAGAAATCAGTCTAAACATTTACAAAATACATATTTGTAAACAAAGTATGGGAAGAGTTTTAGCCTTTATTGACATATGTATGTTTTTATTAATTTGAATAGCTGCTTTTATGAATTGTGCTGTAGAGAAGAGTTTCTAAAGCACAACATTTCCTTCTAAATAATTTTAAATACATTACACTGCTATTATTCAAAAAAGGTAATGATTCACACACAAGTAATTGCTTTGTACTGTTTTTATTTTTTATTTTTCTTACATTCTACAGGTGATTAAAAGACATAGACGTTTCGGCACAATGCCTTCCTTAGTGTAAATAAATACACAAACAAGAAAAAGGGATCACTTAAACAACAAAACGTAACCAAGTTAATTACACTTCTGTTAAATCTAACTGCCCACTTAGAAAGCAGCAATGCTTCACAATCAATTTCACATGCTGTTGTGCAAATGAAATAGACAACAAGGGGAAATTATAGACAATAAGCAAGACACTACCAATGAAGAAGTGCTTCTGCAGGTGGTGACCAAAGACCACTTGTCAGTTTCTATGCTTTCTGTATAATGTTTTAGTCACTTTTGAATGCTTGTGGTGATTTCAATTTAGTGGTAGCATGAGACAGAGTCTACAATCCACACAAGTGGCTCAGGTAGGGCAGCTTATCCAGGACAGCACATCAATGTGAGGTGTGGCTAGAATGATTGCTGTGTCTGTCAGCATATTGTCCAGAACATGGAGGCACTACCAGGAGACATACCTGTAAATCAGGAGATGTGGAGGAGGCCGTAGGAGGGCAACAGTCCAGCAGCAGGACCGCTACCTCCCCCCTTGTGCAGGGAGTAGCAGGAGTAGCAATGCCAGAGCCCTGCAAAATGACCTCTGACATGCCACAAATGTGCAAGTGTCTGCTGTAAAGGGCAGAAACAGACTCCGTGAATGGTGGTATGAGGGCCCGATGTCCTCATGTGGGGTATGTGCTTATAGCCCAACACTGTGCAGGATGTTTTGCATTTGCCAGAGAACACCAAGATTAGCAAATTTGCCACTTCTTGAGATCTACCTAAGCTTAAACTCCCCTCTCGCCCTGCAAACGGGAGGGAGCCCCGGGCTTGAGGATATCATGAGCTCAGGGCTCTCTCCCGAGACAGCATGCCAAACTATCTTATTACCAATCATCAGCTAAGTGTAAACTAATCCTCAGACCTAAAATGATGTGTCAGGTGTAGATCAGCATTATCCAGGATAATCATGTAGAAGAATCACCTAAAAGAAACTATGTTTCAAAAAAGGTGATTTGCTACTGATCAAAAAGTTCTTTATTGGCGAGATTAATTTACCACTGACAAAGCCTGTTAAAATGTCACTGCTCACAAATGGTGGCACGTTTTATAAAGTAGTGTGTTTGGCAATTAAGGAAAGTGGGAGAACTGAAACAAACTGTCCTTCAATTACAATTTTCTACTCCACCAACTTATTCCTGTTATCAACAAAACCTCAACCCACTGGTCCGACATGGTACCAACAACAGTTAGCACACACAGCCCTAATAGTAAAACAACAGCGAGGACGAGAACAGAAAAACCACAGACAGCATTAAGAAAAAAGGAAATTACTTATGCTGTTCTTCACCATTCCATACACATAAACCAGAAAAGACAGAGAGGTCCAAAAACAGTGCCTAGCCCGTACTCAGAAAACTCCACCCGCCCAACGGTAGTGCCAATTGATCCTTTAATTTGTTCTTGTGCTTAGTGGATAATAGTATAATTGTCAAACATGAATTAGCCTCGTACTTCTCCTGAAACTTGTTTATAAAACTTTGCTTAGGTAAAATAATCCCCAGGACAGAAAAATCGTTTCTCTTGCATTATTTGTTTGCAAATGCTGCTTGGTTTGTCATTTGTCTCTAAGGCATTGGTGTTTTTAAAAGAGACTAAGATGGAGATTTATAAATGTAATTATATACATAAGTTTTATCCAATGTAAAGTGACAACTGACACACAAAATAGCTTGATTTATTAAACACAATAAAAATACTTAAATGTTGTTTAATGGCAGGTAATGTTAGTCCAGACTGTGTGCTTTTTGTTAATCTTTGATAGCAGTGGTCGTGACAGAAATATGAAAATGTGAGTTTCTACCAATTAAAATTAACATAAACTGCTGAACAGTTTAAACAGAGACTAGAGTTTTTCAGTACAGACTCAAACCTGTCAGTGTTTTAAATCATTCTCCAAGTTAATGAAAGAGAGAACATGCTAAAGAAATCAAATAAACAAAAACAATACATACATAAATTTACAAAACAGCTAAAAGCTTAAAGCTTATGAATATGTGAGTGACTTAAAACCCTCTCTTTGTTTTTAAGGTAAAACAGGCTAGTTGTTGACACAGAGTCACAAAAACCAAATACTGACTGATCTTCCTGTAACCTTACACTTCTGCTCAGCCTCACATCAGCAGCAGTGCAGCTCTTATCATTCACGCATTTGACACACATCTTGACAGCTGCACTGGTTTCACTGTTTTCTCTTTTCTGGTAAGTCAAGTGATAAATGCTGACAATTGTAGTTTTGTATTTCAAAAAATCATTTTGCATTAATTTGTGGGGATTTGTATAGAAATTTCATTTAAGTTATTGTTTTGGTATTATTTTTTTCCTATCTGTTTATGCACTTGTGTTTCACCACAGGACTGAGTGTCTGTTAATGAAGAGATGAACACTGCTGAGAAAATCCTTTCTGTTTGCTTTCTCCTGCAAGGTTTGGCCATTATTTTTTCTTATTTACTGTAAATGGCACCTATTTTAATTTTGCTCTGTTTTTGCATGGTAAATATGACATTTGATAATGATTGATGATCACAGAGAGCTGAACAGACCTTTAATCATAGTTACTTTGTGCACGTCCTGTTTTGTGGATATAACGTCCGTAGTGTTACTATGGAGACATGTCAATACGCATCAGTCAATCAATTCGATGGTGAGTAAACCATACTCCTACATCACGTTGTAGTGGAGGTCAAAATGGGAGGGATTCTGATCCTATTTTAATGTCAGGAAATATTTAAAAAGAGACTTATTGTGTTTAATCATTCCAATATGACTGTGGACACTATACCTACGCACAGTTCTGTCCAAACAGCTTACAAAAGATGATTTTCATCATAGGTGTCCTTCAAGAAATGCTGTAAAATAAATTAGTTCACATGCTAAATCCTTTAAGCCTGGTTTATACTTCTGCGTCAAGTGATCGGTGTGACCCACGGCGCATGCAACGCACGTTGACATGCATTTATACTTCTGCGCGCTGTTTGTGTTCTTCTGCAATAACACTTTCAAAATGCTAGCTGGCAGTGAGATGTTTATGTTCCTCTGTATCGAGTTTCTTCGGTGGTGTTTTGTTTTTTTCTGAGCTCTTTCTTAATGTATAAGTGCGTCAAACTCGCTCATTTTGATGCAGGAATTGGCGAACATGCAACAACTTTAATCATAAGGTAAACACAAAACATCAGTCTCCATCTGAAGCTCCTTCACGGGACTTGACACTTGTAAACACTCGCTCCATCGGGCTCACGCTGCTCTCACCTCCGCCCACACTCATCAGCAAGACCAAGCCGACCAATCACAGAGCTTGCGGTACGCGTCGTTGCAACGTGTAGTTACATTTTTTTGGTGTGCATCAGCATCGCCGATGGCTAAGGCGAGAGCTATGCTTCCCTTAAATTTAACAGTTTCTATTGTTCTGCTTAAATGTAAACTGACAAAGCAAAAAAAATTGCTTTATTGACTTTTTGTCCAACCCAAACGAAATGTTTTCATGTGTCTAAATACTCCATTGTTTGTATCTGCTTTTATTTTAAATGATTTCACCTTGTGTGTTTTACTTTAGGTGTTTGCTGTAGAGATTTCAGTATCAGTTTGCCAGAGAAGATTCAAGCTCTCAATGGATCCTGTGTGATTATAAAGTGCAGATTTGACATTAATGAAACATATGATAAAGACATCTCTGAGAGAGCTGCTGGAGTCTGGTATAAAGACAAACATGATAGGATCAGCAGCCCAGTGTTTAACTCATCAATGCAGAACTCTTTTATTAAAGGGAAAATAACTGGAAAGTTAAAAGATAAGGACTGTAACACTGTCTTTTATGATGTCACATCAAATCACAGTGGTCAGTATTTCTTCAGAATTGAGGGTGAAGGTGGACTGAAATGGACCTACAGAAAAGGCAATGTTTCAGTAAATGTGATCGGTGAGTGACTTCATGACTGGTTAATATTTGTGTAAATTATCTCGATATCTAAAGTGTATACAATGAAATCCTGGGACTTTATAATTAGTAATTTCTCTGATAAATATTGCATTTTATTGCTGAAAGAACAGTTGTTGTTTCTTTGTGTTTGACACTGTAGACCTTTGATCATGCCGTATTTCATGTCTATTAAAGACCAGTCTGTGTTTGTTTTAGAGTCTCCAGTGAATCCGCGAGTTGTGCTGTATGTGGATGGGCAGGAGCTGCAGGGTCAGCAGGAGGTGTTGGAGGGCAGATCTGTGAGTCTGCGCTGCTCTGCTGAGACTCTCTGCTCTTCTCCTCCAGCAACTCTCACATGGAGCTCCACTGCCAAAATCCCCCTCAGTAAGAGCAGCAAACTAAAGGAGCTCATCATCTCTGATCTGAACTTCACTGCTGCTCCACGGCACCACAGAGTCACTTTCACCTGCTCTATAAGCTACCAGCTGCAGAACAAGAACAGAACAGCTCACAGCAGCATCACATTACATGTGCAGTGTAGGACTTTTACTGCCATCTGTTCTCTTCTCTTCTCTTCTCCACAAGACACTTAGAAATCTAGAGGTTTAATATCATTCTCTCTCTTTCTTTTCAGATGCTACTCAGATCTCAAACTCCAGCTGTTCCAGTACTAATGTAACTGTGTGTTTCTGTGAGGTTGATGGGAATCCCTATCCTGTAGTGGAATGGTATCTGTCTGGACGCCCCGTCTCAAACTCTTCAAGCACGTTCATCAGTAAAGAGCGATTGAGCAACACAAGCTTGAGGAGCTTCATCTCTCTACATCAGTCTCTCACACACTCAAACACTCTGCTGTGTGTCAGTAAAAACACTCATGGCAATGCAACTCAACTGTTTCATCTGGACTTCATCATTCAAAAAGAAAGTAAGTCTGTGTTTTTAATTTCAGTTCCTTTATTTATCTGCTTTGATAAAATTGTTTTAGTTGATAAATATGGTCATTATATGACAAATCAAAAGCTTCAACTGCTTTGCACATGTGATTCATTCAATAGAATACAAAAGAAGCATTTGTCAATAATCTGTCAATAAATGCCATTTTCATAATGATTATTTAGTTGTTTAAAGGTTAGATCACACACAGAAATGTATATTGTCATCACTCACCCTCTAAGCCTTCTTGCGTTTCTTTCTTCAGTTGAACACAAAAAGTGGAATATTAGCAATCAGACAGTTGACTGTAGCCACTAAATTACATAGAGTTTTGAAAGTCACTTCATGGCTACTATCACTGGTTACCAACAATTGTCAAAACAGTTATGAATGACATCAGGCTGCACTGCAAAAAAAAAAAAAAAAATTCTAAATACAAGAAACAAATGACTGATAGATAGACATTAGATACAAGTCAAGTGCAGTGATATAAATATACTTGGTAAGATTTCTTAAAAAAAGACAACTTACCTAGCCTTTAGCAAAGAGCAAATGGTCTTAAAATGAGTATTATAATGATTATAAGATAATGAGGTTTCCTATTTTGTGTGAAAAGGTCTTAAAACTAGAGTTTTTATTTTTTTTAAGAATTTTATGTAAGAACGGTCTTTAAACCACAGCGGTTCGAACTGTAGTTCTGCCGAGTGACTAAAAAGTGATCAGCATGATGGTAAAAAACTGTACATTTCTAGTGAAACCATTCTTCTGCAATCTTATACCAAAAACGGAAATAAGGGCAGTATTAATAGCTATAAATATGGGAGAGCGTTGATATTATGTGATTGTATTGTATTGCTATATGGAACAATTAAGTGTTGATGTTAAATCAAAAGTAATTCACAAATACTTGAAAATGAGATGATTTAATGACAATAATTCTCTATGGTTACAACTGAATTAATAACAAAATACTGTATAAAATGATAAAATATGTAATGATAAAACATATGGTATAAATTGTACCCAGCTTAAATGTAAAATTAAAGTTACATTTAACTTTAGAAGGAGAGAATCAGAGGGAGGGAGAGAGAGACAAAGAGAGCAGGCCCAAAAGCCTGATTGCAGTAGAGTCAGAGAAGATAGACTCCAGAGAAGGAGAGGAGCAAAGCAGGAGAGAAGCAGGCCAGGAAAAGAGAGGGCAGGAAAAGAGACAGAGCTCGAGTTTACCCCCTATTTTGTATTTTTCTTGACCATGTGACTAAAGCCATTCAAGACATTCAAACTGACCAATCAACATGTGACCACACCATAAAACCCCCAAAGTCCACACAACAGGCCCTGATCTTATCAGTTTCTGCCTTTGTAGTCAGTATGGACCTTCTTGAGTCAAAAAGACATGTTTTGTCATATAAATAAATGCATATGATAATTTAGCCTCTTACATGTAATACCTGTATATATTCTGTCTTAAACTGAGCCAGGGTATTTAAACTGAAACAAAATTATTATTTAAATTAAATCAAGATCACACATATTATTCACAGTATTCTAATTAATTGTATTCTAATTAATACAATTATTACTGGTTGCTTCTCAAAATGTATTGAAGAGTATGAGTGTGATTGAGCATTTTTCTAATGGACACACATAAAGCAAGTTACTGCAGCTAAAAAAAGAATAAGTCTGGATATTGAGCCTTTTTAATAGACACACTTAAAACAAGTTATTACAATTAAATATAAAAGCCTGGTCTTCAATTATGTTTCTAATTGCAATTAAGCAAAATTTGCACCTAACTTTAAGCTTTACTAAGCAAGTAGAACAAGAGACAAATAATCTTAAAACAATCAGATGAATCTTACACAATATAATGTTTAATAATATTCTTAAATCAAGATCAGTGTAAGATTGTATCTCTTGAATAGATAAGGAGTGAGCAAATAATAAAATATTAATATTTTGGAAAACGATTTATGAATGCCCAGCACTTGAGTGAATTATAAGCAGTTTTGCTAACACTCTTTTTTTGTCAGGTAGAACTCTACTCTTTATTCTGATTGGAGCTGCTGCTGGGGCTTTGGTGGTTGTGATGTTGTGTGCCGTTACATATACATGTGTCCGGTAAGTGTATTAATGTGGTCAAGAATTATATGCACAGTGTCCTTGCTTATGTGGACAATCTTATTTTTAAAAAATGTGTATGGCCAATTTAGTTTATGCAATTCATCTACTGTATGCCACATGGACTGTAGGGGAAACTGGAGCACCCAGAGTAAACCCGCTCAAACATGGGGGGAACATGCAAACTTAACACAGCAATGCCTCTTGGCCCAGCCCAGATTCAAATCGATGACCTTCTTTTGTAAGCCCACAGTGATAAACCACGCTGCCTATGCTGTGAATTTAAGCCACTCATTTGTTTTTTTTGTCTGTGTGGGTCAAAGTTTTGGGTTTCTATTAAAGACTGTCAAACGTTCTCTGTCTTTAAATGGCACTTACACGTATGCTTATAATCTGATAATTTTATTTCCACATTTCACATTCGACCAATTTTGAACATTTGTCTTAGTGCTATTAATTTGGTACATAATCATTCAGTGTTGTGTAAAGGATCTATAATATCTAATGCAGGCTGAAACTGGCTCATATTCAGATGTGGATAATTGTTAACTTTTTCATTTAAATGTATTAAGGTTTAATTGAAATGTAAAATGTCTCCTAAAATATCTCTCACCAGAAGGTCAGATAATGTATTATTGGATGTCTACAATAAGGATGCACTATAGATATAGCAAAAATAAGGAACTATTGAACAAGAAAAACACAATAGACATATGGGGATTGGAATGAGTAAAATGTGTTTGTAAAAGAATATCAGAATAATAATTTGCTAATTATACACACACTGCATAGACCATCATAACTCACAGTCCCTGAATCTCACAAGATTTAAACACAAACAGTGCATCCAGAGATATTTTAACAGATCAAACATTCCTAACCTAATATACTGTTGTCCCCTAGATTGTCCACCAAGCTGAAGGTGAGTGTTTTTTTTTCAATATGTGGTCTAGATCTACTAAAGGCTAATATTGAATGATGATGAGAGACTGAGAGTTTTTTTGTTTTCAGGCTCAGACAGAGACAGTAGACACTTATGCTTCTCTTCAGCTCTCTGCTGCTCAAAACTTGGAATATGATACTCTGAACATTAAGAAAAGAGAAGACACAAAATAAAAAACAATGTTCACTTTGATTTCTTTACTCAGTTGTTCTTTCTTGATTAAAAAAATCCAAAAGCAAAGAATTACTTTACATGATTAATTTCACATGATTTAATATCTGAAAAAATTAAATGTACTTTTTGTACATATTTAACTAGATTCAAACGAATATTTAGTTGTTTTAATAATAAACACTTATTTTCACATTCAGACTTGTTTACAGCTGAGTTGTGCTAAGAAATTGAAATGAACAGATCTTAACGTTATGTGTATGCAGTGTATTAATTGTTTAAATAAAATGTTTTTGTAAAATATAATATTATATTTTAATTGCATATATGTACTTATACTGCTTGTTTTTCTCTAGTCTGTATCCATCTGCTTTCTGAAATTAAAGACGATCATCATAAATACACTTTTAAAAGTGTTGTTTTTATAAAAAAAAAAATGCAAAGTGTATATAGTGTTGAAGTCAGAATTATTAGCCCCCCTTTGATTTTTCTTCTTTCCTTTTTTTTGTTTTTAAATATTTTTCCCAAATGATTTTTAACAGAGCAAGAAAGTTTTCACTGTATGTTTAAGAATATTTTTTCTCTTGGAGAAAGTATTATTTGTTTTATTTCTGAAAAATATAAAAGCAGTTTTGAATTTTAAGGTCAAAATAATTTGCCACTTTAGGCTATATTTTTTTTTCCGATATTCTACAGAACAATCCATTGTTATTCAATAACTTGCCTAATTACCCTAACCTGCCTAGTTAACCTAATTAACCTAGGTAAACCTTTAAATGTCACTTTAAGTTGTAGAAGTGTCTTGAAAAATGTCTAGTCAAACATTATTTACTGTCATCACAGCAAAATATGAAATTAATCAGAAATGAGTAATTAAAACTATTATGTTTAGAAACATGTAAAAAAAAAAAAATCTTTGCTGTTGAACAGAAATTGGGGAAAAAATAAACAGGGGGGCGAATAATTCTGACTTCAACTGTATATATACATAGCTTAATTTGTGCTGAAGCAAGCCAGATCCGTATATGTCACCTCGTTTTACCGTTCCCCCTCCTCACACGCACCCCCGCCCTGCTCTTCACTTTCTGAATTATTAGCCCTCCTGTTTTCAACACATTTTAAAACGTAATAATTTTTATTACTAATTTCTATTAACTGATGTCTTTTTTCTTTGTCATGATGGCAGTAAAGGTTTACTAGATATTTATCAAGATACTAGTGTTCAGCTTAAAGTGCAATTTAAAGGCTTAGCTATGGTAATTAGGCAAGTTAGGTTAATTAGGCAAGTCATTGTATAATCCAGTGTTGGATTGTGGCTGGAAGGGCATCCGCTGAATAAAACATATGCTGGGTAAGTTGGCAGTTTATTCCGCTGTGGCGACTGCATGAGTTTTATAACTTTTAAAATAACTTTTTAAACTAATTTTATTTTAAATTTTTTTTGGAAGCTCTCCAGGAAGCATTTGCATTTACATTCCTTTTTTATTAGTTTTTGTTTGTTCAAGCAATAATAAAGTAATAATAGAAAAAACTACAGCAAATATATCATTCAAAATAAACTATATTGACAAGAACTATATTGTCACCACAGTCTTCAGGTGCTAAAAAGAAATGTTGTTCATAATGCTGCGTTTTTGTGTGTGTGTGTGTGTGTGTGTGTGTGTGTGTGTGTGTGTGTGTGTGTGTGTGTGTGTGTGTGTGTGTGTGTGTGTGTGTGTGTGTGTGTGTGTGTGTGCATGCTTGCGTGCGTGTGTGCTTGTGTGCGTGCGTGCGTGTGTGAGTGTGAATAAGAAGGGAAATGACTTTACCAACCTTTACACATTTATAACCACTTTAACCCACTCTGTCGCAAAAAACGAATGCACAGAATAGAGAAGTCAGTCCTAAGAAAAACTCTTTATCTGTTGTTTGCAGGTTTGTCATTTTGTATCTAAATAATGTTTTAGTGTAGTTTAGTGTCAGTTCTGGCAGGTCATGTTAGTCAAGCTCAACTGATCCACATCAAGAAAACAATATCAGTCACAGCCTTCCCATAATTCCACAGTTTTCCTTCCTTTCTCATCCTCTAGTCCACAGTCAGCATTTCTTTCCTTTAATTCCCTTAATTAATTCCTTTAAAGCGTTTTTGCCCAGAACAGAGGCATATGTTACCATTAGTCCAGACTGTGTGCTTTTTGTCAGTCTTCGATAGCAGAGGTGCTGACAGAAACAAAATTACAATTTTTTTTCTATACAAATTTCTCTACAAAACCACTTCAAACTAATTCATAAACAGTTCTTTAGATCATTCAACAGGGGAATAAAGGGGAGATATGAAATTAAACTTCTATTGTTTCCTATATATTTTTTTTTCTGAATGTAATGTATAAGTTATTGGACACACATTTTTGCATTTTGCTTTCTAAGCATTGTTGATGTCGACACAGGAAGTTCGGTCAGTTTTTAGTGTTAGACTCTTCACATCACACTCCTGCTCAGACTCACATCAGCAGCACTGCAGTTCTTATCATTCAAAATAATTGCTTTAAAACATGTCAATTTTTTCTTGTTATTTCTGAAAAGATCATGGCAACTAACCTGGTTTGACTGTTTTATCATTTCTGGTAAGTAGGAATATTCAGTATGTTGGACATTTTTAATGAATTCATAAATATGCAATATTTTATATTAAACTCAATATATGATACTCATGTAGTTTATACACACTCAAAAATATTTTTTGCTACTGGATCAAACTATCTATTTATAATGAGCTGAATCAACACATTTCTTTTGGGGGGATAACGTAATTGTTTTGTTCAATCAACTTAAATTAGTAAAAAGTTAACTTAATCAATGTGTGCGGGACAGTGAATTGGTAAAATTTTACAGTGTATTATTAAACATGAATTAACGATGAACACAATCTGTTAAACATTACTTGATCTTTGTTAATGTTAACTTACTCATGTTCCAATGCATCTCTGAACAGCTTAATTAGTTAATGTTTACTTACACATATGCTAATGTACAGTATGTGGTAATGAATTAACGTGACTGAATGAATGAACAACACATTTATTCAGGAATTCTGAATCTGTCATTCATTCATTCATTCATTCATTTTTCTTAGGCTTAACCCCTCGTTTATCAATAGGCATCACAGTGGAATGATCCGCCAACTATTCCAGCATATGTTTTACGTATCAGATGCCCTTCTAGTCACAACCCAGTACTGGGAAGTACCCATACAATCACACACAAACTCATACACTGAGGCCAATCTTTCTTTACCCAATTTACTGCATGTTTTTGGATTGGGGAAACGAGCACCTGGAGGAAACCCACACGAATATGAGAAAAACATGCAAACTCCACACAAAAATGCCAACTAGCCCAGCCGAGACTCGAACCAGTGACCTTCTTGCTGTAAGATGACAGTGCTAACCACTGAGCCACTTTACCGCCTACTAAATCTATGTTAGTTTAAAATTACTAATAGAGTAATGTGGTACTGAATGTGTTGTTTAACACAAACAAACAATAAGCAACTGCAGGTTCATCACAATAAAATGCATCTTATTATTCTTTGTCCACTCTTTACTAACCTGAAACCTGAATTTTTATTAAGGCAATCAGAAACCAACACTATTCCAACATTATCTATTGTGTTAAATTCTTTACTAACATGATCACTAATAGTGCTTGTTCATTTTTATCTACTTTTCTTCTTTATCTTTTTGCTTCTTCTTTTACATTTCAAGATGGTAACGACTGGTGAATTTAGCACTGTTATGTAACGTAATAAAGATTCTAAAAGTTTAAGCAATGTGTATTTGTGTAATCACTGCTTTGTAATGAACCCATAGATGTTGGTAATACAACAGTTAATATTGGAATTGTGGTAAGTCATTTTTGTAAAGTGTCTACAAGTAGTCTTAGTAACACATTGGATAATGTTGCAATAGTAAGGTTCATAATTCCCTTCAAAAATGCTGTGTTATTGATAAATTATGTTAGTAAAGAGTCCACAAACTTGAATAATATGCAAGTTGTTTCTGAAGTTTCTACTTTAACATTCCAAAACAGTGTTCATTTAAAACTTATTTGTTGTGACTTTGATCATTAACCTTGTATTTAAATGTATCCTAAGCTTTACCTATTAGCATTAGTATGTAAGTAAGTTAAAATGAACAAAGACTGTGGTGCTGAACCTGTTTTGTTCATTATTTGTTTGTGTTAATTAATCCATTATCTAACACAGTACTATATTTGCAAGTTTACATTAAAAAAAATATTTAATTTGAATAAATGTTTAGTTCAATGTTAGGTCAGGATATTTAATCCATCATTAACAAAGATTACTGTATGTACAAAGTCATTGTTCACTATTAATTCATGTTAACTAATGCAGTAACACATACATCAACATATGTTTAGTTAAGATTCACACACATTAAGTAATGCTTAACAGATGTGTTGTTCATTGTTAAATCATGTTAACTAATGCATTAACATTATCTTAAACAACTGTATTGTCATACCTATACATGTGAAATCACAAGTGTGTTTCTTCACAGGATTGAATGTCTGTTAATGTAGAGATGGGCACTACTGAGAAAATCATTATCTTCTGTTTTCTCTTGCAAGGTATGTTTTTCTTCCTGATTCTGCTAGTAAAACACAACCCATTCAGTGTGATTTTGTTTCAATTAACTATACTTTCACTGTTAAATCAGTGCTTCTGTGAGTCTTATATATATATATAATTATTATACAACAGTTTGACAGCATAATTGTGTAAATAAAAACAAAATCAAACATGAAGAGTCTCAAAAACCCTTTTGTATGAGGAACCACTTTCTTCCGGATTCAAATCATAAGCTGACAGTTGAACAGTTGAGCGTGCATCTTTTAAACTTAAGATCTGTAGTGTCTGCTTTTTGCTGGCTGTATGTGGGCGGAGTAATACACAAAGGGTAAAGAGGCTGTAGGAGTTCTGATATCACACGGCTTTCAGCCAATCAGATTTGAGAGCCAGACAGAACTGTTATATATGTATATACTGTATATATATGATGTATAATTACATATATAATCTTTAAAGGTATATTTTTCACCTTTTTCACCTATTTTTAATTTTTTTTTTATTCAAATCAAAACTCTGCCTTTATTTATTCACTCAGTATTTTTTTCGACTTTGGAAGTTGATAAATGTCAGCAACTTGGATTTTTTAACATGAGGAAAAATTTGCTGTGTTTTATTTGTTTAACAATGATTTGTTTTCTTTTAATGGTTGTATCTTATTGTACTTGCATTATAATCATCTAAATGGGTTTATTCTCAATAAATATTCCTTCTTAGTATTGTTTTCCAGTACACATTTCAAAACATCCTTTATACATTTACTCACAAAGGAGGTCTGTCTTGTTTTTCATTTTCATATTTAATTTACTTAAACTTATGTAAGTAGCTATATTTGCACCCAAAGAAAGTCTGACGACATTCACTATTTTCAGCTCATTAAAGCTGCATTCTAGATCAGCTCAATCTAGCCTGAACTGAATAATGTTGGTTGTGTAATTAATGAAGAATGTGGCAGGATCATCAGTTGTTAGAATTATTGAAAGAGCAGGAAGAAGAGGACAGAAGAGTGTGCAGTGTGCAAGAAAGAGAGAGGATTTGACATTTGTTAAAGTCATTTTTTGGACAGAAAAGAAAAACTGAATTGTCACCTCACTTCATTTCGAGTTTTTAGGTCATTAAATTTGGCTGGCCAAATAAATGTGTCTTGACATAAAAATTATGTGACGTCACAGAAAACCAGACTAAATAATACTAATGGAGAACAGTGACAATCCTTCAGTGAGAATTATTTTCATAATCTAGTGTTTTGGAACAGTTGTTCAAATCTTTTTGGATATTAAGGAAGATTTGTACAAACTGTCCCTTAAAACTTAAGATGCTGCTAATTCCACTTTTTGGGCTCTATTTTGACGGTCCATGCGCAGAGCGCAAAACGCAGGGCGCAAACGCTTTCAGGGCATGTCAGGACGCGTTTTTGCTAATTTAAGGACGGGAAAATCTACCTTGCGCCGTGGCATATGGTCTAAAAGGGTTGAGTTTATTTTCTTAATGAGTTATAGGTGTGTTTTGAGAATAAACCAATTAGAGTCTCATCTCCCATTCCCTTTAAGAGCCAGCTGCATCGCGCCAAGAGCGCATTCGCTATTTACACGACGCAAAGTAAGTCTAAGTGGAAAAAATGAGCATTTCACAAGCAAACAGTTAACAGCTTTTTTAACAGAAAACTGTTAAACAGAGCATCTACTGCGTGAGAATGAGAGATAATGGAACTACTTTCACATTCGTTCTTGGATAGGGAAACCTTTGTGCACAGACATCAATTAGTCTATAAATAAATAATTTCGTTTGTTAGGTGCAAACATTCATTTCAAAACTATTTCTAAATTCAGTTTTAATTTCCAACAAACAAATAAATGAATAATAATAGCAAAATGTGCTCAAAAACCTGAGTTATATCCTAAAACACATGCTGTGCCCCATATGGTCTAAAACCTGACAGGTGGGCAAATCTAAGCTTATTTTTAATAAAACAAATATAAGTATGGATATAATAAATAATACTGCTAATAATAATAACATTATACAAAAGCAAATTGTTATGAATGAACTGAAAAAGCCTCCCGAGATGAAGAAGACATAAAAGCAGTGGTTTTTCATATTTATGTAGGCTAGAAAATAATATGTTTTGTAATATTTTAATCCTTTATATTTATATCCTATATCTATTCTTATTATATCCTATATATATCCTTAATATTTTTTTTTTTTTCATATGTAAAGATATTTGCCTATTGCTCTCTTGTGCGTATTAAGCAGTGCGTAAGCGAGGCGCAACTCTGCGCCGGAGTTTAGACCTGGTTAGTTTTGGTGTAATGAAAAATCTATTATAGTTTCTCAAAATAGCAACGTGCCAGCGGTCCGCCTCAGAACGCCTTCCTTTTTAGACTAGAACGCCTATGGGCGCACAAATGAGCGCTAATGCTTTTGCTATTTAAACAGCGTAGCGCAACGCCTCAAAACGACTCTTGCGCCAAGCTGAAACTACCAAAAGACTATTGCGCCGCGCCTTGCGCCACACTGCGCCGGGTGTATGATAGGGCCCATAGTGTTTGTTATGAATTTACATTTAGAGAGCATTGTCATATTGTGTTCCCTTCAAATGACTTGTTATAGTTTATTGATTAACTGTCACTGTCCTACAGGTGGGATGCTTTTTCGGTACTTTATTTTATTTATTTATTTTTTGTCCAAACTTAAAATAATCTTGGGAAACTAGATACAATATTCATATATCATTTTCTAGTGTAAACTCAATAAATATGGTGACAGTTAATCTGACTACAATAAAATGTAAAGTGTCATGCATTAGTTTTTTTTACTGACTATTTCTCATATACACTGTAAAAAGCAATTAGTTACTTTACTATAAAAAAGTGAGTAAACCTGTCGTCTTAAAAGCAACAAGTTAATTTTACTTTAAAAAAGTCATTAACTTTCAGAAAGCTTTAGTGTTTATTTCTGCATTTATTTAATTGAAATCTTTTTATCATTTGTGTTGTAGGTGTTTGCTGTAAAGATTTCAACATCAGTTTGCCAAAGAAGATTCAAGCTCTCAGTGGATCCTGTGTGATTATAAATTGCAGATTTGATATTAATGAAACATATGATAAAGACCTCACTGAGAGAGCTGCTGGAGTCTGGTATAAAGACAAACATGATACAGGCAGCAGCCCAGTGTTTAACTCTAGTGCATCAATGCAGAACTCTTTTATTAAAGGGAATATAACTGGAGAATTATTAGACAAGGACTGTACCACTGTCTTTTATTATGTCACATCAATTCACAGTGGTCAGTATTTCTTCAGAATTGAGGGTGAACGTAAACTGAAATGGACCTTTGCAAAAAGCAACGTTTCAGTACAGGTGATCGGTGAGTGACTTCATAATTACTTTAAATTAGTGTAAATTGTCTCGTTATCTGTAATGTATAGAGAAAAAAAACTTTTGACTTCATAAGTAGTAAGTTCTCTGATAAATATTGCATTTTGTTGTGGAAGAAACAGTTGTTCATTGTGTTTGACACTGTAGACCTTTAATTATGCAGAATTTCATGTCTATTAAAGACCAATCTGTGTGTTTCAGAGTCTCCGGTGAATCCTCAAGTTGTGCTGTATGTGAATGAGCAGGAGCTGCAGGGTCAGCAGGAGGTGTTGGAGGGCAGATCTGTGAGTCTGCGCTGCTCTGCTGAGACTCTCTGCTCTTCTCCTCCAGCAACTCTCACATGGAGCTCCACTGCCAGAATCCTCCTCAGTGAGAGCAGCAAACTACAGGAGCTCATCATCTCTGATCTGAACTTCACAGCTGCTCAGCGGCACAACAGAGTCACTTTCACCTGCTCTATAAGCTACCAGCTGCAGGACAACAACAGAACAGCTCACAGCAGCATCACATTACATGTGCAATGTAGGACTTTTACTGCCGTCTCTTCTCCTCCATAAGACACTCATAAATCTAGTGGTTTAATATCATTCTCTCTCTCTCTTTTAGATACTCCTCAGATCTCAAACTCCAGCTGTTCCAGTACTAATGTAACTGTGTGTTTCTGTGAGGTTGATGGGAATCCCTCTCCTGAAGTGCAGTGGCATCTGTCTGGACATCCCGTCTCAAACTCTTCAAACACGTTCATCAGTGAAGAGCGAATGAGCAACACAAGCTTGAGGAGCTTCATCTCTCTAGATCACTCTCTCACACACACAAACACTCTGCTGTGTGTCAGTAAAAACACTCATGGCACATCAACTCAACTGTTTCATTTGGACTTGGTCATTCAAAAAGAAAGTAAGTCTCAGTTTTCAGTTTTCTTTATTTGTCTGCTTTGATAAAATAAATTCAGTTGATAAATATAATCATTATATGACAAGTCAACAGCTTCAACTGCTTTGCACACAAGTTTCTGTTCTGAGATTGGTTTTAATAGAATCTATCTTTGTCTTAAGTTGCAATGCTGATGCTAATAATATTTTTCAACAGTGTTTCTCTGCACTTTTCAGTCAGGATAATTTTATTGTTTAAATCACTCAACATGAAAATTGTCATGACTTGTTGAGTTTCTTTCTTCAGTAACACACACACAAAAATAGTAATGTTGGAAATCAGACAGTTGACAGTTGCCATTGAATAGCATTGAGTTTTGTTTTCTTTGAGTCAGTGTCTACTATAACTGTCTGTTGTCCAACATTTGTCAAAACTGTTCGTTTTTTTATTTAATAGAAAAAAAACCTGTACAAACTTAACAAAATAACAAAAAAATCTAAATATGAGAAATAAATTAATGATTTAAAGGGATACAGACTAGAAAGAAATCAAATTATCTGCCAGTGCAGAGATAATTATAGTTGATAGGATTCCTTGAAATAAGAAAATGTATCTAGGCTTTAGTAAAAACAATGTCTTAAAACAGGTGTTGTAATAAAACTGTATAATTTCCTTATTTTGTGTGAAAAAGTCTTAAATCTAGAATTAAACAGGAGAATTACTTTAGGAATTGTCATTATATATTATGTCTTAAAATTAGCTAAAGCATTTAAACTTAGAACAACATTATTTTATGCATTAAATCAAGATCATACATACAAGCATATTGTCCACAATCATTTTATTCAAATTAAGACACAACAGTGGTTAAAATGCGAAATTATTACATGTTTTTGGCTTGACATAAGATCGTAACTTTTAACTAGATAAAGCCTTTTTTCGCTGTGCGTAAATGATAAAGAATATTAATATTTTGGTAAACTAAATTTGTCTTTAATACTGTCCAGCACTTGAGAAATTCAATTAGTGAATTTAAACACATTTTTTTTTTCTTTTTTCTAGTCTCAAATCTGTTCCTTATTCTGATTGGAGCTGCTGCTGGGGCTTTTGCGATTGTGATGTTGTGTGGTGTTACATATACGTGTGTCCGGTAAGTGTATTAATGTCAATAAGAATATTATACACAATGTCCTTGCTTATCCTTGTCTCGCACCATTAGTGTATTCATAACTTAATGTAGAATGAGCAAGAATAAAAGGTTAAATATTCCTCTTAAAATTATTAAAGGGAAAACCTGCTGCATCTTTTTAGATTAATGTGATTTAAAAAAATAATTAACCTGTATAATTATGACTATATTATCACACACCGTTATAGATCCTCTTGTTTGTTCTATCAGACTGGTTATTTAAAAGAATGAAGAGCAGTTGCCAGTTGTTCTGTAATATCAATCACATACAAAGACATCAATTGGTCATATATTTTTATGAGTGACTTTTTGCCTCTGGCTTTACTCAAATAAAATATGAAATATTTTAACATGTACTGTATGTATTTTGTCATTAGAAAAAACAATGGGAAACTTCAGCCGACTGACCAAGGAAAGGAAAGTGTTAATAATGTAGATGAAGTGAGTTACAACAAACACATAAAAACATACAAACGCTTAATTCATAAACACAACACATTTAAAAAATCATGAAGTTGCAAATAAACCTAAATAAATTATTTACCAACCTGACTAGTTATTATACACTACATGATTGCTAAACAAAGCTTTGAAGCATTGATTCAACCTTGTCAATCCCTTCTACTTTTTCATAGGAGAATCAAGATGACTCTGTTGATGCAAATAACATCATGATGTCATCTGCTGGAGCCACTACAGGAAATCAAGAGTCCATTATTTATTCCTCCATTGACTTCTCAAATTCTAAATCAAGGTCCCTGGAGGTGGAGAGCGTCTCTTGTCTTCATGTTGAATATGCAGTGGTCCTGCGCGGTTCTGGAGGAACAGCCGGCGCAGAGAGTTCAGTGAGAGAGTCTACAAGATCAACGGAAGCACAGGTGATTGTGAGAGCAGATGAGCTTACTAAACAAACAAAGTCAAAACAACCAGAGGAAGAGCTGTTTGAAGAAGACTCTCAGCTCTATGCAAAGGTTCATAAACGCCATAATCCATAGAGAACATCAGCATGACTGTGTATCAGCAGGAAAACATTCTGAATTGTTTTAGAGTTTTGGCCTTGACTATTTCATAAAATTCAGGTCTTTTTTTCTTTTCTTATTCATCTCTATATGACACAATGAATTTATTTGAGGTAGATTTGTATATGTATATAATCTATGCATTTAAAAAGTGAAGCATGTAAACAGATTTTTATGTAAATATCTCATAAATGTTTATCAAAGGATGTATTGTTTAATTGTAGGAAAGAGATATTCTGAACTGTAAAGTCAGCATGTCATGCAAAGTTAGGGATTACTGTAATCTTTAATCTCACATAACCAGATGTACATATTATATTCAAAACACTGTAAAAAGTCTTGCTGCCTTAAATGTTTAGTTGAATCAAATTAACTTTTCTTGTCATTTCAACTTACGTAAACCAAACTTACTATAATATTAAGCTAAACTTTGAATAGCTTAAAGATTTAGTTGAAACCTGATTAACCTATTAAAATAAGTTAATTTAACATAAAAAACATTTGTTATCATGACTTTTTGCTGTATCAGTTTTTACAGTGCATTGTGCCAGTGGCTTGTGTAGCTTTTGCAAGTTTTCAGTTAGCTAAAATCCAAATATTTCTCTTGCAGTATTCTTGCTGTTGTTATTTTAGTTTTAAGTTTGCTTTTGTGAGGAAAATGTGCAGCTTAAATGTGAGGGTAATACATAGCTTTCAGTTCCTTGTATGTATTCTCTTTTTATTGCTACACTCAAATATTGTAAATATTCCAAGAGAAGTTTATGAAAAACTTATGCAATAAATGATAACCCTTAATTTGTTACCTAATGTTTTGAAACAATTATCTTGTCTCAACACAATAATCAGTTGAAAATATAACATTTCATGGCAAAAAATGACAAAACACTTGCCCAAAATCTAACAACAAGACAAAAAGGGCACATTTTATTTTATTTTACAGTACACTAAGTAAAGTGTACATATAGAATGTTTCTTTTTTTTTTGCACATTCTTCTCTCTTAGACTGAGAATATGAGCCAAAACGAAATAATTAAGATTGCTTTAAAAATTCATTTATAATGGGTGAAGAGGGAAAAAAAATAAACATAAATGATTAATTAAAAACCTGTTTCATGCCTCTACCATAACAAAGCTAATCAGATTAAGTATCAACAGATAATTCAAGCTCAGTGTTATAATTGTTTAACAGAAATAAATCAGTAACTACATATTCCTATCCAAAGATGCAAATTTTGAAATCTTCAAAGCTGTTTGCGTTTTCATGATAATCTGGTGCCAAATATCAAAATAAAAAAATGGAATTTGCTGCAGTTGGAGAATGTGGGCATTTTTTAAAAAACAACGAATAACCTATAAGGTGAAACTAAAACACAATCAAAGCACACCACTTTAATGAAGGACTTTAGCTGAGGCATTTTAGAATGACCAAAAAACATTTGAAATATTTTACAATGTGGTCTGTAAGCTGGTTTGTCCATTAAAGTCTCCAATAGCAGAAATCCAGATCTTGTGATTCAGATAAACAAAATATGACTGATCTTCAACTGAGACCCGTGAATCAGGAAGTTTATTGGCCACCCTTTTTTTCACATTTTTTACTTTTGGTGAGTCTCACACTTCTTTTATTTTCCTATATACACTTATTTAGAGATGCTGTTCGGTTTGTTGATGGTAAAACTGCACTTGATTAAAGTCGGTACATACTGTAACAATTTGTGTATGTTAATACATTTGTGTTTTTACACAGGACTGAGCTGATGTGAATGAAGAAATGGAAATGGTATAGAAAATCCTCTGTTTTCCTCTTACAAGGTGAGGTTACACATCTAATTTTAACAATAAAACGGACATGTTTACATGACATCTATTACTGATGAGTCATTTCCACACAAAACAAATACTGAAAAAGTTATTTTAAGTTATTTTAAACCATAATTAAAGGTTTTAAAAGTTCTTCAGGAAACACAGACACTGAAGCATTTGTTTCTTTTTTGAAGCAAATTAATTTTTTTTAAATAAAAAACCCTGCAAATATACTATTGAAAATAAACAATATTGATAAGAACTATATTGTCACCATGGTCTTCAAGTGCTAAAAAGTATGTTGTTCATAATGCTGTCTTTTCTTTGTGTATTAGTGAGGAAGTGACTTTACACAATTATAACCACTTTAACCTACACTAGTATATAAAAAACGAATGCACAGAATAGAGAAGTCAGTCCTGAGAAAAAGCTCTTTTATCTGTTGTTTGCAGGTTTGTCATTTTGTATCTAAATAATGTTTTAGTGTAGTTTAGCATCACTTCTGGCTGATCATGTTAGTCAAGCTCAACTGATCCACATCAAAAAAACAATATCAGTCACAGCCTTCCCATAATCTCACACTTTCTCTCTGTACTCACCCTCTAGTCCAAGGTCAGCATTTATATTAATGTCACTGTAATGAAGAAGAACACTGATGTATTTCAGATATCCCTAATGTTGATTTAATTCTGATCATGTGAGGTTATACTGCAACTTTTTTCCCTTAATTCCCTTAATTAATCCCTTAAAAAAAGATATTTTCCAGAATTTTAGCATCAGTCTATACTGTGCTTTTTGTCAGTCTTTGATAGCAGAAGTGCTGACAGAACCAAAACTAAAATTTATTTTCTACTCAAATTTTAAAATCACTTTTAGCAGACTCTTAAACAATGTCCATTCTTCAGATCATTCAACGAGAGAATAAAGGAGAGATATGAAATTAAACTTCTTTTATTTCCTTAATAAATTTTCTAAATGTAATGTATAAGTTATTGTACAAACATGTTTACCTTTTGCTTTCTAAACATTGTTGATGTTCAGTCAGTATTTAGAGTTTGAGGTTCTGTTCACATCACACACATGCTCAGCCTCACATCAGCAGCAGGCAGTTCATGTCATTTACAATTATTACTTTAAACATGACAATTTTTTATTTCTTAAAAGATCTTGGAAACTAACTTTGACTCTTTTATTATTTCTGGTAAGTAATAATATTCCATATGTTCGATTTTTTCTTAAGAATTCATAAATATGGCATATTTTACATATTAAGCTTAATATTCTCATGTAGATTTTCTTGTTGTTTATACATTGAAAACCACAACATATGTTAAGCTTTATTTTTGAAAACGTTAACTTATTTTGTTTTTGTATTTATCTTTTGTATGTTTTAACATGGTAAAGAATAGCGAAATGTATCACTGTTGTGTAATGTAATAAAGGTTCTTAAGTTCAAGCGATGCATTTTTATAATCACTGCATTGTAATGAACCCATAGATGTTGGTAACACATCAGTTAGTATTGGTATTGGTTTAAGTTATGTTAGTAAAGTGTCACATGTTATACACTTAACTTAATATTGTACAAAATAGTGGACACTTTACAATAAGGTTCATAATTCCTATCACAAATGCTTTGTTAATGATAAACCATGTTAGTACACAAATTTAATAACATACAAGTAGAATCTGATGTTTCCACTTTAACATTTTAAAACAGTGTTTATTTAAAAGTTCTTTGTTTCGACTTTGATCAGGAACCTTGAATTATATAAATGTATCCTAAACTTTACCAGTTAGAGTGCATTAATATACAGTATGAGTAAGTTAAAATGAACAAAGATTCTGTAGTGCTGAACCTGATTAAATTTTCATTATTTGCTTGTGTTAATTAATGCATTATCTAACACATTACTATATTTGCACGTTTAACAAAAATTTCATTTTAATAAATGTTTATTGTTAGGTCAGGATATTTAATCTATTATCAACAAAGATTATGTGCAATGACGTCATTAGCAACATGATCTATTGGTGAACAATGCTTTATCTTTGTTATACAACGCTTTTGCTTTACAAATAAATATATGTTTAGTTTAGATTCACAAATGTTAAGTAATGCTTAACAGATCTGTTGCTTATTGTTAAATCATGTTTACAAATGCATTAACTAATGTTAACTAGTAAAAGCTTAAGTGTTACCTACTGTATACACTTTTGATGACTTTTGAAATAAGGTGACCAAGCTGTTTGATCGGTCAGGTCAGGGGGATGAGGCGGCTTTCCTTTTAGCCCAGCTCAGTCAGAACAGGTACTCAGGGATTGACTACTCTACCCAATTCAGGACACAGGCAGTGGCCTGCGCTTGGAATGAAGCAGCTCTTCAAGCAAGGTTTCGGGACGGTCTGGATGACGAGATCCAGGACAAGATTGCCACCCATGATCTCCCTCATGATTTTGCCACCCTGGTTGACCTTGTTCTTCGTGTTGAGGGTCGCCTTCTTCGCTGTCAAAATTGGTGAGCGACCTGTTCGTCCTGGAAGGCTGAAGAGGGTGTCTCCACACTCTATCAACCACTCCTGAACAGGAACCAATGCAGTTGGGACATCTGCGACTGACTACTCAGGAAAAATTACATTGGCTGGCTAAGGCGTATGCCTGAACTATGGGAAACCGGGTCATCAGGCTTTTTGGTGTCCTTTAAAATCACCAGCTTACCAATAATACGGGGGATCCTGGTGTGCACGTTTCCTTTCTCTGACACCACCACATATGGTACCTTACTGCCAGCCTCTCTTCAGTGTGGAGATGTTGTCCTTTCGTGCTCTGCCCTAATCGACACCAGAGCAGAGGGCAACTTTATAGACAGTCCCACTGTTGAGCCCTGGAGCATTCCTGCTATCCCTCTTTCCTCCCCTATCACTGTCCTCTCCCTGAATGGTCTTACCATCACCTCCATCACTCGTTTCACTCCTTCTGTTAGTTTAATTATTTCTGGCAATCACCATGAGGTTATTAATCTGTATTCATTTGATTCCCCAAGTGCTCCCGTGGTATTGGAGCACCCGTGGTTGATCAAACACAATCCTCACGTTGGTTGGGCAGCTAATTCTGTGTTGTCTTGTAGTCCGTCTTGTCTTACTATGTGTCTGGGTGTTGCCCCGTGTTCTGGTTCTGTTTCCTTTATATTGCAGGTCTAAGCTGTAGATCTCTCCGGACTCCTATCGGAATACCATGATCTGCGTTGGGTCTTCAGCAAGTGCGTTTCGTTCCTGGGACATATAGTCTCGACGGAGACTTTTCACGTGGCTAAAATCGATGATGAGTGCCATTCACATTCCAGGTGAGCTCAAGCATGCAGCCAATGCACCCTCATGGCAGCTAGCATTCTCAGAAGAATGGAGACTCCACTCTAGTACAGACAAGCTGATATAGGAGCAGCTGATATAGAGAAGCCCGGGTCGCCCCTCATGCTTCTCCCGAAAGCTCCCATTGCCAGTTGTTATACTCCCTGACCAAGGCCCCCCTCAGCATGCATCCGCTTGCTCACAGCTGGCCCCCATGCATGCACAAATATGCATTTTTCCCCGTGAGCCCACTCGGACAAACACTGTGCAAAGTCTGGGAGTACAAGGAGCAGGTCTTGTTAGTTGCGGCTCACTGGCCCAACCAGACCTGGGTTTCTGAACTCTGACACTATTTTCTCCAGAAGTTTAAAATATTTTTTTTTACCCTTTTTTGTATCCATTTAAAAACTGTTGGTCATCTTTAATAAAAACAAGGAATCTAGTTAAACTGCTAGACTACAGAGACTGAGAGTTTACCAAATGAAGCCTGAAAATAAGATATGTCATTTGATTAGTAAATGATGGCAAACTGATTGATAGCAATCACACCCAACTTTGCACAAAATGATGTTCAGCAACAATTGGACAAACTGAAGATAAATCACATACATAGTTAGTTTGATCTTAAAATATTCTTTTAAATAAATATTTAAAAACATCAGTTTATCAGTATAGCATTGCAACCGGATACGGTTATTTTATAGTAATTATGATGATGACGAAAGTTAATTCACACTCAATGTTATACTGGTTGGAAAGAAATAAAACATGGCTTCTCATACTGTAAATAACTTCTATTTTCTAACATTATTCAGTTAGTAGGTCAATGAACGCTAGGGGGCGTTAGCTAATATGAATAAATATCCCCTGCTGTCTGGGGTATTTGTAAGGCTGAGAATAAAGTTTGACAAATAAAGTCTAAAAGCTCAACCTTTAAATAACATATAGGAAGTTTATGCTTGTGCAGTACATTTAAAATGTGCATCTTCAAATATTTGCACTTGTTTTCTGACAGTAAACATAAGTAAGTAGAAAAACATTGAGCCTCCAAAGAACCAACAGAATCAATTTAATACTAGTGTTTAAACACATACTCATATACTCAGTGAGTTTATTGTTTTAGTCATTGTTTATGCAGCACACATTTACTTGGATTCATTAATATGGAATATGATAAGGTTAATATTTACCAATGAATCTTGAAATTGATTTGTAGCGATTTTTTGACTCCTCTGATATTTGGTAAGTCTTGCAATCTTGTTTTCCTGTAGATATATGTATTTTCTTTAATGTTAACCAACATGAATAAATATTGTTGTAAAAGTATTTTTTCATTGTTTGTTCATGTTAGTGGATACATTAACATTATCTATTATTTAGTATTTAACATTAACTAATACAACCTTGTCGTAAAGTGTTACCAATATTTACGTAAAATGTTAAACTTGTATTTTAAACAATAATTACTGTAGAAATTTGTGGATGTAAATATGTGTGTGTGTGTGTGTGTGTGTGTGTGTGTGTGTGTGTGTGTGTGTGTGTGTGCGTGCGTGCGTGCGTGTGTGTGTTTCTCTCACAGGACTGAGCTGATGTTAATGAAAGACATTCTGTTTTCCCCTACAAGGTGTGGTTTCATTTCTCCTCTTCACATCTAATTTTATTAACTAAACTGACATGTTTATATATGACATGTCTATAAGAGATCCGTCGTTCCAACACATTTTAAATGCAAAAATTGTATATACAGTTTTTAGTAATTATAAAATATAATAATTTCATAATTATTGCCCCCTGTTTGAATTTTCTTTATTTTTAAAAATATTTTCAAGCGATGTTGAACATAGCAAGGAAATAAAAAAAAAACTGTTTTAAGGTCAAAATTATTAGCCTCTTTAAGCAATATTTCTTTTTCGAGAGTTTACAGAACAAACAATCGTTATACAATAACTTGCCTAATTACCCTAACCTGACTAGTTAACCTAATTAACCTAGTTAAACCTTTAAATGTCACTTTAAACTGTATAGAAGTGTTTTGAAAAGTCAAATATTATTTACTGTCATCATGGCAAAGATAAAATAAATCAGTTGTTAGAAATGAGTTATTTAAACTATTATGTAAATGTGTTCAAAAATATTCTCTCCGTTAAACAGAAATTGGGTAAAAAATAAAAAGGAGGGCTAATAATTTAAGGGGGCTAATAATTCTGACTTCAACTGTATAAGTACAAATAATTCATAAGTTGTAGGGAACACTATGAGAAGTCCTCAAGCATTCCACACTTTAAGCAAAGCATTTGTTTTAAATGAAAAAGATATATAATTTAAAATGAACACAAACTAAATTGGCGACTTGGTTTAAAGGAACCTTCTTCACACATCTAAAAGACTCTTTAACATGCACTAGCTTAGCAAAAAATAATCCACTAAAGAGAGAAGTCAGTTCTAAGAAAATTTGTATCATTTGTTAGAAGGTGCTACTTGCTTTATCATTTTGTATTTAATTATAATGTTTTAAGAACACCTTATACTACATTGATTCAATAAGTTGAATTTGTCAAACTCAAGAGGAAATTCAAGCGCATGGGATAAGTCTCTGAAATAATATTTAATAACAAAAGGGAAATCAAGCAGTCAGATAGTCAGACTTATTCAGGGTGACGCAGAGCAGAAAAAAAAAAAAACGGAACAAAGATGCAGGTGAACAGATATAGGGCTTCCACAAAACAAGACTACAAATACACACTGCAGGCAGAGCAGAGGTAAACAGATGCACTACATCAAATGCAGGGACAGGTAAATATGAGGGGAGACAGGACAGACACAGTTCACACACATGTAGCTTGGGACATAAGAACAATTATCAAACACTAAGCTAAAGAACAGAGAAATTTTAAAAATTCATTCAGTTTCTTTTCGGCTAAGTCCCTTTATTAATTCTGGAATGAACTGCCAACTTATCCACCATATGTTTTGCGCAGCTGATGCCCTTACAGCTGCAACCCATCACTGGGAAACATCCACACACACTAATTCACATACATACACTATGGACAATTTAGCCCACCCAATTCATCAACTACCACATGTCTTTGGACTTGTGGGGTAAACCGAAGCACTTAGAGGAAACCCACGTAAACACGGAGAGAACATGCAAACTCCACAAAGAAATGCCCACTGTCCCAGCCAAGGCTTAAACCAGCGACCTTCTTGCTGTGAGGCGTTCGTGCTACCCACTGCACGACTGTGCAGCCAAAAAGGTTTTATATGCTTATTTATTGTTTCAGAAAATATTGCTAGAGTCAAAAGGTCCTTATTGGCCATACAGTATTTGGCACGGTTAATACTATAATGAGCTTAGCTCTGACAGCACTCTCTTAAAATACAAATAAACATACTATACCTTACATCTTACATTTTGCATTCTGATGAGCTGTAAAGCAATGCTGATGTAGTTATTGCTTGATAATGTTTAAAAAAACAAACAAACTGGTCGCAGGCTTTTACTTTAGCATCTCATGTCTGATCATTTAATGTGTATTGTTTTCTTTCTTTAGTTTGTTTCTCTGGTGTATTTTTTTTTAACAGATTTAATAGAGAATTGGCCATGTAACCCTAGATGTGTCCACATTGTATGCTGTGTATCATTTAATTTTCTTTCACCAATGCACTATGTAACGAATTTGTGATTTTTATTTATTAATTTATTTTGGGGGAATTAAGATCCAGAGTGGCACAGTGGCTGACTGGTTAGCTCTGTCCCCCCACAGCAAGAAGATCGCTGGTTCGTGTCCTGGCTGGGCCAGTTGACATTTCTGTGTGGAGTTTGCATGTTCTCCCCATGTTTGTGTGGGTTTTTTCTGGGTGCTTTGCTTTCCTTTACAGTCCAAAGACATGAGCTGTAGGTCAATTGGGTAAACTACAGTATATTAGCCGTAGTGAATAAATGTGTGTGTGAATGAAAGAGTGTATGAGTGTTTCCAGGTTAGAAGGACATATGTCACATAAAATTAATTGCAGGTTCATTCTGCTGTGGTGACCCCTGATAATTCAGTGACTAAGGCAAAGGTTAGTGAGTGAGTGAATTGAGATGCTATACATCTCTTCAGTGACAAGTCTAATTCGTCATTGACAATCTACATGGCTATGAGCCGATATTCGCCAATATAAGTCACCATGTCAGAATAAGCACCTCTCCACTAGTGGCGTGGTCCAATCCCCACCATGCTTTTCCATTACAACGGGAATTCCGCGCTCAGTCCCGCCGACAATGCTATAATTCCACTGCTTTGTGTTGTGTCAATTTTAGGGCTATCAAGCCTGTTCTTCCCTCGTGCTGCTTGCAAATTGGCCAGGTAAAGACTATTTACTTATCATAAATGCTTTGTTAAATTCAATCAAATTTAATTAATCTTTATTTCTATAGTGTTATTTCTCAGAACTTCAGATTCAGGGGCCTAAGGAAGAAATGACTAGGAATAACATAAAAACAACTGTGTTTATGACCTTACATAACAAATAGATTAATACAATAAGGTAACATCAGTTTGCAACATCAAGCAGCATAATGGGCTGTTTTAACATCTAAAATCTATGGAAGTGAATGGGACTAGAATGAAATAAACACTAATGCAGCTTAACAACTGTATTAAGGAGGGCAAGGCAGGCAAGATCATAGGTGATAATAATGTATGATTGGATGTATACAGTACATCCTGTAATGTAGTACTTTACAATTGTGTTAAAGCAACTTAACATCTAGATACATTTTAAATTAATTTATCCCTAAATTAAGCTAAACGTTTTGCATTTCTGAATGTACTGAATAGGTTCTGAAAAAAAACACTTGTGCTTTGAAAGGTTATACATAGTTGGCATCGACACAGGAAGTTCAGTCAGTATTTAGTATTTGTGTTCACACCACAGTCCTGCAAGCCTCACATCAGCAGCAGTGCAGTTCTAACCATCCACAATTTTTTTTTTTTTCTGAAAAGGTTTTTGCAACCACACTGTCTTATCATTTCTGGTAAGCAATGTTACTTTAGTTTTGCATTTTTATATTATTTTTTAATTTTGATACTATTTTTGATTAATGTTTAGTTAGTTTTAATTAATTTGTTTTGTAAACACATTTCTGTTTAGTTTTTATATATTAATGTTTAGTTTGTAGTAATTATAGTTCAACTGAGTTAACAGTACACATTCAGTGTAGAATAAAGCAAAGTTTAACGTTTGCACGGTTTACATTAAAACTTGTGCAAACCTCTTAATGAAAAAAAATAAATTAATAATTTATAACAAACAATAAAGAATATTGTTAATAATAAATTAATCATAAATACTGAACCCAAAACCACACAAATGCAACTTAAATGAAAAAAAGTCTTCACATCAAAGATTATATATGTAGTTAGGCATAATAAAAAATTTTTTTTGCAATCTGAAGAAAAGTTACAACATCTGTTTTATGTTTATATAGTAAAGTTTTTTTGTGTACACATCGTCATGCACTTGGTTGATGTGTTTGTCTGTAAAAGCACATCGACAGGGACTTTTATAAACAGGGACAGGTCAGATTGAGCCACAGAATGAGAGCTTTTAATTCTATTGTAATTTTTGCTAATTGTTATTTTTATTTCAGTGTTTTTCAGTAACTGTTGTTGGTTAAAGTTGCTTTAGTTTTTTATTTATTATATATATTTTAATTCAGTTAATGAATGTCTAGTAACATTTATAGTTTGTATAGTTTTAATATCAGTTTTAGTTTTAACTTATTGAAAATAACGTTGCTTGGTAAGTCAGTATCTTTACTGTGTTAAGTCAGTATTTTTACTTTGTTAAGCTGTAATTAATTTTAATTAATTCCTAGATTTGCCAAAAATGGCATGTTTTGTATATCATACTTAGAATGAGACTCTTATGTGATTTTTCAGTGTGTGATTCAGTATGTGATAGTTACATTACTATTATACATACAAGTTTGTAAACACAAGTGTGTTTCTCCACAGGACTGAGTGTGTTAATGAAGACATGGACACTGCTGACAAAATCATTACCTTCTGTTTTCTCTTACAAGGTTTATTTGTTTGGTTTTTCTTCCTCATTCACTAGAGTGTAAAAAATATCTATTAGTTAACAGTTTATGTATTTTGTGATTCACAAGTGTTCTCCATTTACTTACGGTTGTGAATTGTGTTATGGGAAGTTGATCTCTGCTCTGTCAACTTTTGATGTTAAAAATTCAACTCTACAGTGACTTTTAATGAAACCTTAGTATACTCCTGCGGAAATTGCAATACAACTATACAACACTATTATAAAATAAACAAGACAATGTATCACTTTAAAGTCACTTTTTTGAATTTGAAGAAAGGTCCCAAAATGCAATTCAAAAGTAGGAAAATACAAACATGAATCACAAAATAGGGAAAATTGCTCATTTATGGATATTTTTGCAGCGCACATAAATCTAGTAAAGTGTAACTTGTTTAGTGTAATTAAAACCACTTGTAAATGAAAAAAAAAAGTTAATTAAAAATTTGTATTCACTTTTTATATACTTCAAGGCTTGTAATTGTAATTACTTCAAGGCTTTTAATCTAAAAGGTTTTAAATTAAAGCAGTCTTAAAATCTACAAGATTAATTGGTGCATATAGTGAAAAAACAATAAATATTTTTGTGGGAAAAATAGGCAAATTGCTTGCAGAATTATCTACCTTTAAATGTGTAATTTTTACCATTATACTATTTGTTTAACAATGGTTTGTTTTCTCTTTTATTTGCATCTTATTGTAATTATTTTACTATAATCTCAAAGAGACAATACAATTTTAGTGAATCAGCAGGACTAGATATTTTTAGTAATGTGGTCTGTAAAGTTTCAGCTGATCATTATATTTGTGGTAGAGAAAACGTAGACTACAGTATAGTTGTTTTATTATTGAAGAATGTGGTGAAGTTATTGGTTGCTGAGCAGGAAGAAGAGGATGGCAGAGTAGAGAGAAACACTTTTTAAAGAGTACGCAAAAGAAAGAGAGGGTTCATTTTTTTTAATGGTATATCCATTTAGAAAAGTAATCAACATTAAATCATCGGCTTGTTTCTTTTTTTATTCATTTATTAGAAAATAAGACTTTTAAACTAACTAAATTTGACTTTCCAAAAAACTATACAACACTACGAATTATGAGATCACAGAGAAAACCATGGAAAATGCAGATGAAAGCATTACTTTATACAGTGTGATTAGAGGATACAGTGAGGATTATTTCAATACTATTGTAGTGTTGGGGAACAGAGTTGTTCAAAATCATTTTTTATGAATAAAGTATTAACAGGCATCTGTAAAATTTATATTTTTAATACAAATACATGAAACTGTATGGTGCCATACATTTAAGTTTATTTGTTTTTGACTACTTCCCATATATAAAATTGTGTTTATGGCAGATGTCATTGTCAATATTGTTTTATTTTATATGTTCAACATAATTAAATAAATAATTGCATCGTGAAATTTGATTAATTGTTTTTTTGTTTTGTTTTTAACCAAAGGTAATGTGCTGGTGTATCTAAAAGCTTCAGTGTTTGTTTCTGCTTGAATTTGACATCTTTTGATTACATGTGTTGTAGGTGTTTGCTGTAGAGATTTCAACATCAGTTTGCCAGAGAAGATTCAAGCTCTCAGTGGATCCTGTGTGGTTATAAAATGCAGATTTGACATTAATGACACATATGATAAAAACCTCACTGAGAGAGCTGCTGGATACTGGTTTAAAAGTGGGACTAATGTGGACAAAAATCTAATATTTAACTCTAGTGAATCAATGCAGAACTTATTTATTAAAGGGAAAATAACTGGAAAATTAACAGACAAGGACTGTACCACTGTCTTTTATGAGGTCACATCAATTCACAGTGGTCAGTATATGTTTAGGATTGAGGGTGAAGGTGGACTGAAATGGACCTACAACAAAACCAATGTTTCACTAGATGTGATTGGTGAGTGAATTCATGACTGTTTATATATTAGTGTATATTCTCATTATTCGAATTGTATGTAATGGAACACTAGGGACTTTGCTAAGTACGCATTTCTCTAACAAAAATTGTATATTATTGCTGAAAAAAAATGTTGGGTTTTTGTTTTGCATTTGATATTGTAGACCTTTAAATATACACTTTTTCATGTCTATTAAAGACCAATCTGTGTGTGTTTCAGAGTCTCCGATGAATCCGCGAGTTGTGTTGTATGTGGATAAGCAGGAGCTGCAGGGTCAGCAGGAGGTGTTGGAGGGCAGATCTGTGAGTCTGCGCTGCTCTGCTGAGACTCTCTGCTCTTCTCCTCCAGCAACTCTCACATGGAGCTCCACTGCCAGAATCCTCCTCAGTGAGAGCAGCAAACTACAGGAGCTCATCAACTCTGATCTGAACTTCACTGCTGCTCGGCGGCACCACAGAGTCACTTTCACCTGCTCTATAAGCTACCAGCTGCAGGACAACAACAGAACAGCTCACAGCAGCATCACATTACATGTGCAGTGTAGGACTTTTACTGCCATCTGTTCTGTTCTCCTCCATAATACACTCATAAATCTCTTTAATGTCATTCTCTTTCTTTTTCAGATGCTCCTCAGATCCTAAACTCCAGCTGTAACATTGGGAATGTAACTGTGTGTTTCTGCGAGGTTGATGGGAATCCGTCTCCTGTAGTGGAGTGGCATCTGTCTGGACGTCTCATCTTGAACTCTTCAAACACGTTCATCAGTGAAGAGCGATTAAGCAACACAAGCTTGAGGAGCGTCATCTCTTTACATCAGTCTCTCACACACACAAACACTCTGCTGTGTGTCAGTAAAAACACTCTTGGCAATGCAAGTCATCTGTTTCAACATCTTCCATCTACTGCATGTGATACATGTGAGTTTCTTTTCTGCAATATATTCAATAGAAAGCAAATACAAAATCTGTTTGTTTTCTATAAACCAATACCAAGATTTCTCATCTTTGACTTAAGTGAAAGAGCTAAGGCTAATATATTTTTAGATTGTATTTAAAACTCTATGACTCTGTAAAACTTGTTTAGATGATTCAGTGAATAATCTTTTTTTTTTCCACAAACTTTCATTTATACTTCTTTAGGTTTGAGTTATACCTTTATGCTGATTGGTGTTCCTGTTCTGGCTTCGGCAATTTTGGTGTCTGTCATTATATGTGTACGGTAGGTCCACAAAACAGATGACAAAGCACTGGGAGTGATACATAATATACAGTGTAGTATATAGTAAGGGCAATGTTACACATAAGATAAAGATACTAGTTAATTAACTTTGAACACAACCTGTTTACACCCTAATGTTGTTTTAGATGGATCTGTATACTTTTCTGACTTTTCACTTGACACCATTGATAACAGCACTGACACCAGTTTTACACATAAAACTGTTTAAATAAAAAAGAGAAGTCATATCTGAAAAGACATTGAGCAAAAATAACTGCTGCTTGTTTTGGTAACACTTTACCCAAAGGGGGTTTTCCTAAGACATCTAAGATTATAAAGAAGAAACCTTTATAATCATGTCATGACACATCATGAATGACATTTTACACATATAAAACATTGTGTCATTAAATTTATTTTCTTCCGTTGTGTCATCAAATGCAAATGTAACTTTGTTTGAGGTTTTTGTCACTTGATTTAAAACATGAATCATAACCTGTCTTAGTCATGACAACTTGCCATTACCAAGACAACATGACATAAATTGTCATTGTGACCGGCCATTACAATTGTTTGCGTGAATTTCATAACAGTATCACTAATCGAGGTTTTGTGACCTCAACTACAGTGGCCTTACAACATGTTTGTGACAGATTTATGACAAGTTTTGGTGTCTTGGTTATTTCAAATTGTCGTGACAAAGCAAAGAAAGGTTTTAATGTTTTTGTTTGTTTCAGGTTGTCATGACAGAGACGTGTGTAAATGGTCAATAAATGATCGTAGATGCACTTTCCCATTTCAGTACATGAATTTGTGTGTCTCTTATTCCTTTTTATTTACAATCCAACCAACATGGCGCTCCAAAGCAACCAACATCTATGTAATCCAAAATAAAAGCATTATGATTACAAAGACAATACAACTTAGTCAGGAATTACTTACAAAAAATGCTTCCTGAAAGAACACTGTCGTACTGTTCTATTTTAAGATACAAGCCTCCTCTAATCTTCTTTTTTAGCTAATTTCACAGAAGAGCCATTCAAAAATATTCTCAGCAAGTATTGTAGTCGGCGACGCAGTGGCGCCGTAGGTAGTGCTGTCGCCTCATAGCAAGAAGGTTGCTGGTTCGAGCCTCGGCTGGGTCAGTTGACATTTCTGTGTGGAGCTTGCATGTTCTCCCTGCGTTCGCGTGGGTTTCCTTTGGGTGCTCCGGTTTCCCCCATAGTCCAAAGACATGTGGTACAGATGAATTGGGTATGCTAAATTGGGCATAGTGTATGAGTGTGAATGAGTGTGTATGGATGTTTTCCAGAGATGGGTTGTGGCTGGATGGGTATCCGCTGCGTAAAATATGTGGTAGATAATTTGGCAGTTCATTCTGCTGTGGCGACCCCGGATTAATAAAGGGACTAAGCCAACAAGAAAATAAATGAATGAATGAATGAATGAGTATCGCAGTCTAGATAATTGAGTTAACGTATTTAAATGACCATTAAAGTTTATTAAAGTATCACCACATCTCAAACAATGTCATCTTTGCTTTTTAAATGACATATCTGAACAAATGACACGTAATGAAATTCATGTCGTGATTATAAAAGTGTCATAAAAGTCTTATAAACACTACCGTCAATTAAAGTGTTATAGTTGTTTTCCATTGTCTGCGTCATTTTCAGTTTTTATATATGACTTTTTTATATGATTTAATTGTTTTGCCAAAACTTAAGCTCATTTGATGAATTTAACTTTGACCTGTTTTTTTGCTTTGTTTTTTTTTTCTTCAAGAAAAGCGCGTGGGAAACTGCAACTAGCTAAAGAAGAAGAATGGAAAAATGGAAGCAGTCAAAATGCAATCAAGGTGAGTCATAATTCACCACTATTTATTTATTAAATGGTAAATTTGCAAATAAAATTAAACACAGTTTTTACCTCTGGAACACACACAACAGACAATGATTCAGCTCTGTCAATCTTTCATGTTGCACAGGAGAATGAAGGAGACTCTATTTATGTCACGATGTCATCTGTTGGAACAGCCAAAGAAAATCTGGTGGTGGACAGCGTCTCTTGTCTTCATGATGACTATGTAGTGATATATCGTGGAGGAGCAGCAAAAGCAAAGAGTTCAGTGAAAGAGTCTTCAAATTCAACAGAAGCGCAGGTGATTGTAAGGGCAGATGAGCTTACTAAACAAACACAGTCAAAGCAATCAGAGGAAGAGCTGTTTGAAGAAGTCTCTCAGCTTTATGCAAAGATAAAACGTCGTAGTACATAGAGAACTGGAGTCTTTTCTATCCCTCTGTTTGCTTTCTTCTTTACAATAATTCACACATACCACCATCGAAAAAAAATGGCCAGTGACCTCTATAGGAACAACAAAAACACTATTGACTTCAATGACTGCTTTTTCAAAATCAAAGAGTCAAAGCAATTAGAGTCAAAGCAATCAGAGGAAGAGCTATTTGAAGAAGACTCTCAGATGTAATCAAAGATTATATGTCGTAGTCCATAGAAATCTATCTTTGATATTCTTCTGTTTGTTTTCTCCTAAAAAATATTTCAGATATATATATAAAGCAGCAGAAATCTTTACTCTTAGCCTCATCATTGCTAATACAGCTTTGCATTGCTGACAGATTTAAAACAATTGAACAAACAAAAAGTAGTTTGGTTCTTACACACACCGAACTAATTTTGATTTTTTTTTTATTCATCTTTTACAGAATGCAAGTGTTCTTGTATTTTTATATATATTTATATTTTTAATCAAATGTGTCATTGTCTGAATGGTAAAACCATAGTAAGTACCACAGTGAAAACAGCAATATGATACATTTGATAGTTTATAGGATCTTAAAAATTTTATTGATAAATTTCTCAGATTCACAGTGACCGGGAGGGGCCATGTTTGGTTCACTTAGTTTTGTCATGGCCACATCAAATTAATAAATAGGAACATGATATTAACTTGTTGGAATGTGATAATATCTTGTGTCATGGCCCCGAGATCATTTTGTCAAGGTAATATTATATTTACATCACGTTCACGACATGTGAAATTGTGGCCAGTGTCTTCCATTATTTAAAAAGAATCATTTGTGAGTGAAAATAATGGGAAACTTTCTTATAATAATCCCTTGCTTTCACATACTATAATATAATATAATATAATATAATATAATATAATATAATATAATATAATATAATATAATATAATACTGTATGTTTCCCAGTACTGGGTTGCGGGCATCCACTGTGCAAAACATATGCCGGAATAGTTGGCGGTTCATTCCGTTGAGGCTACCCCTGATAAATAAGGGACTAAGCAGAAGGAGAATAATTAAATAAATCTTTGAAATAATGAATTACCTTCTTAAAGTAATGATAGCTTTTTGTAATAATGACTTTCTTATAAACATCCTTCTATCTTCACACTGAGGCCAAAAAAGAGTGTAAGCATTCTTAAGAGCAGCCTGTGTATAGAAACAGTTGTGGTCTTTTGTTTGTATTTGTTGATTTATAAAAAAAAATATTTAAGCATTTATCATTTAACTGTGTGTTACATTTTAACATTTAACATTAAATTAGGTTTTAATATTTAACTATGTTTGCATTATTACTTAGTGTGTTAATGCTGTAGTAGCCTATTTGTTTAACAATATAATTTTGCAGCTTTATGGGATATTTATCCTTATTGTTTAATTTTCTTTGGCTTTTGATTTGTTTTACTTTTAAACTAAAAAAATCAATTAAAAAAGATCTAACTAACATTGAATAAAGTCTGAAATGCTGAAGTAGAATAATGAGAAAAAGTTTGGTTTCTAAAACATACTCCACTAATCTTTGTTTTCTCTACATTTTTGAGATCTAATTTTGTACGATGCATATAAAGATTATTCAATAAAATGTATTTTTATTAACTGCACTTTTTCTTTTGCTTCAAAGTTTTCTCTGTTTTCTTTGGCAAATTTTTGGAAAATTAGTAGTAGTGTCTAACATCAGAATTTTATAGTGAATTATCATAGACTGTTTACATGTGCATTAATAATTCAACCATTTCCAGCCATCTGAAATAAAAAAGGACTTAAAGGCTTATTACAAAAATATAATTCTGTAATCAGTTACACTTACCACCATTTCAACCCTGTGATAGCATGTTTATCTTCAGAAAACAAATTAAGATATTTTAGGATATTTTAGATGACAGCAAAGTTCCAGAGACTGTCTGTCTTTTTAGTTCTTTCTGGACGTTGAATGAGAAGGACCATTGCTATGGTGGGCGAGTGAGCTCTAGGATTCGATCAAAAATATCTTAATTTGTGATGTCTTGATTTCGAAGATGAAATAAGGTCTTGGGGGTTTGGAATGACATGAGGGTGGGTAATTATACAGAATTAAAAATTTTGGTTCAACTAAACTTTAATCAAAATAAGACCTTGAATATGGCACAAGTAAACCTCATCACAAATAATGAATTCACACAACAGGTCACTGTATTCATCTGTTTACAGTAGAACAAATGGAAAATAAATCTGAAACCACGTGCGGTTTGGTGAGACCAATAATAAAGCAAGTTAAGACGTTTACAAGCCTACTGTGACTTTAATCAATGTATGCCACAAAGTTTAAATTTATTATGGTTACTATGGTTAGTAGCTTAAAAATGATTAAAGTATTGTGTCTTTACCAGTCTTTACATGAAGAATATGGCAAAAATTTCTTTATAATCTCATGATGAATGGTAATCTTTCAGATATCAGCTGTTCAGTTTTGACTTGCGATTCTAATGGAATGATTTAAAAACAGGTTCTAAACTAGTGAATTGTTGCTGTGACTGTATTTTTAGATTCATTAGGTTCCTCTAAAGAGGTAGTTAACCCACAAATGAAAATTCTGTCATCATTTACTAATTTTTCACTTGTTTAAAACCTGTTTGAGTTTCTTTCTTCTGTTGAACACAAAAGACAATTGTTTAAAAAATGTTGGAAAGCATTTATTGGCTTCCATAGTATTTATTGTTCTTTCTTTGCATGTCAATGGCTGCTGGTTTACAACATCCTTTAGAATACAGAGTCTTCTTTTGTGTTTAAAAGAAAAATTAATTGCATTTAAATAAAGACCCACTTGAGGCAAATAAATAGTGAGAACATTTTCAGTTTTAAGGTACACTGCTCCTTTAATTCTTAGCTTATAATTGGAATATAGTCAGTTAATTATAACTAAGCATTCATTTAGTTGTTTGGCTGGACATGGACATATCCCTAATCGTTCAGACACTAGTAGCTTGGAAATATCTTGTCATAAGGGGATGTGTTGTACAAACTCTAGATAACTGCAAAAAAAAGTGTTAGGACATACTGTAGGTGTTAAACTCAATTCCTGCACTGTTTTACTCCAACCCTAATCAAACACAGCTGATGCAATTAATTGAGGTGTTCAAAAAAGTCTTTAATTAGAACACCTTGATTAGTTGCATGAGCTTTGCTTGATTAGGGTTGGAGCAAAACTGCTGCCCTCTAGGAACACCTATGGTTTAGGTTATCTGACATTTGTATACAGTTTATAGATCTTGAATCGTTGAATTTTGTGCAATTCCACCCATGTCTTTCCCAATACTTTAGCATGCTTTTTTAATATAAAACTGACAGCAAACGACAGTCATATGAAAGATGCCATGCCTGCTGCTGTCAATTTAAGGTAAGATCATTTTTAATGATAACAGAATCTTTATAATTGCTTGTATACCATTATCTACAAGTAAGAAACATTGTAAAATTTATAGTGATGTAAAATGTGTATTTTACGAATGGCTGATGACATATTTTGAGTTTTGATGTTGCGCTATTAATCACTAGTCATTGGGCTATTTTGACTGATCATTGGGCTAAGATTGTTGCAAAAACCTGGCAGCCCTGAGCCCAATGACTGGGCTTCACTTAAAATCTGTGTAACTAAACCAATCTTTCTCAGCCATATTTCTGATTGTTGAATTTTATTATAAAGCTTGTGTCATTGGCTAATACAATTGTCTCATCTAAAGTTGTACTCTATAAGTTGAAACAAAATTAATAAAAAACAAACATGTTTAACATGTCAAATTTTATATCAGCCTATTCTACTAATCCCAAATTCTGTGATTCATATTACACTTTGTAAGATTGAAATTACCCAGAAAATCAGCATTAAATCACACCTGACCAGCATATGCTGTTATTTGTTCAGCAGTGTAAGCCTCTTTATAGAGTCTCAGGGGATTATTTGTGATTGGATGGAAAAGACATGGCAGAATCAGTTGCCAGGCTATCAATCACATGCATCCATGTTAGAGATGATTATGGGAAGTTGCTAATTACAGTGCTTGTGGAAACTGTGCAGAGGCTTTATTCACTTATACGCTAAACTGAGCACACCAGCTTAAGAAACTGCTGGGCAATTTGTTAAGCTTCACAGTATATATAAACAGATAACTCTGGTAAGCAATCTACATTTCCATGTGGAAATTGTGAATCAATCATTTTTGACAGTTTTTATCTCGAACCTTTTTACCAGTAAAACCAATGAGGTTTGAATGAATTGGACTGGAGAACAGCACAGCCTTGTGGTGCTACACAATACAACAGCTTCTGTTATTGATTATGCTGTGCCTTATTTAAAGCTAGGGTAAAATATCCTTTTTATAGTTAATATTCAGACTTTCTCTAAATCCTGTGTTTTCTTTTTTATTTTTAGACAGTTTTGTTTAATTTTACGATAATTCAAAATATGCATACATACTACTTATATTTAAGATTTTAAAGAGCACACCTCGATTGTGCAGATTTACCCTCTTTAGCATCAGAAAAATCAGACCTTTCTTAAGATATCATGTTGCACATTTTTTATGTCATGCTCTTGTCATTTCAAGGCTGGACTACTACATTACTCTTAGCTGGGCTACACCCTCTTACCTCCACCTGAAGGTCTACATGCTTTTACAGTCATTGTTCTACATCCCCTCCAGGAGCTGTAAGTGACCGTTGCCTGTGTGTGTGTGTCTGCAAAGTTTCAGCTCAAAATACACATAATATATGTATATGTAGATATTTATTACATTGAGTGTATTATACCCTACTAAAAATGGCAAGTTTGGAATCACAGGAAATTTTTGCCATTTACGCCTGTTTGTTTAAATGCAATTGAGCTGGCTCGCTCCGCCCACTGTTTTGGCATGTCACTTCAGATTAGAGTACCCAGCGTCAGATGTCAGATAAACTCACCAAAATGACAGGCAGCAAATCAGACATGATGGAACAACAACCCACAGTACTACATGATGTGCAGATAGTTGGAACAGATCTTTTAATCCCAGTTTATTTGCAAATTCTGTCTTGTGGACATACTGTACATGCAAATACTGAGACTTGCTCATATGCACGCCACCTGTCAATCAAAATCAGTTGAGGGGATAACTGTCCTGCTACGTCATGGTGTGGTGGGACTCAAAATGTCTGGAATTTAAATCCTGATTTAATTATTTATTAAATCACTTGAATTGTGTTAAAATGCTAGTGACTTGTTGTGTTTATATCAATATAATATGGCTGTATACACAGTATTCCTACACACATTTCTTTCCAAACAGGGTCCAAAAGTTGATTTTGCATGATATGAGCTCACACATTAATTTTATTTTTTTTATTTCTTTTGAATGTTGTTTTTTTCCACTCAAGTTAGAATTTTAAAACAATGACAGCACTATAATCCAGCCAAAAATCTCCTTTTGGGAGGTCTACTAAACGTGTTTGGTGTTTGATTTTCTGTAAGTGAAATGGGAAACCTTGTCTGATGTATCAAATTGTTGTCTGTGTTGTCTGATTATCTGTGTTGATGCTTATCTGTTATTTGTTCTTTCTTTGTAGTGCTTTCATATTATTTGCTTAACCCCTTAACTGTCATCCCACTTTTTTATTCACTATTTTCCATAACATGTTTACTTGTGTCCTTTACACAAGATCTCAGAATTAGCAGACAAAAATGATCCAACAAGCCACTCAACTTTAATAAAAAGTCTTGTCTTTCCTTCCCCCAACTTGTTTCATATTCTCAGAATAGTTTTTACGTTTCTTCATTTGGAAGATCATCCAACCAGTGGGTAAAAATGTGTAAATATAATAATTATGTAATACTGAACCTCTGACAATATTCAAAAAACAGCTGAAAACCCATCTGCATTTACACTAGGACAGAGA